GTGCAGCTATTGTGGCAAGATAGGACAAAAGGAAGGGCAGGACGAAGCCCCTGCAGCTGTGCATACAGGACGACGCTGCAGAACGCTGGCAAAGTTCAACAACCGCGCAGAAGAAGCCAGGACGTAAAGGAGCTGAGGGGAATTCAGGGTGCATTCGTATTTTCCAACAGCGACACATTCGCGCTGATAAACATCCACATTTTGTCTGTATCCTCACCTTGTATCCATACAGGTCAAGGGTGGGTAACTGGAGCTCTGGCAGATGGAAAGTATTGGTTTTGTGAGGCAGCTATTCAAAGATACAGGCAGCTTCTTTCTGTTGTGTCTCTGCTGCACTGGGTCAGAATATTTCAGCTATTAGAGTTACAGACAGTGTAGAAAAAGGACCCATCTGGTCGAATCGCTGTGAAATAATGTGATTGATTCTCTGACTAAAAAAATCGAATGAAGGCAAAATGATGAAATTTGCTTATTATTTCCGGGATGGGTGCAAATTACCAGAAACAAAATTGCCAGAAAAGCACGCAGAAAAGCCTTATCTAGTTTTGTATTACTAAACCGAATATTTAGATCAGTTCTTGTGCAGAGTTTCAGAGGCAGGAAATTAAAAAGGCAGCTGTTTTATTGAGATAAGCCTCTGTCTTCTTGCATGCTAATGGAGTTGTGGCTGCTCAACAACATGTGTGTTTTAAAAACCCTGTCAGGTACAAAATGGGGATGATCATTCATGGTCTAAAACAGTTATTCATTCATTTATGTTCCTCCCTAAAATGTGGTTTGATGTGTCGCCATCAGTTGTGTTTAAGCAGCGGCGCTAATTATTTGTCTTGCAGTCTGTACACACTCTATCTTCTTCCATCCACGCTTGGAATTAAACTGAGTGCATAATTCTCACTGGATTGCACTCTTGCTTTAGATGGAGAGTATAATAAGAAGGGGGAAAAACAGGAACCCACCTTTCTTTGCTTAAAGTGAGAGAGGAGCTTCTATAATGAGGGTTCGCAAATTCAAGCCCATTCCTCTGTGAACGCGATCGGGCCAATTTGCAAGCTTCCTGCATTCATTTTGTTACAGAGCGTGGCGGTAATTCCACACAGTGTCTGAGCCTCATATATCACCCCTTAATAGAATTTTTTGAATTCACACTCACACCTTATTACCAAAGACAGTGCCCCTCGATGCACTACAACCCCTGTTTAAATGTCAATCATGTTCATGAAGCATACATCTCAGACTATTTGCACTTTCACTGAATATTAAGGAAGCCTGCTTAGTTAACTGTGTAATATTATTCTCCTTTTATAGCCTTAAGAAAGAGAAGAAGCTTCAGTCGAAACAGAAGGTCAATTTTAACTCTAAACGCTGCTCTTCAGTCATATTTGACACACTCAGTAAGGTCCCCAAGATGTGCTTTGCTTTTAAACATCAAGTTTGCAGCACAGTGGTCCACACTGAAGGATGTAAATGTGATTTACAAATTGTTGGATATTATTTGACTCTGAGGTCAATGGTGTGTGGAGGAAACATGAAAAAGGCCTGTCAAGAAGCGTAGAGACATTAGCATCCACTCCAGTCACTGTTGATCTAGATCCAATTTAGCTCTGCAGTTTTTCTCACGTCGTAAGGCAGTTCAGAAACTAGTGAATGTTATGGTGCAATTATGTTAGAATACACGTTTACAAGCCTTTTAATGGCACACTTTCATGCTACCTGATTATAAAAGTTTTTTTTTATTATTTAACTAAAACTGGATGACCCTTATTAATCAGGTCGTATTACTAGGGAAGAAAATTGGGTCCTGGGAAGTTGAAAAAATGGGAGGACATTTTTTTATTTTATGCACTTTGCAAATAAAATCAAAATTTGAATTTGAATTTAGGAAAAAAGCTGAAATGTAATTTTGAAGTAAAAGTCTAATTTTATTTTTGTGAAGTGGAGGCTGCACTGCTGCATTAAATTGTTTTGGGGTCAAAGCTATTACAGGATACCGTATTTTCAAAGTGCTGTCGTGATGTTTTAAAAAATCAGACATTCATTAGCAGTTTTCTCTGATATTCATATAAAAAGCAAAGTTATATTGTAAACAAAACATCTGTAAAGTTCCCTGAAGTTTGCAGCAAGCTGTGGGCTAATCTGTAAACAGATTACAGATGTGTCACACACTGATATAAATAATATCTAAAGGCTTAAATTAGAACTACTAACACATTTAAACTTCATGTTATAAATAGCCACAGTTAGATACACAGATGAGGTGTAAATGATCACAAATCACAAAGTCTGTGCCCAGTTTTTCTCCCCCTGCTGATATGATTCACATCATGCAGGTCATGATACTGTGGTTGATTTATCTTTGCCACCTGCTTGGTTTACAAAAATTGTGCCTCACTATAAGATCTGTAGAAACAAAGCCAAGAGGAAGGACTAAATCATTCGCTAATGTGTCTGCACATTAGCCTTTAAAGCATTAAGCGAACTAGCCTCTTATGCTCATTTAAATCTTGGCAGTGACAGACCCTAGACCTGGACACTTTTTACACTGATGTGTTCATCACCACATCACCACTTAGCAGCCATCATCTTTATTCTGGGAAATAATTTTTTTTCAACTTTAATCGCAACCACTTCATTCTTGAAATTTCAAGTGTATTTCTTAAACTGAATAATGGAAGATAAATACGCCTCTAATTTATTTATTTTGTCTCTCATCCTTGGCCCTAAAACTGTCCCGTAGTATAACAAAGAAAGGTGCTGCATTTCCAAAATCGAACATCTTTTCTTTGCAATTTAATGGATCTCTTAAAACTCAATCAAAGGCTAAAAGAAGATAATCTTGAAAAGTAAACTTACGTTGTGGTTTCTGTTAATATTATAAAACCTGTAAATGATTTAAGGGTGAACTGTTCATGCTAACAACAGCTGTGACTTAAATCTGTTACCTCATTTAAAATGTAAACATTTTTAATTTCAGGAAACAAAAGGATGATATCCTTTGAAGTCATTGAATCTAGGTTTATCATTAAGTGTCTAAAACTTTGGATATCTATTTTATTTGAGCATATTGAAAAGAAGAAGAAAATGATCATGGCGGAGAAGGTGAAACCAGGAGATGTTTGGTATATTGTCAAAAAATTACCACAAAAATAATTGCTGTGATCAACTCATTGACTAATCTTTAAAATGTATAACAAGACAGTAAAATTTTCAATCACATCCTAGAAAAGTGTGAAAAATTACAGGTAGAAATAGTTGAACATCCATTAACTCTATTTAAATCTACATATCAACTGTATTAGTAGGTGTTAAAAACACGAGGCATTGTGACACCCCAGAAAAAAGTGGACCTAATGCACCGTGACAAGCTTATTCTTATGCTGCCGGAGTTCAAACAGCAACTGGAAGGTCAGTGAGAGCAGACTATGTTTACTAATGCATGTCTGACTTCGAAAATACTGCAGCTGCTGACTAGTGTCCCACACCTTTTTCACAGTAACTCCTCTCCCAACATGTGGTCGGCTGTGGAGAAAGACTTCTTATAAATTACTCACAATGAACCTAACTTGTGATCAGATTACATAATGATGTCCTCCCTCCACAGTGAACTTGAGATCTGCTACGGGGAAATACAGCAAGAGAAAATCAGCATAAAGTGAAGAAAGGTATGAACGACTCCTCTGCATGTGTCAAACTAACAGTAAGTGGTAGACATTTCCTGTAAAACTGTGGCTCAGAAGACTTTTTCTCTTTCTTTTCTTTTCTTTTTTTTCTGTATCACCTGTTTTGAAATTGATTATTTAGGTGCTTGTAACCTTTTTTTCTGGTCTGGTAATGAAGTCAGCTCCAGGGCAGATTTTCCCTCTGTTTCCATCTCCATTTAATGCGTGTTTTATTTGCTGCAGCAGCCGAAGTTTAACAGGTTTTTTATAATGGACTAAATCACAGGCTACTAAAGGAAATCACAGAGCACCCTCAGGGTAGGCATTACTGAACAACTATAATGGCTGCCTGTCACTGATTTGTTCTGTAAAATTGAGCTGATTCGGACCTGCAACACACACAAAAATCAAAGCCTTGAATTAATCCAGTGATATGTAAAGTAGATCTGTTGTGTTAAACTGGCCATAATACCTCAGTGAGCGGTGGCGTGTACACCAGCTGTGTTTGAGATGGGGCCGGCATCCGGCACCTCCAAAACCATTCTTTTCACACCGGGGTGTCGCTCTTTCATGTTCTTATGTTACATCAATGTAAAATATGCTGCCTTTCTGTGGCCAGCTGGAGTGGGCCGATCCAGGCTGTGATAGTAAACTAGTGGATTACAGGGGTCAGATTGTTGCTGGACGCACAAAGGGGTGATGTAATGTGACGAATCGGGTTGGTTAGAGCTGCATGCAAATAACAAGGTGAAATCACAGAGTGGTCTTGAACTCTGTGCGCTGCATTTCTATAAGCATTCCTATTAGCTTTTGCAGCCACCATCACCGATCTGGACGGTTTGCTGCTTCAGTCAGACTCTGTACGTCTCTCTCTCTCGCTCTCTCTCTCTCTCTCTCTAATGTGTTAGATATTCCTGAAACTGGAGCAGAGAGAACCAGTTATGTTTGAAGGGGGAGTGCAGGCTTGGGAAGCTAAAGAGGGAGGGGGGGTTTGAGGTTGGGGGTGGAAAGAGGGGGCTGTGGTGGTATTTTCCTGCATGCAGTCTGATCCTAAAACACAGGTGCAGTCTCTTCCTCGCAGACCTCGCTCCACTCCAAACCCCCAACCCCCTCCTTTAGGCTGCAAAGTGTTTGTCCATCTGATCCTCCATTAAATCCTGATTACTATGGATTTGTCTTTTTCCAACCTGTTATTGGCAGTAATGTGGGGTCACTATAGGTTAGGGTGAGGGTGGTTTCCACCAAGCCTTAAAATAATGAACAAACTTGGCATTAGTTTCAATCACTTTTAGAGCCAATGACAAAGAAAAAGAGGTATTTTCAGTGAAACATGACAAAAAAAATATGGCGTGTCTCCTCCCTATGACATTCAAATCAAGAGCTGACAGTAGCCCACATGTGTGTACTTTCACTTGCTTCATCTGCAAAATAAACTCGCACAACTCAATTTTTTGGCTTGTTTTTCAGCAGCTGCGACCTAATCCGAGGGGCTCCCATCTCCCAAAGCGTCTGAGAGAAAAGTTAGAGGAGGCAAAGAGAAAGAAAGGTGGGGGGGCTGGTGTGGGGGTGTGCTTCACAGCTGAGATTTGGGGCTCCCAGAGGCGTCATGCAGAGCCGATCATTGTCTCTCTCACACTTTCTAACTAGCCATTTCACAACATGAATACAGCGGATCGGGCTGTACGCAGCAGCAGCAGCAGTAACAGCAGCAGCAGCAGCAGCTCAGCCCTCGGGGCTTTCTTCCTCCCCGACGTCGTCGACCATAACTAACAATTTGGATCCAGCGCGCGGATGAAGCCAATTACTGGACATAACTATCATAATGTCTCTTTGCCGATCGACTGATAGTCAGATGAGTTAAGCAATGGCTGCAAGGATCTGAGTCCTCCCCGGGTGCGAGAAGTGCTGGCAGTTCACATGAACCCAAACTGAAGAAGAAGGAGAAGCACTTTGACTCCACCGAAAAGCAGATCGGTGGACACCATGCACAAATCGGCGGAATTTGATTTCAGAGACGCACTTGGTGCTTTTGATTTGGGATTACTGTGACACTCACTGAGCTGTATTTTTTCACAAAGAGGGAGATTTTTCAGAAGGAGTCCGCTTCCTCTCGCTCCTGTTTGCTGTCCTCCGGATCCTTCAGGACTCCAGAGTCGCAGAGAGCCCATGCAGTCCCAAAGGTTGGTTTTAGAAGTTAACTAGAGTCTTCATTTTCAGTTCTTTAGATTTTTGGGGTTTTTGCCTTGCTTGTTAAGTGTTCAAACCCAACCATCCTATCCTAAACTGTGCTGTCTAACCATCTGCATTTTGGGGGAAATCTGCGTTTCAGAGCAATGCACCTCATTTCTTCGAGTGCCACTGAACCTGCATGGAATGATGGAGCAATATCCTGCAACATCATTATAATTATCATACTTATATTTGACGGGCAATAACTCATGCTCATATGAAGAAAAAAGCAGTGAGGTTACGCGCCCGCTGGCTGCAGATTTTCACCGCTCACGTCCTAATTGCATGACAGCTGTAAGTAGGCCTATAACCGAGCTGTCCATACAGCTCCCATTTAATATTAGGTTCGCTTGTCCTCATAATGCCATGTGCGTTTGTGTCATGGTTTGAGGTTTCATATCAGAGCTCATGAGAAGCGCCATCTGTTGGAAACGAGGATCAGTCCTCAGAGACAAGACAAGGACAAGATACAGGCAGAAATGCAGGTTTATAAGGCTGCTGCATAAAAAGAAGATGCAAGAGATCTCCTAACCTGAGCTACAATATTTAAGAACAAGTCAGGCATGAGGTTTCTATAAAACGTGACTGGATTATGCTGATTGGATTTATAGACATCTCGTTGTCACTTGTACCTCTCACTGCAAGCACATGATTTCACAGTTGTCTTTTTAAAGACATTTCCACATTGATTTGCAGTGTCTATAGAGAAATTACAAATGTCATGCATTTCAAAAGATCTGAAAATCTATTGATTAATCATTAAAACTGTCATGCAGTAGCCTAAATAGCTGAAATAAAAACAGCAAACACTAAATGATGATGGACAGTAAATCTAGGAGGTGCTATAATGTGATTTGATTCTTTGTGGGTGGATAAGGACTTCCTCTGATGCTCATTTTTGAGAAAGGATTATCTGAGGTGGCACAGTTACAGTCAGCTGAAGCTGGTTTTCTAACAGCATGCTACACTGACACTAACATCTAATCTTAATTTTGAGAATTTGAACCCAGAAAATTATTGGTAATTTGTTAATAGGCGTTTAATATATAATATGATAAGAGCCATTTGATGGAGAATTTTTTTATTCTTTGAGATTGAGATTAGATTTGCCATGACCTAAATGAGAGCAACCCTAGAGATTACAAGCAACTCATTGAGGACACCATTATTATAAAAAATCTGTCAATTTACTTTTTGTAAAGTTGGCTGATTTACATGCTAATCACAGTAATTTCATGTTTCTGGCGAACAGTGGGGAATAATGGGCCTGTTCTGACTACATTTGTCACTGGAGCTGATATACTCATCGTTATTCATAGCTATTTCAATTTAAAATATCTGTAAAATCTGAAATTAAGTTGCTCATCACATTTTGAGTCCCTTGGCCTATTAATGCAGCCATGAACAAGAAGCTCTGAATGTCTTTTTTTAGTCAGAGACAAAAGCTTAATCAAGAAATGTGACTATCTTTCAATGGATTAACAGCTAATTGTTCATAAATGTAGTCATTATGAAACAAATGGTTAGTTTATGAGCTGTAATCCATCAAGGTATGAGAGGCAAAACAGTCGACCCACAGCATTGGCAGGTGCAGATCTTATTAGAGCATACAATGTAAATAATATTTAACAATAAAACATGTAGGATCTGCAACAAGTGAACTCCAAAATGATCAATCTGAACCTGTTTTAAGTGCTTTTTGTAATCAACAGTCAACCAGTGTATCATTTGGTCAGCCACGCTTGGATCTACATCAAAGCCCTTATAGCAGTAGAGGGTAATTCAGTTGAATTGTGGTTCACATAATGTTTCAAAATTCAACAAACCATCTCACAGAGCTGCAGTTTTACACCTTCCAGCTGCAGTCCACCGTTTCAGATGTGCGCTTCGGTATATTAGGGCTGGAAAACAATGTGCACAGGGCCACCCTTGTTGAAAACATGTGTAGGCTCAGACCTCATTGTATACCGATGTATCCATCATCCACCAGAGGGACAGCGATCACAAAAGACACTCAGCGCACTATGGAAAAATACTGTACAGCCAGCCACAGCCTGTGTAAGTGCAGCCAGCCATTTGAAAGGGTTTTGATTGAAATGGTAACAGAAAAGTAGTTAAAAATGTGCCATTAGTCCAAGAGAAAGTACAAAGGAGGGGATCGCCACCCGTGCTTTAGAACTGTACAGTGGAAACGTACACAAAACCTTCTAACCAGCAAACAACAAACACTCATGGACCTTAGATTGTTGGATGTATGAAACAGCAAGACATCATGTTGAATGAGCATGTGGGTTATCACTGCTGGGTAAAAAATATCCCAACAACCCCGTCAAGTGTTCCCAACATTTTCTGGACATTAAATATTTGAATGAGTTTAAGTCATGTTACGCATGTCGAGTTTGTCAATACTGATCCCTAAGACTTCCACCCTGTGATATTCAGGCCATAACCTTTATTTTTTATACAGGAAGTATGTCAACTAACCTGACGGTTTCAAACAAGTGCCACATAGACACTAGTTCCATCCTGTTACAACTGAGATTTTAACAAATGTTTCACTCCTATAGTAAACTTTGAGGTTTTAAATAACAAAATATATCTATTCATCTATTGCTTAATTTGTTGAGTGGTCATTTTATCAAACATTTGTTGAGCCCAAGGCCGACAACTGTAACACAATTTCATGGACCAAAATAAAATCACAGTAATGTAATCTTTTCTTTAAATCTATTCTGCCAATAGTCTAAAACCACAATGTACTTTCATTACTGTGGTAAATGACAAAGAAAGGCAGCCAATTACATTGAAGCATCTGGGCCTTGAAAACCTTTGTCATTTTTCTTTAGAAAGTGACCAATACCCACTATCACCTTCAAATTGAGCTTCTGTTGATCTTATTGTGATGAATTATTCAATAAATCCATGAATACTTGCAGCCCTAAGTGACTGTGAAACAATCAAATAGTTAAATCAGCTTTCTCGTATGCAGTAACAGTGATGAACAGATTTATTGATAACTTTTAGTTGGTGTATGATCCTGTGGCTCCTGATTTCTGAAACATTTTTTATATTTGTCATATGTACAATTTGACAGGTTTTTATAGATTAATCCTTATTGAAACATCAAATAAAGTTATCTGGCCCTGTGACGGCAGTATGGTGATAGGCCTACAAGTGTTAAGAGATTTAGACATATAGCATTTTAGGAGAAACTACCCTCTAAAGCGTCCAAACTCGGAGGTAAGAGTTTTTAAGGTCAGATTTCCATATATGTTCACTGTTGTTGGTTGTTACCTTCATCTTACCCTCTCTGCACACACGCTCTGTAGTGGGGAGATGCCACTGTTTTGCTTTCCAGGTTTTCCCTCCACAGTGAGGTTACTGTTGCAAATGAAGCCTTTCTTACATGGCGTTGTGTGGACTACCGCATTGTGGGTCTTGAAATCTCGGGTCGTCGACGAACAAGTCTGCACATTGAGAAGTAATTTGAAACTTAAGAAAGGGGGGTTTAAGGGCAGGGAAAGCGGCAGTGATTGGTTCATTGTGTCCGCTGCATTTTTATCGACACTCCCTAAAAGGAAGACTCAGAGCCTGGCTGCCTTCGGCCGTTTGTCCCGCACTCCCTGACTCTCTGTTGGCTTCCCCTGCCGTAGCTGTTGGGTTAACTCTCACATTAAAAGACTCACCTAAAGACTTCTTATCGCGTAGGGATGAAAAGACGAGGCCAACTTCAGACCTCTCTCATGGACTCTGTGTATTTTGTCGATTCAGCGAGGACTAGGCGGCTCTAACTTCTCTCCTTCCCTTATCCGGTTTGAGCAGGGAGAGGAGTAAAGCGCGAGCCCGAGCTGGATGGATGGTTATGGGGGAAAGAGGAAGACCCTCGGCGCTTGACGTGTTCAGAGTCCTGGCTGTGTTTCTCTCGATCTTCCCCTCCGGTAAGATACTTTGTCTTGACTTTTCTCCATCTCACGTTGAAATTGTCAACACCAACGAAGTTAACTTTCTCTAAACTCTAAAATAATCAATCAAAACGTACCTAGTTAGACTTGTTCAGCGGTGACAAACTTCTTTCACACCTCGGGAGCGAAGTTGCCAGGTTCGGTTGGTTTCTTAGTGAACTTAAATACATATTATAAGTGTATTTTTTAAGTTTATGAATAGTTTTGTAATGAATTCGCATCATATCAGTGTGTCAAAACATGAAAGCCCTCATAGTCAATAGGAAAATGATAAACATTTATTAGATATCAGAAACCTGGAGCGCTTTCGTTCAGACGTCTGGGAAAAGGTTGAAGATTTGTAAACAGCAGCGACAAGTTTTAAAATGAACAATCCTGTAACTGTGAAATGTAATCAGGCTGAAATGGATTAAGTTATTGATCAGTTTAGCTGTTTTATTCGAGAAAAAAAAATCAAAGTAAGAGGTCTGTTTGGAAGCTGCAGCAGCCCTCAACCCTTGTTTTGTTTGGGGGATGGGACATCCCTTAGTCTTTCACCCTTCCTGATCTCTTTGAAATTTCTTAAGTTTGGTTATTGATTAACCAGCATTTTAAAGCTTGAGAAGGTCTGAAATATTTGTGTTGTTTCTAGAAAAAAATTGCAAAGATTTTTGAAGTTATTTCTAAACTTAAGAGAAAAGTAGGCCCATTAAATGTTGCTCAGCAGCCAACAAGAACCCAACACGTTTGTGCTTTCTTGACTTAACACCTTTTGTAATCTGACAATAGAGCGACCACAATAGGGGCACCTCATACAGCTCATCTCACACCGTTTGCAAAGCCCTTATCAGTTTCCCTCCTAAGTCGCTTACCATCAAACTACAAAGTGATAAATCACTGATGGTGGAGATCAAGATTAGTTTATTGCCTTCTGTCAAATGGTAGTAAACAGAGAGGTGGCGTGGGGGTTGGAGAGACCTGCATTGTAGCTATTAGAGGGCTTTTCAGTGTGTCGGTATCACTTGCCCCCTTGAGACATTGGGTGAAACTTCTCACCGCCCAGACAAATAAATGCTCTATTAGTCTAAGGTAATGCTTGTGACAGATTGGCAAAAAGGGTTTAAATGAGGGTGCCTTGTGGGGCTTTTACACCATGGACAAAAATACAGTTGTTTTCATGATGTGTCAACAAAAAATAATCAATTGTTTTAATTTTTTTGTCTCTACCTTTAATTGTTTTTAAAATGTAAAAGATAGTCCAGAGACTTGATAGAAAAAAACAAGTTGTCTTTAGTCTGTGTTACACTTAAATGAAAATAGATAATTTTAAACTATTATCATTAATATTCAAAGTACAGCTCTAAACAACGATGCTGTTGCTCATTCTGTATCTTGTTTCTTCACAGTGAGTCTGCAGTGCAAGATCCTGAAGTGTAACTCTGAATTTTGGGCCTCCACCTCAAGCTCTGGACCCGAGGAGGAGTTTTGCACAGCCCTGCGAGCATACAACAGCTGTGTACGCCGGACTGCTCGTACCTGCAGGGGAGACCTGGCGTACCACTCCGCCCAGCATGGCATTGAAGATCTCATGAGCCAACACAACTGCTCCAAGGAGGGGCCAACATCCCAACCTCGAGCACGTACTCCACTTCCGTCTCTTCCGCAGCCTCCTCTACCTGACAGCCAGGAACACTCAGATGGCCCCGAAGTGTGCCACTATGAGCGCAGTCTGGCACGCAACACGGCCCTGCCTAACTACACTCACTGTGGCTTCTTTGGAGACCCCCACCTCCGAACCTTTGGAGATGATTTTCAGACATGCAAGGTGGAAGGAGCCTGGCCGCTCATCCACAACAAGTACCTGTCTGTTCAGGTGACCAACACCCCTGTGGTGCCGGGCTCTATGGCAACTGCCACAAGCAAGGTGAGCATCCTTCCTGTTTGTCCTGCATGAATGCTAGCTTGGAACAAGGAAGGTTTGAGGATTCCTGCCTTTGAGGTGTGGAGTTTTCTCTGTTTTGCTGCAACTTCAATTAAATATGTTGCCAGAAGATGCAATATTAAGGATGCAAGGAAGTCCCTTTGCCCCAAGAACCAGGTGGTTTCACATTAACTGTTGTTTGACAAAAACAAATAGTTTTGTGTGTTTTTGACTGTGCTGTTGATGGAGGGGCATGTAGAATCTGACAGGTCTTGGTATACTCCTGAGTTGACTTCTTTGGAAGTCCCCAACATAGCTCTATTTGAATGATGCCTTTTTTTGTCCCACACTGTTCTGCAACAGTGAAGTATCCTGATGTGATTGAAATTGGTGTGGTACAAGTTGTAAACCGACAGTAGTAGCTTCACATTAGACAGACGTGTGCACACACTGTTATCTCCTTTTACACCTCTGTTACGATCTCTGCTGTGTCACAACATTAATGTGACATTTACAGTGAAGATGAAGTTACGATGTGAGAGTCCTGCCTTGAAACGTCAAAGTAGTCTTAAACATCTCTAAAAGGAAAATTAACCAAAATTGATTTTAGGTTAAGAGAGAATAGGAAAAAAATCTATTATTTTGCTGTAATGATGTTACATTGTAGTTGTTGGTAGCTTTTGTTAAGCATATTGATCTCATAGGAGTCGGTGTTGCAGCAGATCATCTTGCTGTTGGTGTTTCTCTTTGTGTGAGTCTCCTCTTTTATGTGGTCTGGCCGTGAGAGCTGCTCTTCTGTCAAACTCTGGACTCTGGTTAGTGTTTGGACGCGTTCCATCATACAGATAAAAGAAGCCAAACTCCAGCTCTATTGAACAGATCTTGATAAGCTTTATAAATGATATGTTTGTGTAATAACAGCAGTGCTACGTCAAATGTTAACCCGAGGCTCCATTTTCACTTTTCACAGCAGACACTTAAGTCTGAGGTTTGGCCTACTTAGACTTTGCTTCATATTGAGCACATGAAAAGAAAAACAGTTGATATTTTCCTCGATTTTATCAGATATTTTCTTTCATAGCTCAAACATCAGGGCACTTCTTACTATTGTTGTTTTGTTTAAAGGCACAATGGCCAGTTTGGAGAGCTTTCAGTCGAACTGGAGGTCAAAAACAATAAGATGCAAGAAGTACGAGCTTTTACTGTGGGCAGTTCACTTAGAGTTGGTCCAGTCACTTCATCTTGTATCATAACTGAACTGTTAACACTGAGGTATAAAAGCACTTTGTCCTTAATCACATTTGAAGAGAGTATAATTTTCTGCAATCAAGGGTTCCTAATGATACACTATTAAGCATTTGTGCCTTTTTTTAGGCTTTTTACAGTAAAGATATTTTGTATTGCTGTTCTTGGAAGCAAATGAGACGACTTTTTTTTTTTATAAGATCTTGATTCTGGACAAAAGGGGAAAACAAGGCAGCAGCCAGTGCCACCTGTGCAAACAAAGCCCCCTCTGGTAAAAGATCTGCATTTGCAGAGCTCCGTGTTTGGTACTTAGCTTTAACTCGAGCAAATAAAACTGTCTGGATTTTTCCATCTTCATTCTGATAGAGGGATAATAGAGCCATTTTCTTTTGTTTGTTTTCATTAAAAGCTTGAGAAATGAACCAGGAAAAAAAACAAGAGTTGGAATCGGTGGGAAATGTTAGCTGAGGGTCGAGGGGAATTAGGGCAGAACTGGTGCAACAGATGAATTGTCAAGCTAATAGAGTTTTCTGAAGACTCCTGCTCCTCTGTCCATAGTGTGCAGACACCAGAGTCCCCGGGCCCTGACAATGGCTCATTGGTGTCCTGATGAAACCAAGCTAGCAGGGTCCTGAGCGGTCTCACTTAATTAGCTGCAGAGTATATCCCTCTGTCCTGGCTCGATGCCACTCCCTGGAGCATAGTTCTGGGGTTCACAAGCAGGTTTTTTAGCACGATGAATGGATCGTCTTTGTGTCTGCGAACTGAGGCCTGATTTTACATGGCCCAGACTCATGTTTTTTGAGGGCGTTTACCTTGGCTTCCCCCATGTTGAGCCAGCGCTGAAATGTGACACTAAAAAGGGGCTGCGGGGTAGATGGCACATGTTGCATAAACTAGTGCTCAATGCAAAGTAGAAGAACTTCCCCTTCTTAAAATCTAATATTTACATTTATTACCAGTTATAAGGAATCTACTCAGCATCTCATGGCTGCCAATTCAACCCCAGTGCATTTGATCATTCAGCCTTTTGCTCACTAGATTTCTCTTTTTTTGTCGTCCTGCAGCTGACAATCATCTTTAAGAACTTCCAGGAATGTGTGGACCAGAAGATGTACCATGCAGAGACAGACGAGCTCCCAGCAGCCTTTGCAGACGGCTCTAAGAACGGAGGGGACCGCAACGGGGCGAACACCCTACGTGTCGTGGAGAAGGTTCCTGGGCAGCATGTGGAAATCCAGGCCAAGTACATCGGGGCGACCATCGTGGTCCGGCAGGTTGGCCGCTACCTAACCTTTGCGGTGCGAATGCCTGAGGAAGTTGTGAACTCGGTAGAGGAAGGGGATAACCAGGACTTGTACCTGTGTCTTCATGGCTGCCCCGCCAACCAGCGCATCGATTTCAGGAGCGTCAGGTCTCGAGGGGCGGAGTCTCAAGGTGCGAGCAGGACCAGGAGCAGTTTCACGTACCAGTCTGCCAAAGCTAAGTGCAAGGAGCGACTCCCTGTGGAGGACCTGTACTTCCAATCGTGTGTGTTTGACCTCCTCTCTTCTGGAGACATAAACTTCACCATGGCAGCCTACTACGCCTTCGAGGATGTAAAAATGCTCCACTCAAACAGCAAAAGATACCACATATTTGAAAAGGATGCTTTCATGAGCAACGCGGAACCACGGGGCAAAGATTTACTTTCACTCTTCCTCCTCAACCTCCTGGCGGTGTTATTGTGGATTGAGTGCAGCTCGGTTCATCTATAGTCTCTTTACAACAATATCCTCATGATGTTTCTGTCAGTGAGTGTTAGAGTGCATTGTCGTGTCGTTCATCGGCTCCTCTCCTCCGCTCTGGTTCTGTGACGTGACCGGTGGCTTGCCTGCAGGCTCATCCCAGCTCTGAGTCTCATTTTTAGCGTTATTGTTGTGTTTTGACTCCAGCGGAATGACATGGCGAGTTCACCGTGGTTCCATCGCTCATCACGTGTATTTAGCTGGTTTAGAGGAATGGTCTTTGATGGGAGCAGCGGTGAGAGAGCCCACCGACTCCAGAGTTCAGGGCATCCACCTGGGATTATATCCCACATTCTCACCAGGCTGCATGCCTATGGGAAGCCGGACAAGATGATCTTTTGCAGAAAGAGGAGTTTGCTGATCCTCTCTCCCCCTGATCCCCACGTTGGTGCTGAGCCAGTGAAGCTCTCTGTGGCTCATGTGGCGAAGTGAGAGGACCTGACAAGGCCTTTTGTTAACCTAAGGCCAGAAGCAGCTCTATGTTTGATTAGTTTCCAACTATGGAAAAGCCTGAGCCCTTTTTTGGAGGAAACACTCAGCCAAAAGGATGTCAGAGCAGCGTCTCCACTCGTCTGCTGTGGAGATTAATGGGTCATATTGTTAGGTTTTGCGAGTGTGTGAGTGTGTTGTGTATGTGTGTGACTTCAATGTGTGTTCAGAATTCAGCGTCTGTTGTTAATTTCGTGTGTTTGTGCGGGTTCCCAGAAATGAGATAACAAAACTGCAGTTGGAAAAAAATCGTTCCAGGTCTTTGTTTTGCACCCAGATATTGAGAAGTAGAGGCTCTACACTTGGTTTGCTCAAACAGAGTCAGAGAGACGATCTCCAAAGGGAACCAATGAAAATAATCTCTCCTCATCTGTATGTCATTTTCAGTCTCACACAGCCCGTTACTTCATTGTTTGAGCTGTTGATTGGACAGTGTTTTGTATTCTCAGTCTGTAATGTGAATGTAGCGAACAAGAACGCAAAAGAACAACCTTGGCAAAGGGACTTCAGAGTGTTTACAGATTTTAAGACCAGACCAACAAACTAAGGCACCTCTTTTGAAAGCGTTTTGTAATTGTAACTCTATTTCCCAGTAGTTGCAAAAAGCGGTGTTAGTACTAGCTGTAAAGACGGCAGTTTAGTGTTTTATAGACTACCAGTGTGCTGACCTGACCGTGGCTTAGTGCGTAAATGATAAGCATATGTCTGTAGACGTGATTTCATGGCTCAAGTCATTGCCAAAGAACAAGCCCTCGTGCCAACACCTCCCTCACAGCTGAATTTTCATCATTCAGTCTTTAACTGTACACATTAAGGGGGATTCGTAGCTATTTAGACGTTTAACTCGTGTGTTTGTGGGGGAACTTGCAGTAGGCAGAGAAATTATGGTAACACTCTAAAAGCAGCTTTTCTTTCTGTTTTTGCGGTCTCACTTGTGCTTTCCTTGCGTTTTCTTGCTCTCAGCTGCAGTATCTGCGGTCGTGTGTATGACATCCCTGTAGATACTGTTACCACTCGGGCACAGTTTTATGTTCATCCACTCTTTACACTGAAGTATTCGGCAGGCCTTACTACTGCTATTAGGAATGTGTTTAGGTGCAGTTTGATAACAAAAAATCCTACAAACAGATGATTGTACTGTTGAATCTTGTGTTCATAGATGTAATTTGTGTTGTGAGTTTTACAGTAAGTGGTTCTACACGTGTAATGTGAGTTTGTACATATGTTCTGTGAGCTTAAATTTGTATAGTTCAAGTTGTGTTGAATTTCACACTCCAGTTTTTGTACATCAGATGTTTTGGTGAATGTGAACCTTTATTTTTTTTTGTTTTTTCTTTGAAAAGGGATATTTTTTGCAAAAATACGAACACCCCAGAACACATTATTCTGAACTTAACACCGTAAACTGATGTAGTTTTGTGGATAAAGTCATTTCTGCTCGCCTAGTGATGGGTCCTATGAAACACTTTCCAAACACAGGCAGCTCACAGAGAAAGGGAATGTAGGAACATGTTCTGCGGTGTTCGTGTTTTTGAGTTTGAAGCACTTTATGTTTACATTTTCATTTAGCTCTTATTTTAAGTTTTTTCAGACTGGTGTAAAGTCTAAAAAATAGCTGAATGGGAAATGCCAGACAGATCAAACTGTGTTTTTATGTTAAGAAAATGTTGTGCCACACGCCAGCTGTTTATAATGTAAATTATTTATTGAATAAAAGAAAATGTCTTGTTAATTGATCTCTAGTCTTATTTGAGTGAGTTTATGCTTTATAAGTCACTGTGCTTTTTATTAACACAATATGTTGTGTGTGACTGCCCCCTGCTGTAAAAATCCTGAAATGATCTTTAGCTTCCCGAGGATGATCGGCTCACTGGACAGTAGATCTGCAGATATTAGGAGATATAAGTGTGAACTTAAATAACATGTAAGTGTGGCACAGTCGTGCAGATTACAAAACAGACCACGTCCTACAGAGTCCTACAAACTCTGGATCAACCAATGTCAGAGCTCCAACAATAGTGGACCACAATGGCTTTATGCACTCTGTCTCTGCTTCAGCAAATAAAAGCTCAATAAGACAGACATAAATTGGAAAGTAAGATGAGAAGTAGTCATCCATGTGGTTTCTCAAACATGAGCTTTCTTTGTCACCCAAAAGATGCGACAGTCTATTCAAAAGTTATGAAGACATGACCAAAATAACTATACTTACACCTCTTAATTCTGCCCTTTCAAACAGAAGTGCCGGTGTGGTTTAGCGGCTGAATCATGCGCTCCCATGTACAGTAGCGGCTCAAAAATAGGAATGCTCCTAAAAAGTCATTTCTTTTCCCTCACAATTAGTTTCAGAAAAACTGATCACCTCCATGCCATGTCAATTTGATGCAATAACTCATGCCAAAGGAGCTTTGACCCAGTCCTGAGTATGAATATTAACCTAATTTAGCACAAGGTCTTAGTTTTTGGTTCATAAATCCTTTTTTTTATCATTTTGTAATTTTCCGGTTTTTGATTTTTGTAAGCTGTAATCATTAAAATTTAAATTTAAAAGTCTTGAAATATTGCATTTAGTATGTTATTAATCTAAAATAAATGGAAGTTTCACTTTCTCTATTAAATTAGTGGGGAAAAATGAACATTTTTGAAGCTGCACCAGAACCGGGCAGCCAGCCCAGACCTGATTCCTACCTGTGGCCCTTTAACGAATTACATTCCCTGCTCTCTCCTCCTGTTTCCCACTCTATTCACTGTTCTCCTCCTCCTAAAAGATTAAAATCTATTTACAAAAAAACCCTTAAATGAGATGGGGGATGAGACCTGAATAATGAATCTAAGAAATGAAGGATCTTTTTTTAAAAGATTTTTTAAAGTGATTAAAAGTGCAAAAGTTACTGTCTGCTCTTTCATTTATTTGCTGTATGCGCCCTTCGTTTACTTGTCTCCCACTGTTTCTTTATTCACTTTTTGTTTTTTTAATTTTAAGTATATGAAGATATATAAAATGCATCACTCATTGTTAGTTTGGGGTGGGATTTCTTTTGTTTTTTTTCGTGCTCTGTTATCTGTTTTGTTTGTTTTTTATAATGTATGTTTATAAAAGTGAAAAACCAATAGAGAGTAGAACAAAAAAGTTAAAAAAAGTGCAAAAGTTAAGAGAGAAAGAAGGCAACCTTTCATTGTGTAACAAAGTTTATTACATATGCGTAAACATATGTACAGCACATTTCTCATGGAGAGTGGTTCTGTCACAAATATAAATTATTCAATCTTTCTTAAAGACATATGATACAGGAACTGTAGTTTGCTGAACGTGGAAGAAGAGATGTGCTGGCTGTTCACTGTAACAGGTTGGTTAGGCGCCCCTGATGATACACACACACACTAGTTTTCTACATTAACACTTTCCCATCAAATCATCAACCCTTATGGAAGTTACATGATCATCACCAGAATACATGGTCCCTTCACCAATCTCAAGTCATTCAGTGAAAAAAAAACGGACACATCCAGCCTGCGTTAGACCCCAGTATGTCTAACACACGTCATGATGATACACAAATAAGGCACAAATGGAGAAGCGTTAAAAAATAATAGAAAACAACCAAGGGCCAGAGCAGGGCTGGATTTGGCACAGGAAAAGAGTGCACTAAGGTAATAAACAATGAAATGTCATCAGCAGCTTCCTAATAACACTTCGACATCCTACCAGCAGCAGTCTGAGGATTCAAACTACGACCATAAAGTGAGAAAACTTGTATTACAGGGTACTTATGAACATCATAAAGTACTCATTTACCATGAAAGGACAGACAGGTGAGTTCTTGAGTCCACACTGACATACCATCATTAACCATTGTAATACTGAAAGGCAAATATAAAGGATCGCTCTAAGTCATAGTGTTATGAACCGTTGCACGAGTTTGTTTCAATAAATACTGCTAACAAAGCTTCATTTTACTGGGCCTACGAAGAGGAAAGTGGTTAAAGTGAGCAGAGCAAGATGGTTGCAATGATTTATATCGTTACACAATTACAGAGCAGACTGTTATTTGTACACACGAGAAATGTGAATTTGCTAAAACCTCCACAAACTTCATGATGAGCGTCTGGAAGAAACATACTGGCATGATTGATCATTCAAATGTCAAAAAGTTACGCTGTCCCATCCCTGCACCGTTCAAACCCCACATGATGACAAACCCCCAAGATTCAGTTCAGCTACATGTTCAAGAGGAACATTATGGAGGTGCGGATGATAACGAAATACACATTCTTCAGTAATGACATCATTTGAAAGATTTAAAGCTTAACACAAAATAATGAATGTCCACGTCGTGCTTCATGTGGGAATAATCCCGTACATTAACCATTCAAGAATGCCAAAACCTTCAGGCACTTTTAGGATTGAGATCAGTCTTCAGTTCATGTATCCTAAACCTTCTTGAGAAAATAGTCCATGGGACTAAGCTTCAATCAGTGTTCCACTCAGTCAGATAGAGTTAAATTATTTAAATAAAGATGCCTGTTTTCGTTTTACATCATGAAGATGACAGGAGGAAACACACTTCTTCCTTTAGGGCACATTTCATTCACAGCCACAGTCTGCGGGAGGAAAAGAGCAAACTAGTTTTGCTGGTAACGAGGGTTCACATTGATTCCCTTTCCACCTGCGAGCTTATGATTGGCACGTCCAGACTTGTCCATCAGCAGCATCCGGCTCTGACATCGGACAAAAAGACCCATTAGTTTTTAGACCAGCACTGGCCTATTTCTATGTTTTCCTGTTGTTCCAGTTAGGATCTGCAGCAGCAGCGTTCGGCTCTGCGGGACGCTCAAGTGGGGAGCGAGAGTCTTGGGGAGACTTCTGAGCCTGTGGGGAGCGTGGATCCAGCAGAGGAGGAGGTTTATCTGGGTGGAAGGGTCTGGTATAGTGCTCTGAGCCAGGTGGACCTGCAGGCCTGTGGTCTGGCATCCTCCTGAAGTCCTGAATTGGGCCTTCCCTGCCTTGGTGGTAGTTGGGACGGAACTCATCCGGACGTCTTCTTTTTGGGTCAGGATGCCTGAAATTAAATTTTTAGAGGTTACTCCAGCTGTGTGAAACAAACTTAAACTGGTGTTAACTAAAGCGAAACATGCAAAAGCAGTTGGGACCAGATTTTACTGTAGAAAAAACTCTCAATATAAAAGTTGTAAATGAATCACAAAAATGACCAAAAATTTTCTTTTCTGAGAATATGTTTATTTTTTTTCCCTGTTGTCCGATTATTACATTCCTCTACCTCCACAACCCCACTGAACACAACTACCCAGCAGCGTTTCATCAAAGCCTTTGTCTCGGACTGAAATCAGGTTTGAATGACTCTTACCTGTCATAATAAGGTCTGTGCCCCCTGTGGTCCCTGTCGTTGCCGTATTCATACGGCCGTTTTCGAGGGGAGCTGTTGTTGCGGTAATTGCCTGAGCTGCGGTAGGAGTCTCCATGGGGACGCCGATCGCCATAGTGATCCTTGTAGCGGTGTTGGTCGTACGGATGATGTCGGTCTCCCTGCCATGACTGGTTGCTGTTGCCTGGGTAGTTGTATTTACGATCCCTCTGCCAGTCTCCCCTGTCTTAAATACAAGGTGTGAAAGTTAATGTCACTAAATGTCTCATTACAGTAACAGAGGCTTGTCTTGCCTCCTCTCTGCCTCTCCAGTCAAAGGACATTTCCGACATTTGCACATCAGAGCTGAATGATTTCACTCGCACATACCATCATTGCCAAAGTGCCGTTTGTTAGCTGCGTTGTATGGCTCTCTGTGATGTCCGTGGGGGCCTGCCTGAGGTGTGTGAGATGAACCTTTGGAGGCCAGTTGAGTACCCATGTTGTCTCGACTGGAACCAGACGGCTCCGCCCTGAAAGATTTAGCTCTCCCTGCAGAATCGTCCTTCTTCTTATGCTCCTTCTGGAAAGGATTCAACAAAAGGATTTCACAAACATGATGGTGACGCTGTTCACCTCCAACTAATAAACTGCTGGAAATGAAAAAATCCGCTTGCCTCTTCCTCGTGTGATCGCTTCTTTTGTGCCATTTTGTAAAGCTTGTGAAGCTTTCTTGCCCCAAACTCTGTAAACTTGGACACAAAAATCCAGAGATTTCTGCCAAAAGAGGCACAAAATACCGGTTAGAAGAATCGAACAGATGAATACTGTTACTCTAAAGAGGTGATGTCCGATCAGCTTACCTTCGCCAGATTTTCACATGTTCAGGGTCACTGTAGGCTTTAAGGCACTCTGTGATTCGGTCACCAATCTTCAATAGGCATGTGCGAGTGTGCTGGAGCTGCTCCTGGTCGGACAAACCCTCATCCGGTTTGTCCAGCTGCTTTAAGGCCTTCTTCACCGGCCTCATGCGCTCCTTACACTGCACACATATTCACAGTATATAAGTGACACTGTTGAATCGTTTCTAAAACATGTACTCCACAGATTATTATCAAACTCACAATACTGAAAGTCTCCTGGTCGAGTTCGTCATCCTCCTTTCCTTCGATAGGAACAGGTTCAGACCCGGCTGTGATGTGGACTGGACCTTGAGTCTTCTTCCCTTTGGTTCCTTTAGCCTGAAAAAATAACACACACATGAAAGGTGTAATGTCTAAAACCGTTAACACAGATAGGACAGAGACAAACAAATAACACACCTACAATCACAGCAAGTATTACCTTTTCTTTTCTTGGCTTGGCACTCTTTTTCTCCTTGTCCCCGTCCTTCTCTTTTTTCGGAGTTCCCTGTTTTTCTTTGTTCTCTTTGTTGTCCTTTTTCTTTTGTCTTTTCTTAGCAGGGGACTTCTCTGTTCCCTCATCCTGCTCGAACACAAGGAATAACAGCACGTTACACAAATTCCTGTTGTTGAGAAAATGACACATCACCCTTTCACATATAAACAGCACCTCTGGATATTTAATAAGTCACACTGGGCCAGGTGTTGCTGTATAATCTTCACTGCTAAACTCAGTTGTCAATTTTGTTTATAACGTCACTATAAACATTATAGTGACATTAACACATTCTTAAGTACAGACAACTCCTTCTCCTGTCCCCCTCACCTTCATCAAACAGAGTATTTTACGTTATAAGAGCACATCCTCCAAAGACGGACATGCACGCTCCTGAAAATACCAACCCCTGAGAGTTACTTTGAAAGTATCAGATGTTTATGTGTGAAAAGGTTTAAAGAGATGTGAATAAGAAATCAAGCTTGGATACACTTCCTTTTTAAAGGTGTTTGAGTGTTCAGTCTGTGGTTTACCGCTTTACAGAGCCTGGTTTACAGTTTGGCATGTGACTGATACACTGACTGCTTATGGAAAAGTGAACACAGAAAAGCTGTGTGTATTTAGTTCAACATCCTCGGATCATCTTCTGCTTCAATGAGAGAAGCTTAAGCATTGAAGACTCACAGCTATCAAAGAGTGAAATGAGTTGGTTGTAGGGCTGTCAAAATTGCTCCAAAATGACGTTTGAATATTTGTTCTAAAAATAACACATAGGGTTGAATATATTCGAATATCTAGCTTACACAGTTTGCATATAACTCTGTCTCGCTGAGCATTTTTTCCGTCTACCGTGAAGAATTACCAAATGGAGCTTCTAAAGTTCCTTGGAGTACAGACTACTCTCTCAGAGTTTGGCTCCGAACATCCCAACACCTCTCTCTACATGTGCCACAGACAGTTTTTTTCTAGTCTCACTGCATGTGCACCTCCTGTGACTGTTTCCCCACTCAGTTTTTCCTGCTGTTTTAATATTCAAATATTAATTTTCACATTCAAGTCTTTTTTTTCTTTTTAAATATTCAAACATGTATTCAAATTTTGCATATTTGTTGACAATCCTAGTTGATTGTTAGCAAAAAGCAGATGATCCGTACCATCAAGAACATAACTTCAACCTGATGTGGAGACACTGACCCTCAGCTGTTGAGTGTCGTGTGTGTGCAGCAGGGAAAATGCCACTACAGTAATGATCTCATGTCTCACCTTGACTTCGCCCTCCTCAGACGGGTTGTCTGACAGGCGAGGGGAAGAGATCTCATTTCCTTGCTCATCCTTTAGTGCCTTTTCCTTTTTCGCTCGAGGCTTCCTCTTCCTCACTTTGACCTTTAGAGGAAGACGGCGTTTGAGCTTTGTTGTTGCTAGGAGGCTTCAAAGATCAACTTTATGTGCTGATAGTAGTATCGTGAGTTACTCATAGTTTGACTGCGGCTTACCTCCTCCCCTGATTTAGACACGTCTGTGCTGTCTTGCTCTTTTTTCAGCAGCTTAAGGAGATACTCAGCTCTCGCCTGTAATTGCTTGTTTTGGGGCTTCTTGTTTGGATCATCTGGGAGAATCTGTGCAAAGGGAATAACATCTTTGACTATTACTTTATTCAGGATGTTTGGTGAAGATCTGAAAAATATGTTTTCTAGGTCAAGATTTGATTTTTTTTTTTAAATGGTTAAAACTTGTATTTTAATCACATGCTAAACAGATTAGTTTTGCTGCAAATGCAAGCAACAAATATCTTCATGAAACTTACTTACACATAGAGCATCTTGAACTTGGTGCCATCAGAAGATAACCGATATTTACCTTTTCAGAGAGTTTCAGGTCAGGGTCGGTCTTGATCAGATCCCAGTTCCCAAAGCCATGTTCATAGATACCAAGCAGAAGCTGGACGTCATCCTGCAGGTCCCAGTCCACATCAAAGTGCGCTACCTTGACCCTGCATGTCAGATTGAACCTGCAGTAAACAGACGTGTTAGACTACATCTGCAACAGAGATGCATTTTTCCCAAACATCATATCCATATCTATCCTCTATGAGAAACTTTCTCTCACTTGTTTCTCTCGTCAGGATTGGACGGCACCGCTTTGTGCAGAGGCTCAAACTCCTCCTCATGCTGGATGATGGACTTGGCGTTCACTTGCACCCCTGAGATCTTGATGTTAATTCCTCGCCGCTTCCCTGGACCTTTGGCTAAAAGCATAACAGACATAAATCCAGGACCTACATGATGTTAACCGCATAGACCTCCTAAACAGTGAAGTGTTCGTACCTTCAACTGGGTTCTCTTTAAGTTGCTCCTCGTGCTCCTGCACTGCAGCCACACAGCTTGTATGTATCAGCTCCCCAAGTCTCTTCAGGTCGGCTATAGACTTGTCAACCAGCTCAGAGTCTCGGGCGATGGCTTCCAACCTTCCAACACAAAGGCAGCCTTGTCAGTTGCCTATAATGTAGATGTACTGTATACTCATTTTTAACATCAGCTTATACTGTGCTCACCTCTCAAGAGGAGAACCAAACTTCTTGTACGCCTTGATGAACCTGTGAAGACATTTTTAGATGAGCTCACGAATGAAACTACTTTTCTATTTTTTGGAAAACAGTATTTTAGAACTGTGGTAATAGTCAGGAAACATACATACTTTTTCATTTACCATACTTTTTAAGACTTGGAAATTGATCAAACTACTTCTATACTTCCCACACTTGCGTAGGAACCCAATAAAACAAACCTGCTGCAAGTGGAATAAAAGGGGACTTCACCTGCGAATCTCTGCATCAGTGAAACCCTCCACGTTGTTCTTGCGAGCTCTGGGTCTGCCTCTCTTCTTTGGCTTCTTGTCATCATCGCTATCATCAGTCTCACTATCAGAGCCGGAGGAACGATGCTTGAGCTTTGAGCCCACATCACTGTCGCTGTCATTAGCCTGAGCCTGAGAGACAGAGGAGCAAGAGCGGTACGAATGTCAAGAAATCTCTGATCTGGGTTTGCAAAAGCCGAGGTATCTTCTTTTTTCAACCACTAAGCTTTAAATTCTTCTTCTCTTTTACCTTCTTGTTTGAACTCCTGCTTCGGGGCAGCATGAAGATGTCCTCCATCTCTCGCTGCTTTTCCTCCTCCTCAATTTTGCGGCGCTGCTCCTCTGGGATGATGTCATCCCATTCACGTATGGGCTTCTCCTCAAACTCTTGGGTGCTCTCCTCCATGCTGGAAAAGTTAGCCACCTGCAGAGAGGAAAAGGAGAGAATTTAAAAAAGAGGGATGCCTCACATGGACAGTATGATTTCATGTCTGGTGTGAGTCAGTGGAGACTTCATGCAACAGCACAAACTCGCAGATACCTTAAACTGAGATAGAAGTTCATCTGTGGCGCTTGAGCCCTGATCACTTTCTCTTGTTTCGGCCAACCTCAGGATCTCATCGATGTCCATCTCCTACAGAGACAAATTCAGGCTTAACTTCACTCAAATCTAGGAAGTGTTTTAGAGGAAGAGAAGATAAATATCAGCCACTAAAATACCTGAGGTTCAGACTCTTCTCCTTCTGCTTCTTTAAAAAGTTCCTCTGCACCAAACTTGAGGATGGCAGTCAGCTCTTCTTTATTAAACGGGTTTGAGCTGTGAACAAAAAAGCAACAACAGAGGTTCAGTTTCTTGATCTCTGACAAAATGAATCAACAGAAAACTGTATCTCATTTCTGACATCTTACTTTGTGGTTCCTGAGTTGCTGTCCAGTACAGTCCGACCTGTGGTGTCCATTCTCTGAATGACAAGATGGTCTAAAACCATCTTCTTCTTCGCCCTCTCGATGATGTCCTCCTCTACTGTTCCTTTAGTGACCAGTCGATAAATATTCACCTACAGAAGCAAACCACAGGGTACGTTTGTACTTGTAAGATTTTCTGGATTATCTGTTGTGACAGACGTGAATTAGAGACATGGTTTACCTGTTTCTTTTGTCCGATCCTGTGAGCTCTTGCTTGTGCCTGCAGGTCGTTTTGAGGGTTCCAGTCTGAGTCAAAGATGACTACTGTGTCTGCTGACGCCAAGTTTATCCCCAAACCTCCAGCTCTGGTGGACAGTAGGAAACAGAAGTCCTGGAAAACAGATGATTTGATTATAAACATGAAATATTCAAGAACAAAAGAAACAACATACTCCAGCACTTTTTATTGTGTCCTACACTTTTAATACAGTTGAGAAAAATCACAACTTTCATGAGTTAAAGTTAACTTAGAGTTTTTAAAGTGTGGTCAAATACATGCTGGAACTGTATGAATTTAATTTAGTCATTATCCAAAAACGATTTTGCCAGCACTGCTTTTTTGGGGGAGGATATGCTAACATCCTCATAATTGAGATATGAATTTCATGAAAATTCAAAGGAGTAATTTGTTACAGCAGCTTAATTACATATTTAATGCCAAATTTTCTTTTAATACTTGCAATCCCTCAGTCTATCAGTTAATAGGATTAAGTTATGCTTGCACGCACCTCTGAGCCTTCTGCGTTGAAGTGGTCAAGTGCTTGCTTTCGGATTTCTCCCTTTATGGAGCCGTCCAGCCGCTGGAGAGCAGAGAGAGCAGAGAGGCAAACGCACAGAGAGTTAACCTTTGAAGTCCTCCTCCTGCTGTAACCCCGACAACCCTTTCCCCGGCATGTCAGCGTACTCAGTCCATTACTCAGATTGATCACAACAGTCTACAACCAATATGTCAGCAAAAATAACCCCAAGCAGGAGAGACTTGCAGGAGTTCAGCAGGCCTTCTTCAACAGAAAATAACTCACCGATATAAATAACCGCATGAGCTCTCAGCCTGTTGGAGTATGTGTACAACAACACTGACATCTGATGCTCCTTACCAGCGCAACCCGCCTGACACAGCCTCCCCACAGGCTTTATTATTGTAAACACCAATAAAGACCACAGTCAGAAACTTTAATCTGGGATAACAAATAGCAGCTATTGACACAGTGACAGGAGACACTGGTGATGAAGCTGATAACAGCTGACAGAAAATGTTAGTCTAACCTTCTGGAGGTTTAATTCTCCTCTAAACTGACAGGATGATAGCAGATACTGCACAGATATTGTGTGGTCTGCAGCCATCCAGTCCCTCTGTCAGGTCCAGCCTTTGCTTCCCTGTACATCAGTGAGCCTCAGTGAGCCTGTGACCTAGTTTCCCCTCTTTGAACCACATCTGGTAGGTAGTGAAAGACTTCTGCAAGACCAGAAACTCTCCTAAAGAGCTGCAGTTTTGGAGATGCTCTGACCCAGCTGTACAATCGACATAATTTAGCCCTTGCGAAGATGCTCACAAGTTCACATATGATCATTTTTCCTGCTTCTATGTTCCACCCTTAGCCTTAGAAGTGATGTAAATCTGGGGCGCGCAGATGGCGGAGCGGGTTAGCGTGCTCCATGTATGGGGACCACTGTCCCTGCAGCGGTAGCGGGTTCGAGTCCGGCCCCAATCATGTGCTACATGTCCTCCCCCATCTCTCTCTATCTCCCCATATTTCCAATCTGTCGTATCAATAAAGGCAAAAAATTGCCCACAAAAAAATACAAGAAAAAAACAACAACAACAAAAATGTACTATCACTCCAATAAAAAAACAAACAAAAAAACACATGCATACTATCACTACAGTGAAAAAAAACACACAAAAAAAACATACTATCACCACAGTCAAAACAAAAACAAACTATCACTACAATACACAAACAACAACAAAAACGTACTTTCACTACGATTAAATAACAAAACAAAATAAAAAAAACACTATCACTATAATAAAAAACAAAAACATACAATTTAAAAAAATAAATATATATCTCCGAACTGGAATTAAAAAAAAAATTAAGAACAAAAACGTACTATCACTACAATAAAAAAAGAAATGATGTAAATCTTACCTGGAATGGGTAGTGTCTCTTAGTGAGGTACTCAGCCAGAATGTCCAACATCCTGACCATCTGGGAGAAGATCAGGACTCGATTCCCTCTTTCTCTGAGTCTAGTCAGCAGCTTGTCCAGCAGCACCAGTTTCCCACTGCCCCTCACGAGGCTCTAAAACACCCAGAGTTCAAGTTTAGAGAGCAGAGTTTGGGAGAAATTAAGCTGCACTTGTGTTTGTTCAGCTAGCTTCTTTCATGGAGCGGGGATATCCTGAGGTGTCGCTGCGAGCTTAAAAAGGCTCATGAGGAGACATACCTGCAGGTAATCCTGTGGTGTTTCGGGTTCGGCGTCCTCAGACTGCTTAATGAGGCAACTGTGGTTACAGCATTTTTTAAGCTCCATAACGATGTTGAGAAAGCCAGAGGAGCTGCCTCGGGTGCCTTTGGAAAGAGCTTTGTAATTCCTCGTTAAAATCCACCTGGAAACATTGAGGAACAAATTCTGTTAATGAAGACAAGAAATGCAGCTACCTCAGCTTTGTGTGTAAGAAATAGGTTACCAAAAAGACAGAAATAAAACCATACTTGTAAAACTGTTTCTGTTGTGCAGTCATGTCTACACGAAGGATCTGCTCCACCTTGGCAGGGAGGGATTTTTCCACATCCTTCTTGACACGGCGCAGGAGGAACGGCTCAAGGACTTTGTGCAGACTCTGATAACCGTTATCTCTCCCTTTACCGTGATCATCCTCAAAATCCTCCCAAGAATCAAACCTGTGGTGCACAATGGGGATAACAGATGTCGATCATCTCCAGCTGGAATTCAGACAAATGAAACTTTCCATGCTTTGGTTCGGGTTTCATCTTAAACCTGGACGTACTTGTCGGGCATGAGGAAGTGCAACAGTGACCAGAGCTCTTTGAGGGAGTTCTGCAGCGGAGTGCCGGTAATAAGGAGTCTGTGGTTAGACCTGAACTCCATTAAAGATTTGTAGAGCAGGGAGTCGTCGTTCTTGAGTCTGTGAGCTTCATCCACACCCAAGAATGCCCAGTTTATGTTCCCGAGAACACCCTGAAGACAACATTAAAGGTGAAACCGAGCAGTTCACACTTTAGCGCTACATAACCTCTGACGAATCCTAATAACTGAGCTTACCTTGTCTTTAAGAAGAATCTCATAGGTGGTTAAAAGAGCGTTGAAACGTATCCTTTTCGTTTGATGGTTCACCCACTCATAATCTCGAATCTACAAAGAACAGGAGCAACAATATAAGTCTATGTAAAAGAATCTGATGGTACAATGAGAGTCCAGACTGTTGTGGTTCAACTTACTGTTTTCCTGCTCATGACGTCACCGAGGTAAACCACCACATTCATGTCCGGGGCCCAGGTGTCAAACTCCCTCTGCCAGGAGGTGAGTGTGGACAGAGGTACCACCAAGAGGAAGGGCCCATACAGCTGATGTTGATGGAACAAGTAGGACAGAAAGGAGATGGTCTGGATGGTCTTCCCAAGTCCCATCTCATCAGCCAGGATGACACTGTTGCACCTGAGGAAGAGGAATAAGAAAACTACATAGTTATCATCTTTCTTTTCCCCACTTTAACTGGTTTAAGTTTTAAATAAGGTCATCAGTGCGAATTACAGTAACACTTTACTTGACACCTATCTCTATAACGCATTATAAATATATGTATAATATGTTATGGTCACGTTATAACACTATAGTTATAAACACTCATAAATGATCATAATGCTTTATAGCGATAATCATAACACAATATAAAGCATTTTATCATGACTTACAAGGTCAGGTATTATAATGTGTGATAACTGTTAACAACTCACTGACAATGCCCACATAGATAATGCATTATACATATATTTATGATGTGTTGTAATTTGCTTATAAACTTGTGTAACTATCATTATAAACACTCATTAATTATCATAAGGCGTTATATAACAATAATCATAACACATAATAAAATACTTGATAATGTGTTATGATTAATGCTAAAAGCATTATGATCATTTATGGGTGTTTATAGCTATAGTTATACAGTACTATAATGTGATTATAACGCATTGTACATATATTTATAATGCGTTATAGAGATGGGCGTCAAGTTAAGCGTTACTCAAATGACATTTGAAATTACCTGCACCAGGAGTGTGCCAACCAGTTCAAGCCATCCAGCTGATAATCCCTTAGTTGAAGATTATCATCTCCGATATACGTTGGCTGTTTCTTCAGAGGAACAAACCTCGGTCTTTGCTTTAGTACCTGAAATGAAAGTAAGGGATACATTTTTCTAATTAGAAGAAATATTTTTCCAGCAATGTTCAAATGAAAGAGAAGCGGAGTTACAGACACATACAAGGACATTTTGGGTCCCTGTAATCAGACTCATACCTTGCAATCTTTTGAAGGTACGGTTTTACTGGAGTTTCTATTCATGAAGCTGTCAATGCAGGGCTCAAACTTCTTTCTAACCAGAGCTCCATCTTCCCAGCTGCACTCTGAATATGGTAAACCCATCCACTTGCATAGATATTCTGGCTCATTGGAGGATGATGTCTTGTGACTGTGAGCTGTTTAAAAGAAGAATAAGGAAACATTTCATGGTTATTATCACTGACCAGCTAATAAACTGTAATGTTGTGAAAAATGAAAAAAGGGACTTACAGGGGAAATCTGAAGATCCTGGTGTCTTTCCTGTTTTTGTTGCTGCGAATAAAAAAAAAACTCTTTCACAAGTTGTTCATTTTTAAAGATTATCTGCTGCGCATACAGAAAAATTAAACACATTTATGAAGAATTATTACCGATTACACGCTCCACAAACTGAAACTGTTTGCTTAATTCAACAGTGAGCTCCTGTTGGCAGTTATGAAACTCTATATCCTCAGGTGATGCCTTCCTCAACCTGCAGACAGAGAGAGAGAGTATTAAAAACTCCTGACGGACATTTATTAGTTCAAGAAATGTGAACCTGGAGACAGATTTTCACCATGAGTTCAGCTCTTCGGTTTTCTTCTTGTAGTTGTCCATTTTCTTGATTCCTTTTACTTTTTGCTGCGTCAGAGAGTCCATGCTCTCCCACGTGTTGTGGATGTAGGACCAGCCCTTCCACTTGATCAGATACTGAGTCTCTCCTTCATCCTTCTCGGGGTCAAAGCCTTCGCATGGGTCCCCGTTTTCCTCTACAGCATACACAGTGGTGGAGGCCCCGGTGGCTACAAGATGAAAAAGGAAAAACACACTTTAAACCGTTTCAGTGAGGCAAATACACTTACAAAACCAATTAAAGTGACAGGTATCATTTTAAGGAGCTCATACGAAAAACAGAGGAGTGAAAATGCTTCACCTCCTTTTTTGCTTATCCTATTGTCCATAACTCGCTCAATGGTCTCGCTGTCGTCGTCCTGCTGCTCCTCTCCAGCATCCCCTGTCATTTCAATCAAGTCATCGGAGTCTGTTTCAAAGTCATGTTGGTCCTCTTTGTAGCTGTAGGAGTAGATACAGTATATATTATAAACAGGAGATGTTAAAAATATCCGGCATCTTTTTTATCATTCAACTTTTATTGTGTTTTACATTTTTTCCGAGACCAAACTAAAAAAAAACAGAAAAATAAAAAAATATTAATATAAATATTAATAATGATAATAATTTAAGAAATTAAAAAGGTGAAATCAAGATACAGTTCAATTAAAAAAAAAAAAAAAAAGGTAAATCAAGATACAGTAATAATCCGGCAATCTGACAAAACTGAACTTCATATCCCCATCTGCTCACTCAGAGGGAAAGTTGTACTTTTATTCATACAGTACACAAAGAAATGTACCTTTTGACTTTAGTCGCACCCCTTCTTCGTGTCTGTCTCTTTGGAGTGTCTTCCCCATCCTCATCATCCTCATCGTCGTCATCATCGTCGTCGTCCTCTTCAGCTGATGACTCCTGTTTCCTAGACTTCCTTGCTTTTTGAGACAGCTGCTTTTTGCCTGTAGATTTGGTCTGAGGTCTAAAAAAACACAATTAAACAAAACAAACAAAGAAACAGCTTAGATTTGGACCGCAGTGGGCCTCCAGGATTACTCTCAGATTATTGGCTTCTGATTAAACAACTGAACTATTCTATTTATTCAACTCTAGGAGCTTATAGTGGTCGTAACATAATCCAGAACTGCATTAAATTCTTTTTTTCAGATTAAACTTTTTGATCACAAGGCTGCAACATTCATGTTTACACTTCACACCAAATCAAAGAACACAAAGTGTGATCAAATGGCTGCCCACACTATTTGATGAATGATTTGAGATGACCATTGGGTAGCTGTCTGATGGCCAGGCTTCGCTACACTCTTACCTTCTAGCAGGAAGTCGTCTGGATCTAACTTTTTTCTCTTCCTGCTCACTGTCTGTACTGTCGGAAGCCTCCTCCTCCTCCTCCACATCCTCCTCCTCCTCTTCATCATTTGAGTCATCATCTTTCCAGATATTTCTTACAACAAAGAAATGCCACAAGTTCACCCTCAAGGCCAACCACTGCTTCAACCAATTCAAAATGTAAAGAAGTATTGGCCATAGGGTGTCCACCACGACAGAATTTGATCAGGGATAAGCCACTGATCGGGCCAATCAAATTTGGTGTCAATATGGAACATCACCTGGCTGACTGAAACTAAAGGTGCCCAATTGGAGCAAACAGATACCCATTTAACAAACACACATCAAATGATAAGGACCATAATATGAACACACACTGGCAAGACAATGGCAAAGAAATGTATGAGTTGAATCAGTTTTACCAATAAAAGTGTTCTCAACATGGCTGGATAAAAATAAAAAAAATAGTGCCGTACTGTCACTGTAACTCTAGGCAAAAGAAAAACTACAATGGTAATAAAAATGTTCACAGTCTTCAAACTTACTCCTTTTTCTTGGCTCGTTTTCTCTTTGGGCTCTCACTCTCTGAGTCACTGCTACCCTGAAAACACAGTCAGCACAGAAAGCAGACACTTCAGAACAAGCTCTGAGCTGACTGCATCCACTAGATGGCGCTAATGACATGTTTAAAGAGCTGGTGGTGCCGAGACAGCTCATTGAACAGGGAATATCATACTGCGCATGAGGTGCTGGTTTTTCTTTGTGCTGCAGCTTACCCCAGCTCCGATGTTTAAACGGGCTGGCTCCTGTCTGCTGCGATTGGAGCGCCTGACTCCGTACACATCTGGATGTTCATCCCACAGCTGTGAAAACAAATCCCATGCTTTTAACATGATATGACCTGTTCCTATCATATACTCTGCCCACATCTCATTTAGATGATATTTGGCTTTGCCCTGGCTTAATATTTACATCACCTGTTTTAATGTTCTGAATGTGGTTCAGGACTGTGTTATCAAAGAATTTGTGATTTCTATGTAATGACACAGAGCATGGCTCGATTACAACATACTCTATGTTACCAAAACAAGCAATCATTCTTCAGAAGAATAGTTACAAACCCTCTCATTTCTATATTTCCATCCAAACCAATTCATTTCCCAAAGATTGTTGAAGTACCCTTACTTGTAACATCTAAAATTACAGATATTATAGATAGTCAGCTTATACTTCTGGTGTCTAATAGTCATCTTTTAAGTGTCATAAGTAGCTGTGCTTCTGAGACCGCTTTACAATTTCACCCCTTCATGATCTTTCAGCTTTTGTTATATTTATTTTAGCAGGATAATATCAATACACTGCAGTGTTGAACAGAAACAGGACAAACTCCTGTCCTCGTTTAAGCTTCTTCAAATTTCAAAGATGTGCACAGCTATACAGAAAAGCAGCTGATATATCAAAATAAGATATCACTCCATATTTTTTCTATGCTATTTTACTTGGTAAATGTGCAAATGATTGTGCTTGCCAATTAATTTGATATTAGTTATTTGGGGAATAATATCAATTACTTCGGCTACCATTGTGATGTTTTAATGGCTCTTAATGGATAGGAAAAATTATCTTGGGATCAAGGCAGCAAAATAGGATGTTGGAGCCTCCATTTTTGTGCATTGATTAGTGAAAGAATCACGTTTATTGACAACCAATTAAGACACATTTCCTGGTGCGTGCACTTACCTTACAAAGCATACAACCTGACCTTTCTCAAATGTCAACCCTCCTGATAATACGGTTTTTACAGATACAAAGACAACCTGGCTGATCAAATTTCTGACTTGGGCTGTAACTACAAACTGTCCTGTGCGTCAAATCTCCGTAATCACATCAAGAGCCTGATTACACACAGTTAACTCAATCTCCATCATTAGAGGATAGGAATCTTAATCTGCTTTGGAAACAGTGAGTTGTCACAGAAGACATAGCGCCACGCTGAATTTCAGTGACCTTTACCTTCTTCACATTGGTTAGCCGCTCCTTCTTTTTGACCGGCTTGTCTTTGACTTCTTCTGCGGTTTGTTGAGATTTGGAGCCCGCAGACTCGCACTCTGACTCTGAGTGACTCTCTGACTCTGAAGAGCTGTTTGACTCTGAGTTGTGGGATCTCCTCCTCTCACTGCCATGCTCGCTCTCTGATTGACTTCCTGACTCTGAGGCGGAGTGGTTGGACTCTTCTGACGCCGAGTTGCTACAGGAATAAGAACATGTTCAGACTTCTGCTTTTGCATATAACAAGCTTTAACTTTTACTAAGGCTTCAGTGACAACAAGTTAAATCTTGAAATGTTAAGTGCACACTCTGTCTCTAGGACGGAGAGAAACTGCAGGAGCTTAACAGCATGAGTAAAATAAGTTTGCAGGCCAACAGGAAACCTGAACTTTATTACATAACGGTATGGGTACCTTGTTCTGCTAACAGGTTTATGATAACCCTATTCTCTCTTAGGCACACAAATCCTCTTACAGCCCTTCTGAAAGGCTTTCCGCCACTGAAATACTGATTTAAGCTACAGCTTAACTTTAGTCAGAACCAGCTTTTAAATATCTCTTCTTTCCTAAAATTCAGCTACATGTGTGATTATGGTAAAGCTGTTAAATAACCAGTACACACGAATGCAATGTTTGATTTTCCCAAAAATAATTGCACCCAGGCACTTGAAAGTAAAAGAAGAAAGTTACAAAGGTGCTTCAACACCAGGTAGACTTTGCCCTGATCTTATAGATCTTTGTGTGTAAATAGAAAACTCTGAGATAGGAAACACTGGCTTTAAATAAAATGTACTTTTTAGCTTCTTACAAATGATACGTCAAAGTTTTGCCCCTTGTTAAAGGCTTTTGGTGAATGGATTCTTCCCCAGTTTTCCCTATGACTGATTTCTTCAGGCTTAATTGATGACAGCTCATGGTTTTTCAAACAGAGTAAATAGAGAAAACTGGTTAAAAGATGTATCATTTAGACAAAATAAATTAACTCTGACTGGTAAACAGATGCAGATTTGGAGAATAAAAACTATAAATGCATAACTGCGCTCAAGAAACTTCAAAATGTTTGCTAAACCCTTTAAAATTCAGAGGCCACTTCTCACAGGTGACTCAGATTTAAGCCATCTCAAAGTTCATAATAATGTTTCTGTTCTCTTTGTATTAAACCGTTAAGTTTTGCTTAAATATTAGAATGGCAACATGTTCATTCACAAAGATTTAGTGTTGGAAATTAGCTTGTTGCTTTGTTGGATGTGCTCTTCAGTCTGGCTTTTCCTGCGTGCAGTCTATTCTTTGGACACATGGGGGCGCTAACCTTTAATAAAGCTCCAGAAATTAGGGGAACTGCTTTGGTGAGACACATTGGTACGTGGGTTTCTAAAATACATCCATCAGTAATTTTATCCATGTTAGACTTCTAGAGTTATTGTTGCTCTGCTTATCGTGTGAGCAGCAATGACCGCATTTGTATTCTATTGTTTGTTCAATTCGTGAAATAAATTGTATGTGGAACATAAACTATTTAACCAGATGTAAATATTTATGCTCTTAATTCACTCACAAGAGGAAAATGTTATTTGGTTTGCAAGTTTCAGTCTGTACTCTAAGCAGCTTCAATGACCTAACTCGGAAGTGCATGACTCCTTCCTCTTTAAGTGAGGTCAGAAATGGGGAGGGCAGTGATGGGATCCTCTGAATAATCATTGGTTGGCTTGTTGCTAGGTGAAAGTCTGGCCTATAGGAGCAAGGCATGCAGGCTTTTCCTGTCCCTGAACTCTTCCTGTTCCTCCTCCATGTAGTTCTCTAAGCAGAGTTATACAGATAAGTGAGCTAGCTGGCCACACAAAGCAAGGGCCATTTTGTGACTTAGGAGAGTCTGAATGTAAACAGTATTTAAAGGGATGGGGTTTTGTCATATAAAAGCACCAGCCTTCAGCTTCTTCTGCTACTCTACATGGCCACAGTGCTGATGTGTTTAAATTCTAAGGCTGTGCTGTCATAAGGAGTAGATAAATACTTCACTCACAGCTAAAAAAGACTAAAATGGCTGCCACAAGATCACACAGAGAAACTACAAGTGTGATGTAACCTGCTGCAGTGCACAGTCAGTGAAATGCAGTGAGAAGGATTACCTGCATTTAGCACCTCAACTTCTTTGTGTATTTCTTTTTACTGAGATCAGGCAACTTTATCTGATGTGAAAAGATGGCTGCCATTGTGATAAGAATTGCCACTGTGCATTTGTACAATATTTGCAAAAAAAAATTGATATAATGATGGTTGAGCACTCCTGTTCTTCCTGCATTCCTGTAGGATCCTCACATAATGCAAATCACCTGATGTCAGTTTTTAAAGCCACCTTTATTGATCATAAATGTGTGGTGTTGCCAATTGTCTTAAGGTTTTGACCCCTGAAAATGACATAACACTTTTAAGGAAGAAAAGAGAACAACACTGTCAAAAATATTACATTAGTTTGTCAAAACTTTAAGCCACAGGCCTTTAAATGTTATCTGCTTTAAAAAGAACATGTACAAATCCAGGTATACACAGAAAACAACTTTTTACTGTAACAATCACACCAGAGGTTCAGTCAACACAATCAATTCACAAAGCTAATACACATAAAACATTAGGTACCTATTTAATCCGTCTAATTAAGAATGCAAAACAACATATGATGAATAAATCAGTTAAGTGCTTTAATTTGAAAAGCAAACATCCAGAAGTTATCATAATAAAAGCTCTATTTTGGACAATGTGTTAACTGACACTGTTCATTATATTGAGGCTTTCAAATGAGTAAAAATAAACTTCACATAAAAGCAACACACTTGAGGTTAAAAGGATAATCTGGTATAACATCTTAAGTTAAATAAAGAGGTAGGTAGTTTTTAGTTTTCCTTAAATACAACATTATTTACATTAAGTCAAACATGTTTGGAGATAATAAACTTGGGAAACAAATTTTAATGCATAATAAAACTGTGGTTTTCAGATTACTTCTATGTCTTCATAAAAAAAATTGAGATGCACAGAAAAAAGATCAAAATTGCTGCTCCAGGCAAAGTAAAACAAGTTAAAGGGATGAGGACAAGTTATGTTACTTAACCTGTGAGAACTGGACAGTGTTTTTATAATCATAAATATCCCCATGGCAATACATGTGTTATTGAAATAAATAAAAGTTCACAACATTGATGAAATGGTGCATTGCAGTACCAACAAGTATGACAAGGTCATTTTACTTCATAGCGATAGGACATTAAATTTTTCAGATTAGTCGTCTGACATGAGGATAAATGACTCCAAAACATACATCTTGGGGGCTATGATGTCCTAACACAGGCCTTAAATCTGAGTATTGAGAGCAAGAAATGGTAGGAAAATCAGGGTGTGGCTTTTAAACAAAAGCAAGGTCATTCATGACAGTGGTGCACTTCATCAGAACCACGTAGTAAATACATACACAGGTGATCAGCCATGCCTGACAATGTAAACAATCGAATCACATTAGAAAAAGGGAAAAGGGAAAAAAGTGAAAGGATCATACCTTGATGCGTTGCTCTGAGTCGATCCTTCATCCTCTTGTTTTTTGCTTTTATTCTTCATCATTGTAGTATCCTGACGATCTCTGGATGTTATTTTATCCTGGTATTTACTGTCAAAAAGTTAAAGGCATGAACTATCATGCAAGTCCAACAGGATTGCCTTTGCTCGGGTGGCAGTTAAAACCCAGGCGATGCGACACGAGGAATGAAAAAAGTAATAAATCGAAAGGTCTAAGGCACATTGTTTGAATCTATCTTTAAAAGGGTAAAGACAATTGACAGGTGTGTCTACAATAAGTTAAACATCGCAGGCATGTCTTTCAATATAGTCCACGGATCGAGCCGCATGCAATTAATTCTAACTGCGTCATCACATGAAGGATGAGAAAAATAAGATTTGAAAATAAGAAAACCAGTAAATTATGCACTACACGATGTAAACACAACAATTCAATGTTGATAGAGGTGGTTACCAATAAATGAACTTTTTGTTTCGAGTTCGCTATGTCCTAGGGCTTTAACCGACTCGTATAAAAATAATAAAATAGAACAGTAATAACTTAAAAATAAATTATAAAAAAGAGAGTAGTTTCGAAAAGCTTGTAGGCCTCTAAAGTCTTCATCTAGTGTCAGACTCAGAGCTACAGAGCCGAGCAGCACACTAAAAATGGAGGCGCGCCATGGCTGCCAGAGCCCTGTATGGAAAACAACGACAAGCACTCCCACAGCTCAGACGGCTCGTTCGGATCCGAAAAACAGCCCGAAAAACACACAAAACGCCTCTATTTCCGTTAAAATAGCGATCGAATACCCACAGGAGTAAAGTTTAGGGCAAATCCGAGCGGTTTCGGTCGAAAAACAGTCTAGAGAAACGGTCTGACGAAAGCCTATGGCACCCTTCCCAAGGCTCAGCCGCCATCTAGAGCTCCTTCCTAGCTCTGAAAGCTTTGCCTTTGATTGACGTTATTTCCATTTACCCAGCACTCAGGTGATGTTTAAGTCCCACCCCTTTTATTGTGTTTAAATGTTGCTTTTATACAAACTTAAATATATTTTCAACCCTAGGACACAAGCTCAGAGGTGAAAACCTCATTTTCCACTTCACAAAAGGTAAGAATATTTGGAGATATTTAAGAGTGTATAATTTTTTTTCTTTGCACCATTTGCATCACTTCCTGCCCAGACAGGAAGAGGGAAAGCAAGTAGCCATTTTAGAGAGCCTATGGTGACCATTTTTGGTAAAGCTTTAAACTTGTGCACACCTTAAATGGTAGTGTATTCCAGGACTATTTTGAGGAAAAAAAATTAGATTTATCGATGGCACCAACTGAAGCAAAAAGATCCAGTTTCCTTCGACCAACTTAAAATTTCTTAAGTGAAGCCACACCCTCAGGTTAAATGTTTATTTGGGAAGATTCATTGACCCATTGCAAACTTGGCGCACAGTCTTCTTCGATAATGAACAACCTTCAACAGGACAAAAGTCAGAGGAAAGAATATAGCTTAACGAATTAACTAAAATATTTTGAGAACCAACAACTTGGCTACGTGTTTAACGTGACTTCGACGTAACCCAAGTACGCTTTGTGTCCTCCAGTGTTTTGGTTAGTTAATGAAACAAAGCCAAGAAAAATTAAGTTAACATACACTTTATTTAAGAAAAACATCATCTGAATACCAAATGTACAATGGCTGATTTTGCGTTTCCCAAGAACAATCGTGTAACTTGCAAAAAGTCCATTATACAGCTAGCGGCGGTCCTCCAGAGTCCGTGTTGTCGTAAAAAAAAAAAAAAAAAAAATATCCAAACATCACAGTCCAACCAGATAACTGTCTTGTCTCGTCAAAATTTGGCTAACTGCCAAATCGCCATCTTCACGTTAAACAACGCTGTCTCCACTTCAGCATTATCCAGTTGAATGGAGTCTTGATAGGATAAAAAAAGAGGAAAGTTGTAAGCCCACAGTGCAACTGAAAAATTAATAACTCACTGTCCAGCTGATTAAGGTAGCATGCTAATTGTTGCTAAAAGTCGACTGACAAATACATAGCTAGTAGTCATTTGAGTTTGCTTGCGATGCGCATGTGCACGTGCTCCTCTGACACGGTTTCTCTAAGACTTCACTGTCACAAAAAATTGCTTTTCTTGTTTCGTAAAATGATTGTATCCCATAAAACATTCTTTCCGAAGGGGCCTCTTCGTTAACCAGCACCATAACTTGTACTTGTGTTAAGGTACCTACAGAGTATCTTAAGAGCAGTCCTGTCGGGGTCTGTTTGGTCAAGTCACATATAAAAATGCTTTGTTTGTAGAATTCAAAGTTATCAGCTAAGTGACATAAGAGTTGAGCAAGAGTTTAAAAACTGTGCAAACTTATCCATCAACTCACCACTAGGGGTGTGATGACTGGCCATAAAACTTATCAATGCAACAGCAGTACAATTAAAAGAATACATTTTAAAACACCACCACTAAGTCCACATGCAAAATGAGATCCTCTGTCTGGACTAACAAAATGATTACTAGAGCCACCAAAGCAATGACACAACTAACCAACAGATAAACAACATAATGAAATCCAATAACGTTCATCACAGAACTTCAACTAGCACTCATGGTAAATTTGCTAACGGAAATCACACGAAAAGATTTTTCTTGCAGCTAAAACAAAAATAGTAACTAGGCCAAATTTATCATGATTTTCTCTGAAAGGCTAATTATAATTGTCTGGCAGCTCCTGAATAATGCAAGTTTTTTTTGACAACAAACATGAATAAGCACAACCAATGTCCAAAAAATGTACACTTATTACATCTTTATAACTTGGAGTGGTGAATGTAGCCAATGCATGAACTTAAGTAAAACGGCATTAAACCCCTCATTACAAGCTAACTTTTATGTCTTTCGCTATCCTTAAGAGCTTAGAGTACATCACAGTAATACTCAGACTGCATGAATGATTAGGAAAGGCTTTTGAAGGTATGTAGCTGTACTTCCATTTTTATCTTAAAAGTGACATTTTTATACATAATTATATCAGTCTCTCAGCGCATTAAGAAAAAATCAAATCAAATGTAAAAAACTTACAGAGCTGTCTTCTTTTTCTTCAAAATCTCAAAATCTTCGCAGAAGACCATTTCTCCTCCTGGGGAAAAGAGGAAGACCAATGAGGGATAGCCAGATAAACAAACATTAAATCTACAAAGAAATCATAAATAATACACGCAACTTATTAAGGTTGGCCCTTAGTAATTTGATGCATTTGGGTTCAAATCCCTGATTTAAAACTGCTAATTGCTTAACAATTCTTTTTCTTATTGACAAGTCTTTTGAACTCAAGGAACGAGATCAGTGATGATACACAATCCCCACAAAATCTACTTCGTAAAATCTAATGATCAATAAACCATTGGTCCATCCAGAAAAAAAAGATCTTCCCGGAAATGGATCAAGGAAAAAGAAAACTCTATTAGTGGTACAAAAAATTTTAAGGGTTACAAAGGCATATTGACAAAAATGCAGGAAATAATAAAAAGAAAAATACTGCCATTTCAATCAAAACTACAGAGACTGACTAGAAACCCAATGTTTTAACATTTCTTTTTTTTAAATGATTTTTATTTATCAGATTAGAAATAACAATGGCCCCGGTAAATGCTCACTGGAGCATCCTGTTCTGTGGCACAGGCACAAAACACATCTGTGCAGGTTTTGGAGTTTCATGGTGTATTTTAGATGCTCTAGGTATACTCTTATCTTATGAGCTGTCAGTTCACTACAGAGGCATGATTGTCTGTTACGCAAAAAATTGATAAATAGATAAATAACCATATTGCTATTTTAACACTAAGTTGTAAATCTTGCTGTATGATTTTGGCTGAAAGCTACTCAGAGGAGATTTTTCATTGGGCTGTTTAAAGCAGGACTCTAGCCTTTTTCCGCCATTCCTTTTAGCGATTCAAAAAAGGAACACAACAAAAATAAGAATGACTTGGGCCTCACATTGATAAGGCCAAAGTTTGGTGCATTCAGGTAATATGCCCTCTGTGTTCAAGAAACTTCCTAACTGTAATAATTTACAAATACAATAGTCTGTCTTTGAAAAAAAGATCTTCTATTTTACAAATTTATCATTAACACTCTATTTCTGTATATGGTATTGAGATGCGAGGTAGTCTTACTATGAGCTAGATGAATAAAATGTTTTAACTCAAGCCAAGAGCAGCGGCTAGAGTTAACTATGATGAATACAGTCCCGACAACCAATTAACTAATAATATTAATGCTAGCGACTTAAAGCTGTGTGATTAGTTAGGAGTTACTAAAGTCACATTCATAGGATATGACAATGTTGTAAATTGCCTCAAAGCTTCTCTGATCATCTTTGCCAAAAAAATGTTGTTGTCAAACTATCGACAGCCAATAAGAGGTTGATATAAAGTGCTAAATAAGGTTGTCTTTTGGTTAGAATTTTGCCCCATCTGAGCCTTCATACCAGAATGGTTAAACAAATCTAAATGACCCAGTCGCAATTTTAACTGCAGTGACTGAACCAAGCTCGACATACCCGTCACCCATGATGGTAATAAAGCATAACTTTTGCTTAGCTGTGGATTAAACACTTGGCGTCTTGAAAAACTAAAATCTTGCGGTCATTCGTGGATGTGAAGATGAGCTCAGCTCCCAAACTTCTTTTTGATTCAGGCAGTATTAATATTTTTTTTTTCCTCAAAAAAACAGGCCTTTAAACAGAGTTCTACGGGACTTTGATTCTGCCTCGAGTGGGCATATGAGGAACTACAATTTACGGTGTAACTGTGGTGAGCTGACTTGTCTTTGTCACACAGGTTGTGTCTTTTTTAGCCATAGTGTAGATTTTATGTGGTCATATATTTGTGGTCGCAGACCTTACCAAAAAGCAGGTGGTATGTGTCTAGCTTTGCATTGTGTTCAATTGTGGCGGCCTTTTGTTATTCTGGGTATTTGGTGAAGGGCGTGTACTGGCAATCGCAAAGTCCACTGGCGATCATATATGTTCAGTTAAAAAGTGAAGTTGTGAGTTGGTTAAGGTCTTTGCAAATGATGTTAGTCAAAAATTCCAAAAGTTGGTGTAGCTCTTGGTGTCTCGACATAACATAATTTATGGTAAAGTACAATGCGTAGTTTCAAAGTCACCTTCTTTTGCATACACGACAGTTGCATAGTGTGACATGTGTAAGTGATGAATATGACACCTACGTGTTCGTGCTAGAAGTGCAAATTATGGTTTACATTGACAATTTTCATATTTAAGCTGCAACAATTTCAAGTATTCCAAGGGTTAGCTAGCTAAACACAATACAATGCAAAACATATTACAAACAAAACTTATATTTCAATCAATATAAGAACTTTGTCTTGCAATGTTCAAAATGTTTAATTCAAACGATCGTTCATAACGAAATTCTCATTACACAAAAACTGCATTTGCTATTATCACTGAACTTCAGATATATTTTGAATTTGTAATTTTACAATTAGCTTAACTGTGAAACTATTTTATTTGATCATAAGCACATACGTATTTACTCACAAGCATATATCATTGCAATGTCTTACACTAGGGGGCAAAACTATCCTACCTTTAGTTTTGATTGTCACTGCGATCATTCAAGACTAATCAGGCTTATTTAAGGAGGCTATCCACAAAATTATTATTTCCAGTATTACTTTGTAATGACATACACCAAACGGGATAAAGTACGAAATTCATTGTGCCGTTGATAGTGTAACCTGCAAAATGGCTAATACTGTTTTGAAAACATTGACGAGTGTAAAGCACATAAGGAGAAAAACTTCTGTAGCTTTTAAATTAAGGTTTAAGATGATACTTACATTCTGCATTGCAGCGCAAACATCCCGATTCTTTGCTTTCGAAACTTTGAGGTAGTTGGCTAGATGTCAAACCTTAAAAACAAGAAAAGTATAGATTCAAAATCTCAACGTGACAACAGCATACCCTAGGGGCAACTTGAAAGCTGTCAAGACAATAAGCCAGTAGAACGAGAAAATTAACGAAGAGTTCGGAATTGCTTTTGAGTAAAAACACTTACCATTTTGCTTGTGTCAGCTGACCCCCATTCTTCTTTGAAGTAATTCAGGAACATCAATCCCTGCAAAATACACAAAAAGATAATGAAAATTTGGCACTATTAACTGAGAAAATCGAAACTTAATTGGGCAGAAAATAGACGGTAAATAAACTGTTTTTCAAGGGTGTAAATGGGAATTTTTTGGAATATTTCACTACTAATGAGCATATTTGACAAAGCTTAAGTAATTAGATAAGTATTTCACAAAATGTTCTGTTTGTTGTGGTTATGAAAATGCAACGTTGGGTGTCTGCAATGGTTACATCCTATTGAGATAAGCTTCAAATACATTTTGCTACATGCAGAGTGGTATAAATCCTTTGAATTTAACTATATGGTTTAATATCAACCACAGAAGTGAGCTTGAAATCTGTATTACAATGTGTACAATTTGCCATCTATCTGAATAAACTGGCAACATTGTCAGTGGGATTGTGTTAAGAAGAATTGATTTTTTTATTTATTTTCAATATAATACATAGAGTTTTCTCAAAATTCACTAACTTATAAAGATGCAATCTAAAATAACTTTCCCCCTTATTGGTCCAACAAGTGTAAGTTAACATGTAAAAACAGATGAATGTACATATTTAAATTACCACTCTAGTCAGTCCCTCAAAGGGTTAAAAGCCAACACCCTATTTTGTATTTCGAAGTATATGTGAGCTTTTTGATGCATATAGTCTGTATTTGACAAACAAATCAAGTATAGTTTTAATTCATGTGTCCACAGCTGAAAAAAGGCATTAATTACCATATTAACATCATTTCAACAACTTATCACAATTTGCATAAACTATTAATAAATTATAAGTATTGAACATCTAGTATTTACTTAAATCGTGGTTTCACTGTGTTTGTTCAACTAGTCAAAAGATTTAGTGGAAAACTTGGTGATTTTTAACATATTTTTTTATTTCCCATTTGTTGAAAAACTAAAAAAACAACTGAACTGAAAATTTGCAAAAAAATTACCAAAGATTGGTGTGTTGGCACCCATCAATTTTATTTCAACATTTAAAACGTTACATATTTGCTTATTTAGGTGATTTTCGTCGAGTAAATTCAAACACGGGCATTTGCCCTTTCAAGGACAAAGCAAATTTTAAATGCGTAGGTTGAAATAACTCCAAACAGGTTGGGAGCAAATCATCGTTTCCAAATTCAAACTGTGAGAACTCAAAACAGACCTCGCAAACATGCAAATTCTATCAACTAAATCATTTTACTGGCAAGATACAGTCGATAAATCGTTGTCTTTATTCTTCGCTGACAACACACCATAGCCATTTTCACAACACTGCGTCTAACTGTCGTTCTTGCCTCCATTTTGCCTAACACCTCTGAGCCGTATTTTACAGCTTATAATACATGATTACTGGTCAGTTCTTACCCATTGCCCAGGCCGTGTCTATCCCCCGTCGTCTGCCCCGGTGTCTGTCGCATTTTGGGGTGATTTTCGTCGTTTTGGTGGCTCTTTCGGCAGCACCATCCTCCTCTTCGCTGTGGACGCCTGGCTCCTCTGCTGGTTGTGTCCTTCTCTCTGCCTCTGCCTGAGCTCATATCCTTCATCGGCTCTGCCCACTTTGCTCTAACGTAAGCCAAACTCCACTTCCTCCCCAGCCCCATCAGACTGAAGCTAGCAGCCCGAAGAACATGAAAACAACGCACACTCACAGCACTACATTTACAAAGTCTCAACGCCATAAGAAATGCATAAACAAAATAAAATTTATTTGGCTTTTTAGTTATTGTCCAAGAATAGCAACAGCTAGCATAGCCGAATGCAATGAAATCACAGTTTGACTGAACCTTTGTAGTGACATGAATAGACTTTTTAAACTTTTTTTAATGAAACCTGGACACACATGTATTTTCAGATTTTTTACTGCCAGAGAGTCATAATTCATTTCCCCAGAGTTAAAAAAGCACATCATCAAAATAGGCCAAACTAGGTCCATTATTAGAGTGGAAATGGTAGCATGATTTATGTACAACATATTGTTGTCTTTCCAAGACTGCCATGAAATTATCCTAGTATCAGGAGATAATAAGCTTTGTGAAGTTGAGATAAAGATATAAACATATCTATACATTAAAGAATAGCAATAACTCATCATCACAAGAAAACAAATGTGGTTATCTCAAGATGATGAGATGGATAAGTCAGTGTCTCATGAATATAATCAGGAATTGGTTTCTCCCTATCACAGGACAGTTGGATATATGAAATGTAAAAAATCTGTGTCTGGATCAGGATTCCACGAATCTTAGTGTCTCACAACATGTAAAGTATTTCAGTATATGCCTTTGTAATAAAACAGCACATTTTATCTTTGCGCTGGTGCAATCCTGCTTCTTTACTTCCCTCTGAACCATGGCCTGTCAGATCACAATACAACTTGATTTGTTTGTTCTGTATAATCTCAGTGAATATTTCTTGAATTACATACCTGCTTCATAGCTGTTCAGTATGTTAATGTATGTGAAAATATTCATTAGCAACAAGTACATGTTCATTCCCTGCATGATGCATACTATTACATAGTACAACAGTTGACCAACTGTGTTTGAAGCTGTGGTATTGGCCATGTGGAAGACCATTCTGTATTAGTGTATTGTACATGTTAAAAATATTCATCAGAAATCTAAGAACAGGTCTATTGAGGTTAAACGACTGAGCATCAAAACTCCTTTAGTGTAAAATGCTGGACAGAAGCTTTCCCTGCACTGTTTAAATGACTTAATCATGTAGATCTATGAGATTATTTCAGTTCAACTAATCTGAGAGTTTACATGAACAGAAAAGGCAGCCCAGTAGGGACCACCAAACTTGGAGAACTTTCTCAGCTCAGTCAGTGCAGCCTTTATTGGGAAGTCCATAGAGCTTGTGGTATGTACTCCACCCCCATCACCAACCAATGAAATGTCTGACAGCACAGCGCATACTCATTGCAGTGGAAGATTTCTATAAATAGATCCTCAGCCTAGCAACAGGAGAGTTCTGCAAATACATTACAATCTCTGACTCTTTGAATGAGGCAAACACGGCCCTACCTTGACAAACTGGTTTGATGTGTTTCAACCAGGAAGTGGTTATTTTGTTTTCAGTGAAGGCTGATTGCTGGACTGCATTTTGCAAATCACTACCTGTGAAGTTGCTTGTTAAGGGAAATGCAAATCCCTGTCTTAGTCATCTTGATTGAAAGTCGTTGACCTCGTCATGTGTAGGTATGAAGAGGTCAAATTACTGAGGAACCTTATGGACTAATTTTAACCTCCAGCTAGATTTGACACCACATCTTAGAAAACTCCTAGTCTGAGTAACCTTTGTTCAAATAGTGTTGATTGTTTTCCACAAATCCAGGTTATCAGGAAGCAAAGGAAACTGCGACTGTTGTTCTTTACTTGTTCATACAGGATGCAGAAATCTCACACACAGCTGAACTCAACATGTTTCTGCTGCTGCTGATAAGTGGCCATCTCAGTGTGCCTGCAGACATTCACATTATTTATAGAAAACCCCCTTAACACTCTGGCTCATCTGTTAACGTGTAAGAACCAACAATGGTATGACTTTCGCCCTCACATTGCACTTTCCTGATAATTCTGTGCATTACAGAGGAAGTTATGTCAGATAAAAGCACATGGTCATTTTAAATTTTCACTTAAATTGTTCATTTGTGATCAGTTACAAATTAGTGTGTGGCAGGTGACTCCAAATATATGGTTTCTCACGTCTAGTGAGGGCAGTTGCACTGATCCGTATGCATGTTTGTGTTTCTAAGTCAACCATGATTTTGCTCAGTCTTGTGACAGATTTAATCTCAGCAGCACTGCTATCTTAACAGATGGGTATATTCACAGTATTTAGTGCTTGTTTGAATATTTATCTCTTGATTTTGTTATTTCTGGACTTCAATTTGAAATGGATTTTGTTGGAGGAAGTTCAGATGTTTAACCAATGTAAAGTCATGCCTCATTTTGAAGACGGAGGTGGGATGTATCACAGTTTCGTTTTTTTTTTAACTTGCAAACAAAACACTGAACTCCTTTGCTATGAAATTGTGTCATTGGATCAGCTACGCCCAGTACCCTCAGGTTAACCTCTGCACTCAACAGAAAAATGTGACTGGACTGGAACTGTTTACTTAACAAACAGCTCTGATAAAGTCTGTTTGAGTTGCAGGTTGTTACACTGTAAAGTGTGGCAAATACTTGAGTATTAACATTAAACAGAATTCATTGTTAACACAAAAATGTCTTTGAAAGTTGAGTTCAAGCTAACACCCCTGCTGCAGACACAGAGGCAGTCAGCAATTATTCCTGGGTGTGGTTTCTAAGCTTGAAGCATTCAGGCCTAAACCAAATGTCATGTCACACAGCAAATAAGCTTTTGACAGTTGACACAAACAAGTAGGCACTGTTCTTGTGTTTGCTTTCACACCACTAACACGATTGTGTGTTTAGTGATGCAGTCTTGTTGTTCAACAAACAGCACGTAGATTATAATAGAGGATGTCAACTCATGGTATTTGAAGGGACATGGGTTGCTACTTTTAAAACCTACAACATGACCATGAAACAGACTGAATCAATATTTACAACATGTATCTTTAAGGGAAGCTTGTTTGGCACTTAAAACCGCCCAAAGCAGTTTTAGCCTCGCTTGTCCTCTCTGTGAGTTGGTAGTGATTTTTTGGCAACATTCTCAACCTGCTGACTTTTAATGATAAAATGCGCTGTGAATATCCAGTGAGGAAAAACTGTCTTAACACAACTGTTTATTCAGCTGCTCAGCTGACACTTAGCCCCTCACACCAGTTTCAGGTATTAAGAATTACAACACAAAAATGATCCATGTTGTCACTGATAGTCTTGTCTGCTTTTAGATATTAAGTCAACCATGTGAATTTTTTAAATCAATGTCATTAACCTGAAGAAAATCAAAAACCAAACTGTGTTGTGAGCCAGTTTAAACCGTTCATATATTCCTCTCAGAATGGGTGATGAAGCCAAGATTCAATATATTTTTGTAACCAATGCTCAAAATGACCAGTTTTAGCATAGAATCCATGCAAATCAGGAGTACATAGGCAGTAACATTAAAATCTACGGACATATCTCATCTATTGTAATAGAAAAACACCAGCGATACATCTATTGCCCTCCTGCACTATGTCACAAACAGGGCCTCCTCAAACGAGTCATGTCTGAATTTTCAGCAGTGTGTGGAGGGGAGTCTGTGGGGCTCTGTTGTTATTTTGTGCTGCCATCTGGTGGGCTTTTATCAAACCAAAAAACTCTAACATACAGGAGCACAGCAGGGGGCCATTACTCCCAGTAGGTGAAACAGACACCAAACCAGAGAATACAGAGAATACAAAACACACTGTTTCTACTGTGATTTCAGATAAATGGGGCCTCACAGGTCTGCGCGCTGTAAGCAGTGTAGCATGAATCGGATGAGGTAAACTGCAAGTCCCCCCCTCTTACCTAGGAGCCATTAAATTGGGTTGTTTTTTAGTTGAAAAAAAACCCCTAAAGGATGTAAAAACTTTTGATAGGGCTGTTCAGATTACACACCAAAGTCTCGTGGGAACATAAACAGCTAAATCGTGCATTGTGACAGTCATTTTGGGTAGATTAGTGAAACAAAGACATGGATTGATTTTATTTTCTGTAGGCTACAAATGTGCTGAGTGATTTACACTATCGCTGATACGTCTTGTAACTGTTCTGTCTCCTCAATAGTTTCCTATGAATCCTGAATCAGGGGACTGCTGCCCATGTAAAATTGCGTTTGCTACAGCCTACCAGTAAACAGAGAAATGCTGCCTTCAGACGCCGTCAGAAATGTGTAACTAATAGTCAAATGGCTGACTGGTAAGAGACAATGAATGGTCTTTAAAATGTGATCTTCTGGGATAAATGGACCAAAGCTGGGTATTTTAGGACTGTGTTGCTTTGCTTTACATTTTACGAATGCTTATGAGTAACTCACAAGACTTGTGGCAAAGATGATTTATGTAAGACAACAAATCTGTCTGTTGCACAACACATGGTTAAGAAACAAACATTAGGTGGCTTGCCTCAGCTCTTAAAACAGCTACAGTCATAAACTATTGGTCAAAAACCAGATTATTTCTTAGATTTCAGACATGGCATTTGAAAAATCTTCTTTCTCTGTGATAATTTTCACAGTTCATTAACAAAACAGCCAAGATATGACTGAAAACAAACCTTATGTTCCCTCAAATGTCAAAATAAATGTTATTCAAATAAGTGTGCAGATAAAGCAGTCCTAACAAGACATTCAAGGTCATACTGTTGTACTTAATATCAGCACAGACATGACTGGGTAACAGGTAGAGGATCACATGCTGAGGGCCAAAAATAGCAACAGTGTGCTGATATTCACTCCAACAACATGTCTTCAAGTGTGGTTATGTTTTCATGCAACAGTTGGAATCTGTTAGAAACATTCATATGCATTCGTTGGTTATTATTATTATTATTATTATTATTATTATTATTATTATTATTATTATTATTATTATTATTTAATCATTAATTTTATCCTCCACTGAGCTTTTTATTTAAATCTTGACCTGAACAGGACTACAGCAAAGAAACACAATATTCATCTATATCTTTTTTACTAGTATTGCATGTTGAAATGATGTTTTAATTTACCTCAACCTGCATGTTTAGACGTATTGTGTAACAAGTGAAATATGAATCATTGACAGTTCCTGTGGCGCAGGAGTGGCTCTAAGATAATTGCTTGACTAATTTGTCAAACAAAAGTTGTATTTAATGTAAATTAAGAGGATTCAAAATAAATGGCAGGTGTGATAAGTATACTAAGAATGAGTCTTGGTACTTGCATACTCCATATGCCTCTCTTCAATGCCTCCACATGCTGGATAGTGTGTATCATGGTGCTCTGAGGTTTATTACAAACTGTGGAGCTTTAACACATCATTGTGTCTTATACAGGAAAGTAAATTGTCCATCTTTACATGTGCGCTGGCTCGACCATTGGTACGTGTTGATTCATAAGGCTATTCTTCAGATGACTCCATCTTATTTATCATCCCTTTTAATCTTGAATAATAGGGCCTACAGTCTCCGCTCCCGGGACTTTTTTACTCCAAAGTCTGGTATCTCTAAATGTATTCAAATCCATGATAAATTCCGTTATATCCAGGCTTCAGGGGTCTAAATGTTGGACAAATCTTTAAAGTAATTCTGAAAATTCAATTATTATTTGTATTGTTTGCTAGATAGATAGATAGATAGATAGATAGATAGATAGATAGATAGATAGATAGATAGATAGATACTTTATTAATTCCAGAGGGAAATAAAAAAAAAAACAGTATATGATTAATATGAATATGTATTGAAACTATATGTGCTGCCATTTTTGGCCAGGTCTGTCTTGCAAAAGAGATCTTGGATCTCAATGAGACAACCATGGTTAAATAAAGGTTATATTAATAATAATAATATCAGCACTCTTGAGATGCCTCTTGTCCAATATATTGACTTGATTAGAACTAACTTTTCATGATTATTGAGCTAATTTTGATAGACTGTAAAAAACATTGTCATGCACTGACAAATACACATATTTTTAAATCCCATTTTGACTAACAGGGGGAATGAGGAACTTTTGAGCTCCGTGTTTATTAAACCCTGGCTATGGCTCTAAACTCATGATATGGGTGATTGTAAATAATAGTTTATAAAATCTGATATGTTTGAATTTCGTCCAAGAGTCACCGAGCATGGGACCACTCGATTAATCGCACAGGTCATTTCTTTCAACGTGAGCTTCTGACGTCCTTCGTTTGGTTGTAGGATGTCCGAGCAGACCGTGAACGCATCAGCAGCCCACATAACGCTTCTCTTCAGCAGCAGGAGCAGGAGCAGCGGGGCCAGCCTGCAGAGCTCTTCCGGAGGCGGATAGATAATCCCCATCTCTACACGGACTCCTAATACAATCAGGAAGGAATCGCCGCAACTCGTCTCAAGGAAAGAAACACGTTTTGTAAGATATTAAAACCCACGAACCAGAAGACCTGAAGAAAAAAAGCGTGGATCACCAGCGATGGATTTATTCATTGTACAGTTTCTTTATTGTGTTACGAGACAAATCTTATTGAGGCTATAATGTGACAGCTGTTGTCGCATTTTATCTAGTCTGGAGTAAAGAACATCCTGCGTGTGTTTTTTTCTGATTTGATCACCATGATGGCTTTCAATCTGGTGTTAACTTTCATCATCGCGGCTCTTTGGCGGGTCAGCAGCGAACCACAAACTCTGTCTTCACCCGCGACGCAGCTCAATACAACATCCCCATCTTCATTATCATCATCATCATCATCCATCAACAGCGGAGACGGACTGGCGGGTAATGTCACAGATGCTGCCGTGGGATCCCGGATTTCATCCATCATGACGCATCTGCCAACTCTGAAAAACATAGTTATTTTCATCTGCGTGCTAACAGCTGCTCTCATCACATGCCTGGTCATCAAAGTGATCAGGTAGGCAGACTCACACTGTCCCTGTCTCTCTCTCTCTCCCACTCACACGATTAACCTGCATCAGCTGCAAGGCCTAATAATGACCAACGTTTCAGTAATCATATTATGATCATGATTTGGAAATCGCTGCGATGTTGCAGGTAAATTAACCGATTAGGAGCACGCACGTGGAAGGATCTGGGATTGTTTAATGGTTTTACAGGGAATTTTCCATCTGTTTCATAACCTGGATCTAAAATAGACTTGTATGTAGGTTTGCTGTTATCCTAGTTCAAAGATGGGGGACATTGGCAGGACATTGCAAATGCTTATCCCTTTAACTGCCTTTTGTATCATAATTGATACATACTTTTATGATACTTCCATCAAATCAATATGATCAACAAATTACTAAAACACACCTTAATACAGTCTGATAAATGATAAAAATGTCCTCTTGTGGTTTATCAGTTTCCAAAAACATCTAATTTATCAAACAAGATCAATAAATAAATTTTAAGGACATTTTAATTTTTTTGGTTTCCGCTTTAAAAAAAAAGTTGATTTTTTGGGGTTAATGGTTGGATAGTATTGTCAAAACAGTACACAAATTGCCCATCATAAACCCCCAGTGCCATGTTGTTGTTGTTTTTTTTAGTAAGACTTAACATGATTAACCAATTAGGCTAGTTGTAAATGAATTGGTTCATAAATTTTACACAGAAAAATGCCTCTTTGACTTAAGATGTTTTCTTTTGTACCCTCTATAACTGTTAACTAATTATCTTTTGGTTCTGGAAGAAAAACACAATCTTCTAGGAAATTTTGAGAAATTCATTTTTATTTTGAGATCGTTTACATTTGAGATGACAGGTTTTAATAGAGGAAATACAAGCTGTATTTATGGTAGTGTACATAACTGTTACTTTTAAGCCTTTAAACAGAAGAATAAATGAATGTTTGGCATGTTGGTTGATCAAGCAACCCACTTGGAAAGCAAATTCCTGTAAAACAGGAGCTCCAGCCATCATTTCTAATCTGATAGAAACACAAGCTGGTAAGAATTGCACTAACAGGCAGTCGGAGCATTATCATGTTTATAAGAATGTTAAATTCCTGTAATCCTCTCAGTCTGGAAAAACTGAAATCGCCCCGCAGTTGCCTGATTCAGGGAGGTTTTATTACTTGTGTTTCCTCATGTTTGTGATCCTTTTGTTTCACACAGATCTGGGAGAAGGATCAGAAAAACACGTAAATACGACATCATAACGACTCCTGCAGAGCGAGTGGAGATGGCTCCTCTAAATGAGGAAAATGATGAGGATGATGACTCAACGCTCTTCGATGTCAAATACAGGTTTGTTCTTCTCTTGACTACCAAGACAAAGAGAGCAACACACATCAGATGTTCATGCTGGAAAAATGTTACAGGTGTAATCTCTCTAACCATGGTCTGTGGTCACACATAACCACAGAGTAATGCTTATCATTCTCTGTATAGAGAAACAGTGGACACAGTGTATAAGTATAGGTATAAATTATGATAGAGGCAGTGTAAGATTAGTTCAAACTAAAGTGAATCTATCTCCTTTTTTCTGTACTTCTACTTATCTCAGCTGATAGCTCTGCACTTAAGAACTGTTTAATCTCTATTTGCCTGTGTAAAGCACATTGTGACTGCTTTGACTATAGAACTTGGAGTGGAGTAAGCTTGTGCTGCTAGGGTAGCTGTCGAAGTCCCTTAGCTTTTGCTGCTCTTACTTTATACTTTAGAAAAGTTACAAACAGAAAATACTATGAAAAACGAAAGAATGTTTCTGAACATCTCTCTCTCTCTTTTTTCGTTTAAGAAACACTGTTTTAGTTCAGACTGTGTTGACTTTGTTTCACCCTTCCGTCCTTCCCATTGTTCTCTAACATACAACCACTTCCTCATAGGAAGGTCTGATCTCCTGTTTACCTGACATTCCTGACTTCCAAGTTAGACCAGACTCTGCTGGAGGACATATTTGTGGACTGAAACATCAGATAAGATTCTTAGTGACTGAATTTTCTTATCTGTTTTTTTTTTCAGGTGAACTCAGCACAGACATCCAGATTTGATCACTCCTTTTTTTTCTGGGACAACTCAAGTGATTTCTTATATTTTCATGAGTCCTAAAGTCTTACCAAATCACCATCTTCTTTGCTGCTTGTGCATGGCTTTTATCTGTGTTAAACGGACCGGAGCCACAGAAATGTCGTAATTTGCTGCTTTACTGACGCTCATATCATGAGGCTCAAATGCCTGCCCACTTCTCTCTATGATTAAACACCAGGAAGCTTCCAGCCGCCTCATGGTATTCAGTTACAGTCAAGCTGGATGTGACTCTCCAGCAAATCATCCTTGCAAAAAAAAAAAAAAAAAGACATTTGATTTGGACAATTATCATAATTTATTGAAACCACTGAGCATCACATCGCTGTTTGACTGTTGAGCCTCAAGTGTCAGTGTCTGGTTCGGATCTTTAATGATATCATAAAATGCAGGATTTACGGCACTTTAGGATGTTATTGAATATGTAATCTCTATATCAGTGCTGATGGCCAATCGGTCCCATCAGTGACATTTTAACGTACAACAAATTTTGTGCAAATCAAATGTAGTACTTGCACACCAGGAAGAATATACTGTAATTTATATTTTACCTAAACTTTCTACCAAAAATGTGTCTAATAACCAATTTATTGTGCATATACACTGATTTATTTCCCTCCTATTTTGAGTGTGCATAGATTATTTTTATTGAGAGTTGACAAACATTCCTATTTTGCTGCCGTATCAGTGAAAGTTCAAAGGTTTAAATGAAGATGAGAAGAATATTGTCAGGTTTGTGAGGTGTTTATACATCTGTTTGCTTTGAATGTAAATGCTGTAAACCTCTGTGGTCAGGTGTTTTAAGCCACGGTCGGATTAAAGTTTATCAGGGGACCACTGATTATTGTCAATAGCATCTTAAAGGACTACAGTGATGTAGTTACAGCCTTTTAACTTAACCAACAGGAACCCTGTGTCTGATTTTGAAGATCAAGCCATTTAAAAAAATATTCCACATACCAGTAACTTGATCTAAAAATTAAAGAGCAAAGTCTCCCACTGAAACTTGATTAATGGCTAACTGACTTTTGTAATGTCTAACTGAAATAGGGCCATTTTTTCTCTGAGCCTTACATGTTTTGGTTAAAGAAAGGCTCAGTGTCATCTGCTGGATGTGACATTTTGGTCAAATTAAGCCTTTTTTTCAAGCTCAGTCTATCTAAATGTTATTATACTGGGGTCTTGTTTTATTATGCAGTGGTGTCTTGCAGGAGACACCCATCAGCTGCAGTGCTGTATATCAGCTCTCAAACAAAGCCTGGTCTACAGAGTTTATGATGTTTTGATTTATCTACATTTGAGTTAATGTCAGAGCTTTTACTACAGAGTCCTTGTTTGATTTGGCTACTTTATTATATCTTTAATCCAAACATTATGTGCTATAAGTCTGATCTGGAGCGATTATTAGAGAGATAGCAGTGAGCTTACAGTGTAGATTTAATCTTCTGCAGGGAATAAGTTGAGTTGTTGGTGAGCTTTTTATCTCCAAACTGTTATGTGGTCGTACACTGTTTCCTATTACATGTGCAGCTGTTTCCAAATGACCTCCATATCTGTTTCACAGACACAGAGAAATTCACAATTGAACATGTTCTTTCCAGGAGAAAGAAGATTGTGTATCTTTCTTAGTTTTAAAGCGAAAGTTATTGAAATGATAGAGAAACAGGATGCATTTATCATCATTTTCAGATAAACTGTGCAGGGAAGATGTGTTTGAATCAGTTTAGAGTCATGTGTGAAATCAAACTTCTGACATATTTTTGATATGATGTATTTAAGCAGATTGCTGGTTATTTCCTGTGTTGTCGATCATACTGTGTGACTACTTTTCATTTCTGTATTAGGTCATGTTAAATGTAGGCTTTCACTGTTTGTGCAGATCTACATGAATTTGTCTTGCCACTCCTTCTCCTCCTATTGTTGTTTTTGGATCTTTGTTAAACAGTAGAAGAAAACTTATCTTGTAAAGATGCTAACCCTGTTTTTTTAGGACTGAATCATCTGCTGCAAAAGTTCCTCTCATTAAATGAATTAACGTCATTGTGGTAGCTGTTTGAATGCTGTGGCTAATTTTCCTTGTCCCACATTTAAGTTAAGATGGCGAAACAGTTTTAGAAGTTTATTAGAAACAAGCCCCCTCTTGGTTTTTGACACAAAGATGTTAAGTGTACCCACAACTTTTTCCTTAGTTTCCAGTTCTTTAAAAACTCTACAGAAAATAAAAAGTGCTCCTTTTGAAGCCATAAAGCTCAGCAGACATCCTGGAAATAGTTTTTCTAACCATTCTTGTTCATTTGTGTATTTCCTGTCATAGAAAACACATAGAAAAGTACATTCACTTTGTCATAACTACATGATCCAAGTGCCCTTGAGTCATACTAAACATTTTAAATACAAAAAAAGTTAATATATACTTAAGTTGAATGTATCAAGACAAGACACATGCAAAGCTTACATCAGTTTGCAGTCATTTGTACACTGAACAGTTGTTCACATTGAGTATACAGTATAAGACAAAGTGTTTGATAAATCCTCACAGCATCATCTCCACTGTTTCACAGCAGAACACAAACTTCATGTCAGTGGAAACTTTTCTAACTTGTGGCAAACTCCAGATTCTGGGTTAATTAACTTAATTGTGTCGGTCACAGAGTGTTTCTATTTTTGCCCAGCACAGACAAGCTCACACAAATAAACCTTTCATTGCTCCAGACTGCTGACGTCTCTGCTACTACTTTCATGTTTCCTCTTACCTTGAACTGGCAGCGTAGTGGGCCAGCATGCAAGTCAACAAGCGCGCACTGACAAAACAACACTTTTATGAAGAAATCACATGGCTGGGAGCACATGAGAGGCTGCTCAATTAGGTGCGGAGCTCTTCGAATACTTCAAATACTTGTGTAAATTTTGATCAAAGGAGGCATTTTGTTAAGAAGGATACTTCGAGCGCCCACATTCAAGAGAAAAACCTGAAAACTCTAAAGGGCTCAGCCACAACACTTACTGCATGAGAGGCTGGAAGAACAAAAGTATAGTTAAGACTAGCGCTGCTGATGAATTGGTTACACAAGATAGTCTGCATCTGGCTTCAGAATAAAAACAATTCTTCGGACTCTCTCAAGAAGGTCATTACACTGTTTTCCCCTGATGAAAAGATGTTTAGTTCTGGGCATGTGGATGGTTCAAAAACAGACAAATTTACTGATTATAGGCACAAAATACTGGCATTTGCAATGAAATGTATAAATATCTGTATCCACATATATACCTTAATACTAACCAGAATATATAATACATACAGTTTACAGTAAGTATAACTAATTAAGTCTTAAATGAATAAAGGCAAATCAGTAGTCAGATTCAGTGTCATTGAAACTGTCAATCAGAATTACCTTAATGCACATTACGGGGCTCATTTCTTACACTACATTTGTAAGAGTATGAACAATACATTCATTAATAAAAAAGCTCTACTATTATCAATAAGAAAACTACCGTCGGACCTCTACCTGCTGCAGTGCAGAAACAGGGCTGGTGTGTTTGACAAAAGATAACAAAGTTAGTTAACCGTCAACTAAAGTCTGTGTAAACACTCTTATGTGAACAGCTGGTACACTCCTTCTTCCTCCTCACACATGCTTTCACACTCTCCTCTGTCACTCCAGGTTACCTGACTGTTTCCCATGGCAGTTCTGGTTCACTAGACCTTTTTTTTTTGTCAGTAAATATCCTGCTTCTCTATGAACACCAGTTAGGGTGCTAGACAACAAGAAACAAAGTGTTCTCTATCAGATGAAAATCTGCTATCACAAGTTAAACATCACATGAACTCTCGAAAAAGATTCTAATCAAACTGGTCCTAAAATAAAGGTTAGTAATATTCGTGTCTGTTTCCGTCTTTCTCCCTGATTATTAAGTGCTTCCACCTAGTGGCCCAACCAGTGACTCACAGGAGTGGTTAATTCAACAGCTCTAATGCAGCAAACTCTTTGTATAAATTAAAACATAAGACTGAGACAGCTCATGGTTTGCTGTTTAAGAGAAAAAAGGGACCTGCATATGAGCAGAACAGGATCTTGATGAATAGTGTAGACAAAAAAGTCTCAGTATTTTAAAAGTCACCTTAGAAACCTCATTAAAACACGCCAGAGTCCCTAAAAGAGCCAGAAATAGAGAAAAAGTTCATTCCAGTTACTGAAAATAAGTTAATTCAAGTTTCATAAATGCAGAGCAGAAAGAAAACTCTTTCTACTGAGAGCCGTTTTTCTTCTTTTTGCTCTGGAGTTCTGTCTGCACCCTCCCCTCTCCATCACAGGCCCCGGTATGGAGCTGCAGCGCCCCCTGTCTGTGCAATGTGCTCAGGGTCCTGAACTCCAAGGGCATGGTGTGAGGGCTAGAGCTGGATGTGTACTCATACTTCAGAGTATCATAATAGTGGTATTTAACCGGTCGTCCCTGAGGGTCAAGCGGAAAGGGCCAGAAGCCGTAAAGATGGATTTCCTCACAGAAGCGAGTGGCCATGGTGTACATGAGGAGCCCCGTGGTCGGACGCTTGATGTGGACATTGTTGGTTAGCCAGTACCTGTGAACATACATAGAAATGCAATGTGTGGTTAGCCACAGATGGTGTCTTAATAAACCTTCAACCAGATTACAAATAAAGTTATAAGGAAACATGTTCAGGAGCTCTTGTTGTCAGTATTCGCTGGAGGGCAGCACTAATCTGCTTCAGTGAGACCTCTTCACCTCTGGGGTTTGATGTTAGGCCATCGTGTAAGGTATGCCAGAGCACACAGAGTGGATCTAATTCTTCAAATGTCACGAGTAAGAAATTTTGATCTTACATAACACATTTCTCTGCTGCAGACTTCCAGGCTGCTCAATCAAGAACATTCACAGTCAAAGTGTGACTGTTTTTCCCCCTATTTCTGCTCTCTGGACTCACTGAGCTGCAAAAAATTCTCCCTGCTAAATGTGTGTTTGAGTTCAGGTTGAAGCAGTCGGTTACTTCATTCACACTTTTACTAATTTTAACCATCTACAAAGGAAGCTGAATTTAATTCCATTAAGTCTCAAGACAAAGACTCCTCTAAAAGCTCCGTGAGGAGGTTTCCGCTGGTACTGAAACAGACTGAAATAAACACAAATGCCGCAGTATGACCAAAAAAAAGCGAACAAGACCACCACACAGAAGACTCATTCAGTCGAAAATGAGACTCGTTCTCATTTTATGTTGCATGGTTCTCGTGTTGTCTGGGTTCCTTATGACATGAAAATGGCCTTCAATTCTGGTTTAACTGAGCTTTTGTTTTTATCCGTCTTTTTCCATGTGCTCTATGCGTATATGTCAAAGCACTATGTAAACTTCTGTTTTTAAAAGTGCTATACAAATAAAGTTATTATTATTATTATTATCATTATTATTATTATGAGACTGAATTTACCTAAACAGTTCAATCAAAGATTTATGTAACTGATATATTGACCTCTAAAAGGAACAAGGTGAGATTTTTCCTCAGGATATACATCTTATGTCACATATGTGTAGGATAGGTTACAGCTTTGTCCACAGGGGGGCACCAAATCTGCCTAAAAACAGAACCTCCCCAATGGGACTTTAGGCTTCTTAAATGCAACGATTTTAAAGTTCTCCCTTTGCTATATCACTGTTGTGCAAAAATCCTGGTGATCCGAACTGTACATGGAAACAAAAGATGACCTAAAGATGCAGTTTTGGTTTGAGAAAATTTCTCTTTTAACTTTTTTTCTTATGTCTTTTAGAAGATGATCAATCATAAAACGAAAAAAGACAGCAACTACTTTTTTCAGACCTGTTAAATTTGAGACAGTGTGATAAAAATATTTTGCATCTGCTGCCAATTTCTTGATGATAGTTCACATATTGGCAAAATAGATTTTAACAATTTTGATCAGAGGTTTCATCTTACAGCACTGGTAAAAGACTCTCTGGGTGTTTTCTGGGACAACACTATCGAAGGCTTCATGTATAATTCAATAATTGTTCCTTTTTTGCTGAACACTAACACAAAACAAGGACATGAAACGACAACAGTTGCCTTCAATTTTAGATTATCCATATTAGCGCCTTATGGTTTAATGCCACATGCTGCTCTCAGGGTCAGGCGTCCACTTGCCCTGACTTTGTTCTGTGTCCAGTCACCAGCTGCTTTCCCTGCCTCCAGGCTCTCGCTGTGCTCTACGTGTCGGCGCTCAAGGTCAAGTTGAGACGCAGAGGGTGAACTATTTAAAGCTGCTCATATGCCGTGAAGGACAAACAGCGGGAAGGTTTTTCAGTCCAACCTCTTGCTATGATAGGTGATAAGCATTTTAACCAGCAGAGAAGGTTATCGGGGAAATGTTTTGAGGTGGCATTAGTGAAGCAGATCCTTTTTCCTTCACCGCTCATGATAGGGATATAAGGTTCAGCTGTACAGAGAGAACAAGGAAGCCGTCTTCTCTCTCTCGATCTCTTATAAAATCCCGATTTTACAGAGTGTTAACTGCAACAATCATGGCTCAGTTCTAGTCCTCTGAAATACTGAGTGCTAGTTGGGGCATATAAAATTGCGTAATGTGGTCAGTGACAAGCAGTAGTTTTTAACAATGCAAGAAAGATTCAGAGCAAAGCCTTATTGTGATGAAAGACACGCAGGGATAGAAAAAAATGCAGAGAGGGATTTAATAAAAGCCCTAAAGGCAGCGGAGGCTGAATGTGGCAGATTTGCAAAAAGTATTTTTATAAAAAGGCCCTCGACCCGCTCTAAAATAAATCAACAACTACAACGATTAAGAAAAGTCCCGCCGCTGTTCCTTTTCTCACACAACAATTTTTATGCCACAGGATTTGAACATTATAAGCAAACAATAGTTTGTAAACTCAACTTTATCTTGGATGGCATCTTTGTGACGGTTTCCTACACATCAATAATCAAAGACAAAGACTCAGAGTGATCAGGATCAGGTTTGATTTCAGGAAAAGCTCAGTATTTTCTTCTCTCTTTTGCATTAATTCCACTCGATCAGAGGAGCAAGACCTTCAAAAACGGTTTGTCCCCATATTCAGGACCACCTTATGGCATCTCTGCTGGTTGCCCGGCAACATCAAAGAGACATTAAGACCCCTGAAATGCTAAAAAAGAACAATTGGTTGTTTGATGCCCTACTCGATCCTCGGCTCAGCTTAATGCAATATTAGTCAGTGAGTTGGTTGTTAGGAGGGTCACTTAGGTTCAGACCAAAATATCTCCTAATATCTGATGAATTTTCAGAGTGTTGGGTAAATGCACTCATATCTCCCTCAGAAAGAACTCAAAGGAATATTAGATATATATTCAATACAAAGACACAAACTGATAATAATGAGCTTTCTACTCGCTGGAGGGCTGTTTTTGAGCTTGAAATGAGGCCAAACTAGCCCCCTCTCCAGTCTTAATGCTGAGCCAATCACCTCCTGGGGAGGCAGAGACACCAATGCTCACTCCAAAAACAGACCACATGTACTGTACAATAATACAATACTTGGTTACTTAAAATACCATCACCCTACAATGAGGTGCACCCTGAGTGAAGAGAAACAGAGCAGCATCCGCTCACTGGTTGTCATCAGCTGGAGCACTCTGTTTAAAAATAGCCACCTGGGCGGCAGATTAGTTCACCAACCCCTCATTTATGTTTCTAACAGGTGTTCCTGTAAACAGCAGCATAGCAGGTGCAGCATCTTACCCCCTGACCGCGTGGAGAAGCCTCAGTGAGGGGAAGGCAGTGCGTACATCCACGGTGTGCAGCAGGATGAGACGGAGGGCCCACTCCACACGCTCCTCTCCCCCCTTGGCCATAAAGGCTGGGATCCACAGCACGCTGCCACTCAAGCTCTGGAGACGCTGCAGGAATCGATCCCTCCATTCCTCACTGACCAGGTCCTGGAAGGCCCGCTGCACCACTGATGGGTTCATGGTCACCAGGTTAGTCCTCCACCCCACATCCTGATAGTAATCCTCCACTGGTGCCAGATTACACCTGAGGACAAACAGGAAAAGGCCACTCTGAATCAAAACCTTTGCAATGTATTTTCAACCGATACTGGTAACCTCTATAACAACTTTAAAGGTGTATGTGCACAGCCATAACCCCCCCCAAGAGCTCACTGAGCTAGACCTTAGTCATTTTTCCATAATAAAACAGTAAAAACTGGTTTCAAGTAAGATATAAAGATGGCTTTTACTTTGAAAGGCGCATACAAAAATGCTATGAAGTTACACTGCTTTGATTGGCTTGGGCATAGAGGGCTCAGGTTGTTGCATGACTTTTTATTTGGTCTTGCTTTAGCGATGTCGACCCTTTGGATTTAATTGAAAATGATTCATGTGGAATGAGAGGTGATTGGTTAAGGCTGATGTTCCAGCTCGCTAAAGGAGAGGTGATTCACTTTTTCTTTGATGTGTATTGACTGCCATCAACAAGAGGCTCGGGTAATCACTGAGTGAGACCTTCAGCACTCCACACTTGCACAGGAGTACATCCTGTCTCAGAAAAAAAAATCAGGACTTACTTTTTGTTTCTGCCTCTTTTTCACTAGAGTTTTTTATTTACAAAAAAAGAAAATAAAACTTCACGTATCCCTTTTTCCAATTTCTGTATTTTAAAGCAGCAAATCAGATCAACAAACCGTGTCCTTTGATTGACAGCTCTCCGTAGAAAAAGCCTTGTTTCACATTTTCAACAGCAAAAATTTATGAAACAGTTTAAAGCAGATTGAACTTTTCGTTTACAAAATATGGTGTTGGCATGTACAGATAAAGATTAGCAAAGCTCTGAGTTAAAAAACAAAAACTTGAAACTTTACCTATTTTTTAAGTCTTATTTAAAGTCCCGCTCTGATCATTTTTTTTAAACAACTGAAAGTGTTCTCAGTGGTCTTTTAATTGTGATTATGAAGTTTTTACCCAATATCACGTTACCTGTGTCATTTTTAAGCTCCAGTAGATCATTAGCAATTCACCTCTGAGTCGTGTGCAGAGACAACGCTGCTCTGCACACGCGTCTTCACGTTAGCTATCAGCCTAACATTGCTGGTGTAGTAGAAGTTGCAGGTAACATAGGAGCTATTCAGTTTTTTGACATTAATGTCTTTAGGGACATCATGAAAGCTAATATCATAATTCTTACAGGCATTGCGATCCGCTAACGCACACGCTTGTTCCGCGACTGTCCACTGTATTTCTTCTCTATATGCAAAGTGTGGCCTGCATAGTGGGGCTCCGGAGGCGGAGCTTGGATTAGTTACATATGAACTCTCACTGTTTCTGAACCTGCCATTTGGGTCTGCCAGAGATTCACAGCGATTTGAATGAAGAAATACTCAGAAAAGCAATTTTACATTTAGTTTTCTCATGATATGTCCTGTAGCATCAGAAAAATGCCATATGAACATATAAAAAACAAGAAAAACATGATTTTCATCGGAGTTGGTCTTTAAGTCTAATTTCTCTGGTGGCATTTTACTTCAGAAACTTCACAGCGGCTATCAAAAATGTGTTTACTAAGGAGAAACCTTCTCAGAGATCATCAGATACCCGAAAGGTGTTCTTGAATGAACTTTTGGCAGCTATTTACCAGAAGAGTCGAAGCAGCTGGTATGTCACGGTGGCCTGGCATCTCACTAAGACACCTCTACTTTTTTTTTGTCTTCAGTTCATCACCCATCTGTCCCTATCCTTGAGCTAGTCAAACATTTGCTCTGAAGAAACCTCGAGCAGGGGTGAAAGAGAGCAGAAATTCCAGCTAAATTGAGCAGAGAAGCAGAGGATGGCATTTTGATAATTAGTGTTGACCCCAGCTGCAGAGTAAATGCCACAAACCACACAGCAGGTAATCATCTTCTTAGTGAAGCATATAATCATCTACGATCAACATGTGTGGCAGGTCAACACATCAGAAGAGTTTCTGTAAACTCTGACTCTGATTCACACATAAGTAAAATGGAAAACCAAGTAAGAACACTCTTTCAGCCACTCTGACGTGGTTTACTAAACAATCAAGCATATGGTCATGTTGTGACTACAGTAGCTGCTTGTTACATCTTCTGGTTAATGCTTTACATATCAAAACAGCTGGCAAAATGCCTTAGCAAGAGGCTCAGGGTGTGTCACTTTTACAGCTCTGTGCCATTTTGTGCCAAGTTTCGTCGTTTTTTGTTTTTTTTAACATCCTTTCTTCATCTGACAAGGTTTTTTGTTTACTACCTGGCTTCCTGGCAACACATCCATGCTATTCAACCACCGGCTCAGAGCCTGGTGCATGCCCAGAATGCTTAAGCCAGTTTCATTTTGATTGAGTCGTATACATGTAAGAGAAAATCAATCCTCAACTGTATAGCCCGAGTACGTTAGTCTGTCTATGAGAAGTTCCATTTCAGTGTGTTTACATGATTTTTTTAAGTACAATTTCAGTCAGACTATCGTAATAAATCAATTTTTTTAATGCATGTAAACATACCGACTGGTGCTCTGTTGTGAACCTTGGAAATTGGCTTTTAGGGGAGGATATTTGCAAGTGTTGAATTATACAAAAAACAGCGCAAGTGCCTTATCCAATGACATTAATTCATCTGGTTTGAACACACGATGATTAAAGCTTGTTCTTAATTACTCTATTAGTAGAGACATAGTTTTCACAGGCACCTTTGAATACTTCCCCACAGTGGGAAAAAATTGGTCTAAAGATGAAGCGTAGAAAAAAAAGTGACCTTCATCTGACTAGTTCTAAAAACAAAACCTTACTGAAACACTTCCCTTAATTCATTTGTAACCACTTCTCAAAATCATGACAACTACTGAGCAGAAATGAGGCAAACAGCGGAGAGACTATTTAACCAAGTCATTATCTCTAAATCTGTTATGGGAATGCTGGGGCGAATTCCTCAGCTTCTCAAAATGCCACATTCCCAGTTGTCTGCCATCAGGCCACAATTACCGCCCAGCCCAGCACCATTACCATGCTGCTGGAGTCTGGAAATCATGACCTCTCCCCATCAGCATAGAACCGCGACAGCACGCAGGAAAGATGCGCAGACAAGAGAATCAATCTTCACACTAACAAAAGAGACGTAGAAGGAATCTGAGGCCCTGTTCAGCTATCGATCAATCTGCTCAATGAGGTGCCACTGCAGACAGCTACTTCCTGCTCCATTTACACAACAACATTAAAGTCATTGATTCATGAGGGGATGGTTTCCACTGTAAATACCTCTGCTTTTTACTGCAGGCTTTGTTAGATTATCTCATCCATATCCAAATTCCCATACAGATTACTGCTATTTTGCAGTTTCTCCCCCCGCAAAGATCCCTTTTATGATGCGTATAAAAGGTGGTAAACAACGCTCTCCTTTGCTTGCACCCCAACATTGAACAGAATCGCTGAGGGCTTCATGAGAGGAATCTTCAGCTACATGAGAGCACAACCTCGGGGAGTCTCTGAGTGAGGCAATGTGCGTCTACTGGATGACAAAAGCCTCTTAAATGTCAATCTGAATGCAATAATGTAGATTATAAAGGTCTCAGCCTGGATGTTTGGCGCAAAACCTGAATTGCTGCAAAGCTTTCAAAGTCCAGTTATTGTATTCCCAGCCATGTGAGATCAAAACAAGTTTGATAAGAGCTGCAAAAATATTCCATTGTGGAATATTCACAGTGATAAACACAAAATGTGCTAATCTATTGAACAAACAGTCCACTTGAAATTCAATGTTTTATGATTTGTGTGAAGTGGGGGTCTTTCAGCACATAAATCACGACAGGCATACCTGATAACAAAGTCGTGAGAGTCAATCTCTGGTCCACAGCTGCTGTTCAGCAGGATCCCAGAGTTTCCCACAATAGCACAGCGTCTATGATGTTGGTTCTTCATTGGGGATGCAGTCGGCAGCAGTCGGTAAAGATTTTCAGAGATGTTTGTGGTGCTGTGGCGATCAAATACATAGTGGATAATATCTCCCGGTTTCAGCGTGCCCTTCAGAATAGAGATGTCTCTTTCAGGATCGAGAAATCTCAGAATATTCTTCCTGTGAGAAGAGGGGACATGATAACTAATTATGAAAGAGTCTGTTTAGTGGCATGTAAGAATATGCTGGGGTAATTGTGCAGAGGGAGGTGAGTGCCTGATGAGGTTGGAGAGGGTCTTGTTGAAGGTCCAGCTGTTTGATGAGAGCCTGGCAGTGTTATTGCAGCAGAGACTGAGGCTGTTTGTATCTTTGCTCAGGTTTGTCACAGCAGTCGGGTCCACGTGAGCTGTAGACTTTCTACATGAAGGGGAAAAGTCATGTTTGTGATACACTAAGAGGATCGGATTGATTCTCCACAGAAGCATTCCTGTAAGGTAAATGTTTCATGTGAATGGCTTCCTCTTTTTATGTATTTTTTCCTCTCTGGTAGCCTTTTCTCCATCTGAGTTTATCAAAAATAAAAAAAAATAGAGTTTCAGATGCTGTAGAAGTTACTAACCCTCTGAGACTAATGAGTGATTTTACTTATGGGAATAGTTGTGAAAATTTACAATGTTTATTAACTCAAGGGCAAAAATCAACTTCATTTACTCAAGCTTTAAAATTTCATGCACCTTTTTTTCTTCTACTTCACTTCTCTTAACGGGATATTCTGGCATAAAATTAATTTAGGGTCAAACACATCGAGTTTGAAAACATCGAGTTAGACACCCCCTTGAGAGATGAATGTTGCAGACCGCTTGCTTCTCTAGTTTTACCAACTTTAGTAACAACCGCACAATAGCAATACACAGCGGTCTGAGGAGCCATACACAAACCTCAAACAAAACGCCACTCTATAGCCACAAATAATGCTCAGAACAGCACCTAACTTCATCAATAGTACATGGCTACCAAACATCTTTTTAACTTTGCCTGATTTCTTTAGCAAAAAGACTAAACACAACTCACTTACTCTCTTCCAGCAGCCGCTTGTTTGTAGCGAGACCTCGGGCCAGTCCATTTAAGACTGCTGCGGGGTGACGCAGCTCAAGGAAGAACATTTATGTTCATTTCTTAAAGGAAATGCAAACATACTGGGACACTAAGGCAAAAGAAATGTTCTTCCTTGAGCTGCGTCCCCCTGCAGCAGTCTGTAATGGACTGGCCCGAGGTCTCGCTACAAACAAGCGGCTGCTGGAAGAGAGTAACTCAATGTTACGATGTGTTTGACCCTAACTTAATCTTACGCCGGAATATCCCTTTAATGTAGTAAAGGGTTGTGGTTTAGGGTCAAACCACCAACCACTGATGAGGACTGCACTTCGGCACATAGTGCATACTTTCACTACTAAGCTACCCCGGTGCTCCTAAGCTAGTAACATTTGAGACCCTGCAAGAGGTTTTCATGTTATGTTGAGACTGCATTTCCCATGAGCACCATGTGAAGTTGTTAGCTTTCACATAAAAATGATAAAACTCTGTAAACTTTGATGTATTGCCATCACTTTGATTACGAGATGATCTGGTTTATCAGCACCATCATAGCCCAACATAATGATGTCCGCTTAGGTATCCAAGTAATATCAGAATGAGGTAAATGAACTCTTTCGTCCTTAAAAAGCTGTGCAGCATTCACATGTGAGTGTAAATATCAAAGTTTCTCTGTCTAACATAACACTTCCACAGGAAATGCAGAAGAAAACTTATCTGAAGTTAATAAAACTAACCTGCTCCGTTCAGCTACAGCAGATGAATAACACTGGCGAACAGTTACATAACTAATAAATTAATTATTAAATTAAGCACTCATGGAGGCAATTTCCTGCATGAGTACTTCTGATACTTTTAATACATACTTGTTGCACCATTGTTACACTACAGTTGCACTATTAGACGCTGTGAACACTCGAGCTAAACCGACTCTCTGTATTGGGCTCGAATTACATTTAAACACACCTAAGTTATTTGAAATACACCTTTTTTTTATTTTAGTCAAATTCTGTTTTACTTTCACTGCCAGTTCTCTGAGAATCACATGGAAACCACCACGATGATGGGTATTTATAGCAGGTGCTTTCTGCTGTAAAAAGTAATGAGACACTCGCTCTGAGTGACTCACTGTGTTACAGAGGCTGCGAAGGAATCAAGTGACCAGTGCCAACTAAAAATACTATAGGAGCAGCCATGAGCGCATTACTACTGGCCTGTATGTACATCCTCATGAGCGTGAAGAGAATTAGATGTCAAACCTGTGTGGTTTTGGGATGAGCAGGTGCAAGTTGCTCTTTGAGTGTCCAGTGTTTCTAGAAGGAAAGAAATGGAGAAAAAAAAAGGCGATTTCAATTAAATTACAAACACATAAACTGAATACTCAGTTGATGCTTCAGATTCCTCTTGTAATCATATCTCGTAACAGTAACAGTATTCAGTACAGTTCTCAGAGCTTTTAAGACAGAATGAAGGTGAAAAGCAAGCATCAAGGTATTTTTAGACAATCCACGGTGGGCCCATTTGCTGATGTAATGAGGGAGAAATGTGGTCTTAATGGATTCCCATTACACTGGAAGGAGGTTTTCTTTTCACAGAGGTGTTGAATACACCAGCCTATGTGCATTTACAGTAGAAAAAACAACAACTGTGAGTGCTAGAGGATTTTTCTGCATCAATCTTAATGCACTTATGACCTTGATTTCATTTGATACCATCAAGAGGAGAATATGTGTAAAGGAAGAACTGAGGAAGTAATTTGGAGGAGTTCAGCTCAGAAACATGGGTCAGGTGGGCTTTCTAAACTAATTTTACTACCTGGTACCCTTCAATATATTCATATGATTGTATTAAGCAGCATTTATGCAGACTTGGAATTGGTTCCAGTCCTTCTCCCTCTGCGGATCACAGAGCAATATGACCTCATTATGAAATGATCCACAGTCGGGTAATTGCATCCCAAACAGAAGGCTCTTATTTGCCAAGAGGAAACCCAAAAAGTCAGAAGAGTGAAAAAAGTATTTTACGTATTTATTTGCATGTCTAGATAGCACAGGCTCTTTTAATGATGACAAAAGCAGGAGGAGGATGTTTCACTGTTGAAGTCTGGCTGTATTTTCCTTGTTGCTGAAGTGTTGGCTTCTAAATTAAGATTGCATTTTCTTGCAGGTCAAATCAAAGTGGGGCATGTCTGTGTAAGAGAAACACAGAGAGAGAAAGGGATAGACAGATTTGGAAGATTTCTGCTGCACTGCTGAACATTTCAAAGTCTGAGAATGGGAGAGAAAAGGGGGTAGACCTCTTTTGTTTCCAATCTGATGCCCCTCCTCTCTATCTCGTCCCTATCTGTCTGCCTCTCTTTCTCTCTTTCACACACACACATACACAGGCTACACATTCTACTCTCCTTCTCTCCCATAGTGTAAACGTATCCTATCCCGCATGCAGAGTGCTGCAAGACAAATAGCCTAATCCTTGGAGACCCGGGCAGGCTGTTGTCTGAACAGCTGCTACAGCTGCTGCACCCAAGTGTTACAAATGCAGAAACAAACCATGCATTGTCCAAATCCAACCCCAAACTTCCACTGAAATCAAATAAACTCGTTCGTATCATCCTCTTGGTTTAGTTCCCAACACTTAACAGGACCTGGGATGAAATGAAATCAACCTGCTGGACAAGAAAACAAAAGATCACACGCACACTCACGCGTGGAGTAATCACAGTGGGCTACTTACGCAGTTTCTTCCTCCACTTCTGCAATATCATCTATGATCAGAAGCACCACCACAAGCGTTACAAAGGCGAACAACAGCGTGCGGAGCACAAGCGGCATGGCTGAGGGGGAGGCTTCAGCCGGGGGAGTCCCTCCTTCCAGCGAACACTGAGCTACATTAACCTGCTTGTCTTTTTCATTTACAAATCGTCTATCGGCTCTCTCATCTTTCCCACAGTCCTTCTCGCCGGAGCTGCAGGTTTCTTGTTTCTCCTCTCCTCTGTTGATGGTGATCGCCGTGAATGTGGATATTTCCTGACGGGTCGATGCTGCTGCTGCCGTCTCCGCTGCTCCCTCTATTCCCCAGTCAAACTTTGAAAGCGTGCACCTACACAGCCTGCCATGGGAGCAGCAAGATGTAGACCACATGCAGCCTTAAAGGAACAGGAGCCAGATCTTCATCTCCGCCTACAGCCGGTTGGATCACTCTGTCCAGGTCTTAGTGTGCAGTCAGGAGACAGCTCGGGACGTGCCTACAATGGGTTTACACCAAGCTTGGGCTACACACAACACAAGCCTCCACTGAAGTTAACGGGGATCTGTTAAAGAGATATGGTCACCAGTTTCTACAAGTAACTTTGGTTAGTCAGTGTATAGTCAGTATAACTACAACTTCAGCACGCTTGAAGCCTAATTTATTTACGTATTATTTAAGTTGCTATCATTGTCTGTTGTCAGACATCGGTCTGGCAGCAACTCCAACTTTTCAAAGCTTCCTGTTAAAGCTCCAGTGAGGAACTTTTGCTTCCTTTTAATTATGGCGCCCCATGTGGACAAAGCAGTCTTTATTCAATCCTCTACATACTTTAGTTGTGTCTTTTGACCATAGACTGTATATATAATGGACAGTGTCTGCCTCCTTGCTGGATGAAGCCATCCTGAGAACAGCACCCTCTGTTGACGGGCTGCAGTATAGGTCATAAATCCCGCCTCCGCCAGCAAAGCTCATGGAGCTGTGGACAAACTTTAAAAATTAATCACACAGAACATAAATTTTTCAATAACTAATATCTATTGAATGATATTAAAAGCCTTTTTGTATATACACCACAAAACAAGATGCTTCTTTAACAGAATCCTGCCTACCCTACCTCTAAGTAAATGAATGTCAGATCACTGCTGATAGATTACAGGGTTGAATCACAGCCCCTGTTTTGCTTTGCTCTTAGACTGTTTATCCATGACTGTAGTGAGAGCATCCACAGGTAAGTGGATACTGCAAAAGAAACGCATTCTATTTTGACATACCAACCCAGAATTCATTTGTGCAAAACGCTGTACCTAACAAGCTAATCAGAAATCAAATTGGCCTTTTCGTCAGGCTTACTTAAGTAACTTGATAATCACACACAGCTCTCCTGCAACACACTTTGTCCAAATGTTGATTTTAATGTGTTAGATCAAGAAAACAACATGCTAATTTCTGGATATTCATTATGAGGAAATAATCTTGTTTTCCTCTGGTCCAGTGAATAGCTGTAGAGCTGCCATTGTACTGACGGTTAAGAGGGACTCAAAGTTGAGCAGTTAGTGATATTGCTGACAAATTCTCTTTTCAATCAATCAATCAATCAATCTATCTATATTTGCGCCAGTTTACAACAAATGTTATTGCAAGGCTCTTTCCAACATTAAGATGGAATAAGCTTAACTTTCATGTTAGACGGTCATCTCCTGCTACTGCACTGGGTTAAAAGAGGGAATAGGGGGAGATGCAGAAGGGGACAATTAACTACATCAGCAATAGTATGTACAGATGTATGGTTACACTTCCAAAGATAATGGGAAAAAATTATGTCTTCTATTTAAAGGACTGATCTTGGTTAAATTTATAGAAAACTTAACTCAGCAGGTCCATAGTGAAAGCACGGCAGTGATAGCATTTGTAACAATGAAGCTGAGATAAGTAACTGGGGGTTGAAATCTAAACAACTGAAGCAAAAAGAGTGAAACGCTTCTGAAGTAAACATTAGTTTTGTAAAACTGATAAAAATGTGAGACTAATGCATGTTGTTAAAGCAGCTGGAAAGCAGGAAGGTCCATGGCGGCCGGACGTCTGCAGGGATCCAGAGGAACCTACGGGACGAGGGAGCTCGAAGACGCCCAGAAAAGACTGTTGTTAGTGACTTTAACGGGAGATGATCATTTGATGATTGGAACAAATCTCCTGCAATTTCAGAAGAATTTTTTTTACTTTGTAACCTTTTACTCGACTAAATCTAAAGGCATCTGTAAAATGCTGGTAAGGTTTTAATAAAAGAATTGTATGTGAAAAAAAAAAAATATGGTGTGCTGCAACCGGCCAGATGACATGTTCTGCAGGAGGTTCAGGTTTAGAGAAAGTTAACCATGAGATAGTTGAGCAGGAAAAAAATGTTTTTTGAAGTTAAATTTTTCTTATCCCTCCCCCCAAGGCTCTGCAGGAATTTTGGTTATTTCCTTCAGCAAAATGGCAGAACTGCTGATGTAAGAAAAGAAATGCATCGGGCCATACATCCTTATTATACTATCCAGCAGCTCAGCTGCTGTGTCCAGACTTTTCTTTCACAGCATATTTTCAAAGCTCATGCCTACCCTGAAAAATAATTATAGGCTGTTTCCTGCCTGGATTCCTGTCTCACTTAGACCAACAATTTACATAAGGGTTCACAAAATGCTGCTTAAGTAAGCCCTGATGAAGCACTAAGAAAAAACCTGTTAACATTTTAATTATCTATGAGCTGCAAATGTTTGTTCACAGTGACAGTTTTAATTACAACAGCTTTCTTAGCTGCACGCGAGCTATCAGTGTAATTAATACAGTTTGGCTGCTGCTGTGTCAATACTCCATAAATAACCGAAGGAAAGAGTGAAGGCATATAAAATGTCCTGCTCATCCTATACTATTTGCACACCACAAAGACGTCTATTCGTGTGTGACAGACTTTGAACAAATTGAAGAAATTGTGTTTATATTTATCTTCTTTTTTTTTTTCATGCTGTCACTCACTCACGCACATGATGGCAGAGCACATGGCTGACATGAGGCTGATTGGTGTTTATTTACAAATCGGGCATTAATTAGTCGAAGCAAATAGAGAGTGTGAGGTCCGTCTGTTTCAAAATTTCATGCATATATTTGCCACACTATTGTGTTTGGATAAAGGGCTAATTTACATGGAGTGCAAAGTGCGGCTGGCTGGGGCCACAAGAGTGCACATAATGACGAGTCTCATAATCAAGTTAACCTTCATTATCATAACCAATATAGTCTAAAGCTGTGTGTTCTGCATGTAAACACACTCTTATATTGCAAGTTCTCACCAGGGTTTTCATCCACTGCAGATATTTTTGTCGGAAAATCAGCATCCAAGCATGAAAGTGGAAATGTCAGCAAGCTGGACTCAGTCACTCCACTGAATTTACATCTCCTGATTCGCTGAGACATAAGTCAAAGCTCTCCAGAGAGGATTTATTGCTTTATGTTTCCTTCTTTAGATGTTGTGTAACATTTGCACCCATTAGGCTAATTGACGCCTTGTGATTGAAAGAGAAAACTCTTGCCTGCAGCAGCTTCTATTTCCAGCATGGTGGCTTTTCGTGTTTCGACTTCCAGCGGGGAGGACGTTTCCCCGTGTCTCCGAGTTGCATTTTGGGCGTCTTTGAAGTGTGGAGCACCGGGAGTGAGATGAGTATCAGAGGCCGTTGTTCTCTGAGGCAGATGCTGCTGATACTGCAGCGGTTGTCACACTGAAGCTTGTTTTTTTTGTCTTGTTGAAGGGTGTCATGTGCTATAATTAGACTTTACAACTGAGAACCACACACATACAGAAAACACACTTTGTAATCTTATTCTATAGAGTGTTTTAAGTGTGCAAGCATTTCAAAATTTCATTGAATATGATACGAGGGCTGTTTCTAGATGTTGGTCCACACTTACAGTATGAATGACGTTGTTTTCACTGCATAAATCATACATTTAATCAATCATTCAGTGAATCAATCCAGCAGCCTGTGTTAGTTGTATTAAATCATGTTAGAAGGTGAAACGCTGCCTTGATAAAAGCTTGTTCTGCTTTTGTGTGTTCCTTAGACTAAATCTAAAAAAAGTGCCGTTCTGGCTTGGTTGTTTAGAAACTGCAGAACAGAGTGGTTTCAGCTTTTAGACACATTAAAAACGTTTCCAGCACAACCTTCTCTGATCAGTCTTCTAAATCACAACTCTGTAAGTGTGCGCAGTGCTAACACACACCAAACCAGACACCTCCACCCCCCGCCTCTGCACTGCTGTGACTGGCTCGGGTCAGGAACTAATTGGCAGATTTTTGGAGGGATGTGTTCACACTAGGAAGAAATGCCATTCCTGATTTATAGCTTCAACCAAACTTTCTGTAAATATGAGCGTCAGGATGATCAGGTTGTGTTGTTAGGTTTATTGTCCAAACACAACCTCCAGAGAAAAATGCCCCACAATGTGAACAGATGCTCTCTGAACAGTAATCTATTACGTATGATTAAAATGTTATGACATTCTGGTTTCACAAGGACATGTAGAGGCTGAAATAAAAAGGGAATTGGCTTTTCAATCTGCTGTGTTTGAGGGTTTTATTTCGGCCTTGAAGGAGTCATTACTCATACAAATGAGACATCTGGTTTCATGTTGGATTCAATATGCTTTATATATTTTTTTGTACATTTTTTTAATAGAAAACTGCCCTCGTTGTTATGATGATACTGCCTCACAGTTGGAATATAAAAGCTGCACAACACGCTGGTGACAATGGCTGAACACGGCTCTGAAATCAGCCACTACAACCATAAATCAGTAAGGGAGTTGAGAGAAGTAAAGTATGTGCCCTAACTATACTGCTTTGTCTTTGCAATTAGATCCGATAACTGCTGCTGGGACCAGGAGAGCGGATCTCATCTGTCTAGTTTTCACATCCCTGGTTGCTTCATCCCCCTCTGCGTTTAAGACTTCATTCTGAGATACTTCTGTTGACGGATTGCAAAATCTGCTGCTGATCTGCTGCAGTGTTATAAACAGTCAAGACCTCCATGATGGCCTGGGGCTTGCCAGTTTTTTGTCCCCGGAGTCAAAACCAAACACTGAAAAGCACAATTTCATTTTACTAAGGCAATAATACCCAGAATCCTTAAGGTGTATCCTTACTCTGAAATCAGGCGTAAAACAGTTTGATTTGCCTCATGACTCTGCAGGAATGACGCTGTGAGTGTTAATTACACAAACTACAAGCAGCATTTCCTCTTCTGTTTTATTTACCCTTTTTAAGAAAACCTTCACACTGTTTGTGTCTATTTAAATATTAATTTTAACCCCATTTACCACTTGTCTTTAGTCCTTGTCACATCCCAATTGTACTTTTTTTAAACTGTGGTTTTAGAGGAGCAGGACATGTAAATGTATCTTGGCCTGGACTGTTTTTTGTGCTGTTTCCTTCAGCTGAATGTGCTGAAATGTATGATAAATGTGACCCAAAATGGAACAAACTGTTCTATTGTTTACAGGCTTCCAAAAATTCAGCAAATTTTGAAGACAAAAAACATCAGAAGACCAGATGAGTGTTTAATCTCTGTTTACTGTTAACCGAAATGTCTCCCTCTGTGCTCTTAGGAAATCTGAGGGAATATTTTTAACTTTTTAAAACTTAGGTTTTTGTCAAAGCTCAACAAATTTCAGCATATTTATGGTCAATGTTTTCCCTTTTTTGTCCTCTAATGTCATTACGCTCATGCCTCTTCATAAACCTCCCTTCCACCTGAACCAGACTCGACCTATTTGCCTCTTAAAGGGCAACACAGCCTAGCTGGTAGCGATATGCTTTTTTAAAGGACGGTAGGGGAAAGTCCCGCCTCCTTCGCCTCTGATTGGCTAGAAAAGCTGGAAATCTCATTAAACACTCAAGCCAAACGTGGGCTGTAGGCTCTGTACTTCGAACAGAACATTACAGAACATTATCACACTTTTGAATCTCCTAACCCTAACCCTAACCCTCATCCTAACCCTAACCCTAACCCTCACCCTAACCCTAGTCCAACCCTAACCCTCATCCTAATCCTAACCCTAACCCTCATCCTAATCCTAACCCTAACCCTCATCCTAATCCTAACCCTAACCCTAACCCTAGCCCTAACCCTTACCCTGATCCTAACCCTAACCCTCATCCTAATCCTAACCCTAACCCTAACTCTAACCCTAACCCTCATCCTAATCCTAACCCTAACTCTGACCCTAACCCTAACCCTAACCCTAACCCTCATCCTAATCCTAAACCTAACTCTGACCCTAACCCTAACCCTCATCCTAACCCTAACCCTAACCCTAACTCTGACCCTAACCCTCATCCTAATCCTAATCCTTACCCTTACCCTAACCTGAACCTGACAGACGATGAAGTTTCACAGCCATAACCAATCAGAGCCCAGCACTTCTAGCCAATCAGAGGCGAAGGAGAGTGGGACCTCCCCCTACCATCTTACAACCTTTTTTTTTCCTGCTAGCTGGTAGTATAAAAAATAAATACAGGTTTGATATATATGATATATATGATTATTATCATTATGATGAATAGAAACCAAATTTTTGAGGTTTTTTAATTAGGTTGGCATTTCCATTAGAAGAGGTGAGCAATTTAAAAGGTGAAGACACAGTTATCTCACACAGCCATGGTGACAAGTTTGTCTGGGGGGAAAAAAAGCCAAATGCAGTGATGGATGAATACTCAAACCACAAATGTCAGAGATAGCCTTTAAAAAGATTGCCAATAAATAGATAATCTGGAGCCTGACCAACACATGCAGGTCAGGTTGCACAGTGCCTGGGAGCATTTGCGACATTACTCATCCATTTAACTGGGTTGAGTCTGGAGACTTTGTACTTGCAATAGAGGAGTCTGTGAGGTACTGTGATTTTTAGAGGAGACAGCTCTTAACGCTTCTCCCAAAAGTGTTGAAAAGTTTATTTTCAACTTGATTCTTTAAACTTAGTTAAGGCAGAGTCATCGTTTGGAGTTCAGAGATCATAGGAGACGTGGCCCTTAGGTAGGGTTTTGCTTTAAGTTCTAGGTGTATACAAGTGGAGTTTGGGGTAGAGTGGGCAAACTGCAGAGCTGTAAATATCTGACAAATCTGAGCTTTAAGGGTAAAACTGAGCACAACTGAAAAACCTGTCTGGCAGGCCATCTATGTACTAGTCAGTAATGGCTTTTTTCTCCATTTGTATAAATCTTTGCTTGTGATTGTCACAAAAGGGAGTTTCTTGATGAAGAGCAATTGGATCTAAATCTTAAGGATCCCAATTACCACAGTGTCAGATGCAAGATTTGGGAGTGGCAGGAGCGGAGTGCTACACGCCAGGGTCTGAAGTGGAGTGGAACAGAGGGCGGCCTCGATTCGACCCCAGCTGGTCTGGACTGAAATAAAACAAAGTGTTATTTTATGTCTGTTAGCTGTCCAGCAGTGGCAGATAAAGTGAGGAGGGCTGAGCCACCTCAATGACCCGTGTCTTTGGAGTGAGGCTCCATTTGTTCCAGCACTAAGCAGTCAAAACGAAGTCAGAAATGATGGTATAAAAAGATTTGGAAAACAATCCGGGGACAAGAATAGGTAGACACTGGCAGGGATACAAGTACCCAGAGCTGGATTGCCATTTTGATTGTCTGTACTCTGCCTGCTGAAGAAGATAATGGACATGTCCATCTCTGTGAATCAGACCTGACGCCATTGTGAAGTTTGGTTCCTGCGCGATGTAAAATAGATGGTGTGATGAAAATGCCAAGATACTTCTGTTATCTCTCAGGGTAACTGATTAATTGTCTAGTGCTCACTTGAAGGGATGTTTAATTCTTATCCAGACATTTCCTCAAAGGAATCTAGGAGTGCAGGGATATGTATGAATATGTATGTCTGTTCACTCATGTAGAAGAGGGGGTCTTCAGCAGAAAGTAAATCTTAAATCCCTCTTATTCCTGTCTCATACTTTAAAGCAACTTGACAGGGGTTTAATGACAAGTGTAAGAGTGGGCTCTACTGATGTGTGCATGAAGAAAGGGGAGCAATGGGAAGCACTGGGTATTCATGCACACAGCTGCATGTTGAGAGGAGTAAATGAATTTGATCTAAGGGACAAAGCCACACTAAAACTGAACTGGCGCAGGAGGGAGGAAAAGTCCACTCTCAATGATCAAAAGAGCAGGATCCTCTGTTATGCATCTCTGGCATTGTTGGATATCCTGTTTTACTGTGTACACTTAAGTTATTCTGTAGCCTTTTTTGAGCTCTGAATGGCTCCATTATGAAAAGTGACTGTATGCAAGAATCTGAAAGCCAAAGCAGCTTTAAAACTGCTGTGCAAATTTAAAATGTGATGACTCTTAGTGTCTGTGAGTTTCCATTAAATTTCTCTGCTCCATACTCCACATTTTCCTGAGTGAGCACTTAGCACCGTATTGAGAATATGTGATGAGATGAGTGAATACTGAAACTAGATTATCTCTCCTTAACAGGACTTATTTAAATGTTACCTGAAGGTGAAAGATAGTTATGGAGAGAAATTAGAATCTTTTTGAAGAAATATTTGAAGTTCTGTGTTAAATCTCTGAGTTTCCTTTATAATATATATATATATTTCTTTATTATTTGGGTCTAAACATTTGTCCTTGTCCTTACCCCTTTGCAAGTAATGGTCAACAAATAGGACAACATGTGATTTTTAGAGGATATCACAGTTAGATGAGGCATACAAAAATACTTTCTGTGAAGTTACAGGTAACAATTTACTTGACGCCTCTCTCTATAACGCATTATAAATATATTTATATTTATAACACATTATAAAGCATTTTATCATGACCTACATATATAATGCATTATACATATATTCATAATGCATTATAATTTGCTTATAAATTATCATTATAAACACTCATTAATTATTAGGCTTTCTAACAATAAGAATAACACATTATAATACCTGACCTTGTAAGTCATGATAACATGCTTTATAATGTTATACAGTGCTATAACGTGATTATAACGCATTATACATATATTTATAATATGTTAGAGATAAGCGTCAAGTAAAGTGTTACCAAATTGCAATATCTGTGCACTTGCTGAAGGCTGCAGTTTTAACTTTCAAACATGTTTAATATAGAAGATGCAGAGACGTCTTTGTTTATGTTTTACTGAACTTCAATCCCATGCCCAGCGCTTTTTTATTCTGTTAGTCAATTGATATATATATATATTATATATATATATGTATCTAACAAAATACAGAGCTCATCTCTGGAATAACTAAATCAAAATGAATGCAAAAACACTGATTTTTAATTTGTTTTCTGAAAAATAATTTATTTCAAGAGTAAAATAAACCATATGTTGCCATACAAAAAGAGTAAGAAAAGGGACAATGTCAAAACTGTAACCACAGAGATCAGTAGAGTAACAGGTCGCATGTGCTGCATTATGTGAAAGATTTCCTTAAAAACAAAACCAGGAATAGATCCAGTGAGTTCTTGATGATGTTTACTTTCTTTGACGTTGCACACACAGCTCCCCGTACCATTTCAGTAACCCAGATTTAACAGGCCTAGTCTGAAGACAGATTTTGTTCCTTATAACACAACATGCTACTTTCATTTCTATGAATTGTCCCAAATCTTCTGTGACATCAAACACACACGTCTCAAATAATTAGATTATATATAGTTTATAGTTTCCTCTCAAATACAATCTATTAAAACATCCTGGGCCTAAAGAAACAAATATATTACTTTTCTTTTTCTTGAATTCCAAACACACAAAAACATCATTGATTTTCATCGTCGCTCTTCCACCGGGTGCAAAAGCCGAGAGAAAATACAATGAACATTCTTCTTTGAATAATCCCTTATTAAGACATATAAGGCTGAATAAACTCTGCAGATGTGAAACAAACATGGAAATGAAACACAATGCTATTTATGAGAAACAAACCTGCTGTCTGACTCAATACTAGTGAAAGTCATGGACATATCAGACACAAATTGCACATGATCACCTAAAAGACAAGACCTCACAGTCTAGTCTAAACAGTATCAAAAACAGCGCCTGTTATCCAGCAAAAGAACGACAAACTGATGCATCCTGATATAAAAACTATCATGTTTAAAGTTTTTTAGACTGAACTTTTGAACATTTAAAACATCTAATAGGCCACTAAAATAACCCGGTCTGGGTATCCTGTTCTCTTCTCATGAGAAACCTTCCTGCACTGAAATAAAACTACAGTATTAGTTTGTAAACACTTGGCAACTTTTAAATATGTATGAATCATGGAAGAACCAACAGACTTTTTTAATGATAGAAATCTCATTTTTCAGTGAGAGACAGACAGAACACAGTGCACTGACTGAAAGGAAACTGTCTTTTTCACGCGACCCACAGGAATCATGATAAACCTAAACAAATATGGCAGCTACAGTCGCAGTAACATCATGTCCACTTGCAAATGATCAGCTAGAGGTGAACGAAACAGTGCGGTAGATGTCATCTACACCACCAGAGTCGACACAGGAGTTCAACACCTAGCTGGTAAACGACTAAAATGGACCCTTTTGAAAGTTGACCCAGGAAGTGGAACCACCTCCACGTTTGTGTGTTTTATAGATTGCCTTCATCGAAAAAAAGAAATTTATTTCTTCTTTTCAAGAGAAGAGTAAACTCGTCAAATAATCCTTTGAGAGAGTATAAATATCCACATTGTCTTTTTCTCGTGTAATAAACTATAAAACTGACTCCATATTTTCACAAAACTCGTGGTCCTCCAGGTTATATATAAACTTTGTCCTGTCCACTAGTTTGGGACCTTCCGTGAGGGAGGGGTAGAACTCAGTGGGCGTCATGTGACCCTCATGAGTTTTGATGTACTTCTTGTAGTTCCTGCGTAAACAATACCATGTGGTGGTGTAGAGGAGGAAAGCCACGCCCTTGAGGATGATGGCGAGGCTAACGTACAGATGCCTGTAAGTCACGTTGTCGTACAGCAGACAGGCACCCTTATCCCCGCAGTCCGAACTCCAGAAAATGCAAGTAGAGTCGATCCCAGCACCAAAGATTAGAGGAGGGGGGATGAAGCCTGGAGGACAGAAACACTGAATGAGTATCAAAATAAACTGAGCTTCATAAAACTTACTACAACCATGATGAAAACTACTTTTTTTGAACATTTGGACAGTTTTTTTACCCTTATTTTAAAACTTTTCTCGATAACTTTTTGTATGCTATACCCTCATCTCATCATAGCTTTCCCACTGAGCATTTTTGGTCCAAAAGAGGTCGGACAGATGTCTAAATGTAAGCTAGAGGACTGGTCTAAAATCAGGCTAGCACAGGTCTTAAAATAAGTGTTTTTAGATGTCTAAATTTAGACCAAGTCTAAATCTGGGCTATATCTATACTACTCTAACGGCTATCATCATTATTTGGGTTAAGTACTTGGAGATCAGTTATGCAACTCACAGTTGCTTTTTGAAATGAATAGTTATCAAACAATGGATTAAAGTGCAACGTCAAAATTCTGTCTAAAAATATACAGAATCTAGACAGTTGAAATTAGGTTAAAAAAAAAGACGTCAAGTAGCCATCAACTGCTCAGTGGGTTGGATTGAGTGAAGAGATACTTTTTTCTTTTCACACAGCTATTTCTCTGCAAAGCCTTTTAATGAAGCAATAAGACAACACCTACCTGATTAAACCACGTTGACATTTTAAGGATCAATATTAAACTTGCTCTTAACAGAGTTTGTCATGTGTAAGTCTGAGTATTTGCTCGTCCAGACTTGAAGGATAACTGCACCAGCCTCCTATGCTGTTTACATGCAGCTGGTCTGCAGTCTGTTGACTTGGCTTAAAATAAAGAGACTGTGCAGAGACTGTTGACAAGAAAGCATTGGGGCAATTTCCCTAATCTCCAAGTACTCCTCTGAAAAACAACAATAGCTTGCAGGAGTCTTAGTATTCAATTCATATGGAAATTCAATAAAAGATATTTTGAATTTAACATGAATGGATTGGTCCAACAAATCAGGAAAACCAAACAGCAGCTCTTATCATTTCCATTTTTATTCTCAGATTTAGTCTTTTCTGTTGCTCCAAATCAAAAATCTCGTCTTGATCTCGTCTCTTCTATAATACTGTCGGCATGAAAGACTTCGGTCATTTCATCGCTCCTCCAACACCCACATATGCGTTTATTTCTTTTGTGCAATGAACCTCAGCAAACTCTGCAACCCTAACCCTAACCTTGGGTATATAAAACAGGATGCTTCAACTGATAAAGGTTTTCAAAAGCTCTTACCAAGCAGTCGCAGCAAAAGAAACAACACTCCAAGTGCATAGGATTTCAGTTCAGGACTCACAGTCCTTCAAGAGAAGCAGAAAAAAATACGTTACTTTTAATTGTTTTTATTGCCCTGCTGTGCACACACATGCTAATATGATTATATATTCACAACATGCCTGATCAGGATGATAACAGAGGGAGTCTGGGCCATGGCTCCGACCAGGCTGCAGGCACAGATCACACACAGGAAGATGAGGAAAGACTCCTGGCAGCCTGCTGTCGGACATTTCCCTGGAACGGCTGTAGCTAATTCACTCTCAGCAGAAACACAGCTACATCCTGTCAAATTCTGCAGTGAAAAAAACAAAACAAGGGGTGGTTCATTCAGGAGGTGAACTATACCAGGTAAACAAAATGCATGCAAGTCATGAAATACACAGTACTCTGTGTAGATGCAGAGGAACTCTGTGATCCTCCATCTGCACAGCATTACTGCTGAATCTGCTGCAGTGAGGCAGCAGTAGTGGAGATATTCGGTGCTCAGAGAAATACTCTTTGCATGTGATTTGAATATAGAACATTCTAATCTGCACATCGGTGCATCTGATCAAGAAACAACCCCAGTGATGCATGATTGGCTAATATGTTGAAGCTGAGGAAAGAGCTATGAAAGGCCTTTTCTGACAAACTACAGAAAGCTACCCTTCTCAAACGAGCAGGTAAAAAATCAAGACAAACTAAAACGGTGATCTGTGACCATAATTCTCTTAAGTAGGTTAGCAGAGATTGATTTGAAGATAAAGACCTGAGAAGTGTTTGATACAGTCTGAGCGTTTCCTGTGCGGGTGCAGCCGGCGAAGCAGGCAGACAGGTAGGTGACTCCATTGGATCCACACACAGGGCTGATAGAGGAAGTGAAGCAGTTGCAGTGACTGATGCATTGAGCGTCTGGTTTCTCGCCCCTCTGCAGAGTCCTGAACAGAAACACAGATGGAAACCTCGATCAGTCTCTGTTGGAGGTAAGAGCTGTATCTGTACAAACAAAACCACAAGAGCAATCCCTGCCCTCTCTCAAAGATACCCCTGGCCTGTTGTTCACTTTTCAAACATCTCCATGGAAACTGCACCGGATTCAGGCAAGAAAGTCCAAAAGTAGTAAAACCTGATAAAAAGTCAGTGTTTCGTTTGTGCAAAAGTGTTACTTTATCACACACTTTGATAAATTGTTGGTTTTAGGGGTAAATTAGGCTTATTATTCACAGTGGGAAAAAGAAACCTGCACATGCACTTGAACTCAGGCTGTGCAGCTCTGACTTTGAATGAAAGACCCTTGAATGCTAATGTTATGGATTGATATCTGACAGTGCCATGGTTAAGAAGACTGAAAAATGTGCTAGCTAAAGGTCATGGGATTAAAAGTAGCTTCACTCACTTCTCTGTTTTATGACTGTAAGACACAGTTGTGCACTAATTTTAGATTTTTGATTTAATTTAATTTTGCATTAAAGATTACTCTGAAACCCGTCTTTGTTGTCTATTACCATAGTAGTTAGTCTTTTCTTTCAGCTTCAGTTATGTTGCACTTTGATGCAAGGACAGCTCTGAAGCACTGGAACCGGCACTGATCAATATGGTTGTTATTTTTAATCATTATTTTGGATGAAAGTCATTACAGATTTAAAAGATTTGTCCACAGTAGTTAGTAGGAACAGCTTTTGGTAGTGGGTAGCAGATGGGTTCTTTGCTGTCACTGAAATTGTTAAATGATAACCGTTTATCAGCTGCAGACAAAAAACAGGCTTCAATGACAAAGCAGATGGAGGGTAATTCATCATGAGTAATCACACAAGATCTTATTAAATACCTTTGGCTCATAACTCTGATCATAGTTACTGTAGTTTATTAATCACCAGGTTTAAAGTGAATTAGGTATCCCGGCGAACTCTTTGATAGGACTTGCGTATGAATCAGTCTGTTATATTTGTATTCAGAGCGCGCCGCCCAGAGCACCATGAGGCCACTTACTGAATAGAAAATCTTTTTATAGACTCGATTCGATGACACAAAATTGTTGGAATAAAAAGTGAGTCCTCTGTGCCCCAATGACCAGCTGTGCTGTTAAGAATTTTTATTTTCACATTTAGATCCTCTGCTGTTCACCTCTGATAAAACCCCGTAACCTTGGCAACAGAGGTTCAGCTCATATTTATTTATCTATTAGAATAGTTGTGTCCTCATGATAAGACTAAAAGTGTCATTAACAACCGAGGGTGTTAAAACTAATTTACACTTCCAATTTACCACACCTGTGATCTGCTGGTTATCCTTTATAATCTATTCTTCTATTTTCTTGTCTGCACAAGAGTTTCTTTATTTAGAGCTGTTAATCTGAAAAAACAAAGACATTTGTTTCTGACCCCTGCTGAGCTGAGCTGCTGTAAAGACTGATCGTTCCAATTCTCGAATCAAACTCCTGTTTAACTCAGAGATTAAAAGGAGAATAAAATATGTATCTGTATCTAACTAACTTTAATCTTTTTTAAAATGACCTCCAGATGTTTTCTTACTTGTTGCCATAATTGACGGTCACCCCAGCAACAGGACCCGTGTCACAGCCCAGGAACAGGAAGGAGACATAACACGCTGTGGAGATCAGGTTGACCAGCATGGCCATGCGGATGGCTCCGAGGGCCGACAGGTTGAGCTTCTTCACCAGCAGGCCGCCCATGAAGATCCCCAGACACGCACATGGAATAGCAGTCATACCTTTCAAAATAAAAGCAGTTAAATCCTCTATTGTAAGAAAAAGGTGCACAGCACAAAAGTGTTTGTGTTTTTTTGCAGAGCAGACAGACCTAGCAGCTGGTTTGCTGAGGTGGTGGTAAGGTTGAACTGCTGCTCAAGGTATTTTCCCAGGAAGGCTGCAAAACCAGCCACCACAGCAATCTCCATACAGGCAGCCAGGATGATGCAGGTGAACACAGGGTTGGACAGGAGGTGCTTGGTCACCTTGGGGATCACTAGCAAATGAAGAAAAATGATCATTAATATCTGAGCGTGAGCAGACCTCCTGTCTTGTTGCCTTTATGACTTTGATTCTAGCTTTAAAAAATTATTAAGTGAATACAAGCTGTAAAAAAAAAACAACGAAAGTAATAAAATGTTGTTAAAGCTTTTATTTTCTAGTCTTATACAATGAATGATTCCATTTAAAACAGTAAAGCAGGTTATAATTATAATGTAAATAATAGAATAAGTAATTTTCCTTTTAAATAATTAAAAATAATTCCATTGAGCAACATTTTAAGCACAGTATTTTATGTCTGATAGGATTTTATTTGAATGATTCAGGACTAAATCTGGAAGTATTAAAGTCACGCTTCAAAAATACATGTAAGATAATAAAAAATAAAGAGACTCATGTGGAAAATATTTAAAATGATTTAAAACCAACAGAAGTTTTTTTTTTTTACTTTATTTTAACACTACAGTAAAATGGTGGACCTCATACACTCACCCCTAAGCTGCTGACAGCAGGTGGCGCCGTTGGCAGGCTCGTGGTTGCGAACAAGCCCGTTGCTGGACTTTGGAGTCTCATACTCTGAATTGAGACTAGGAGGAAGCATAACCTGCTCGCTCTCCGCTCCTTCCTCTCTCTCTTTTGTCGGCAGAGACTGAGGGAAGCCAAACATCAGGATAGCAGAGCAGAAGAGTAAGGCACCGCACAGGAGGAAGCCCGCCCACCAGGCCCCGATCCAGCGAGGGTCGTCAGGGGTGATGTTCAGCTTACCTGTGCAGAGAAACGGAGGATTCAGGACGCCGCATTCAGCAGAAACACATCAATACAAACACTTGAGCTGAACTCACTGGTGTCAATGAAGATAGCGTCCACATAAAACTTGGTGCAGAGGGAGCCGAGGATGAAGCCACAGGCCGGCCCGAACACCAGAGTGGAGAAGAGGATACCTGCAGGGAAATGAAAGTCCTCTTTATTCACTCTATTCACTTCACACCATAAAAAATGTGTCTTTAGAGGAAAAGAAAAGCAGTTTTTTTGTTCCTACAGCCACTAAAACAACCCTTCAGTTTACAGAAATCTTAACATGATCCGCATAATACTAACAATCCGTTCAGTATAAGCCTGGGTAACACTTTGTAAACAGGAAGGCTTGTATTAAATCCCTTAGACCATGTGCAAACACTGCTCACACTCTAAAACATTATAGTAAGTACTCATTAAATAGTCCAATCAGTGTTATATGAAGGACTTAGAAATAAACTTTGTCACTAATTCATGACCCTTTTAGTGTTTGTTTCTTTAATTTGTTATTGTGAGACAAAAATACTTGAAATTTAATGGGAGAAAAACGAGTTTGTATCACACATGAAGAGGAAGAGGACAACTTTCATTTGGTCTTCTTCAGATTTCTTTGAATCGAGACAGCGAACAGGGGAACAGTTTGGGCCGTCAGAAAAGATCAAATCAGCCTCTCTGAACCACGAGGCAAGTGCAGCAGTGGCAGCAGCAGCAGCACACACGCTCAGTGCGACCACACTCATTAGGATCACATGGCACAGCCCTCCTGGCAGGTTAACACAGTATGCTAACAGGCCCAAACACACACATGACTAAAGGTACCGGTTGTTTTTCATCCCAGGCTGCTGCAGCGGATAGCTGGAGATATAAATGTGGTCCAAAAGCCTCATTAGAGTTCTGTCAGTGGGGTGAGAGTCTGGCACCGTGACTCAGACTGCAGGCAGATAATGAAGATTCAAAGCTCAATTTGGGAGACAAATTTCTTCCCGACGATGTCCTGTGATGTGTGGTATTATTAGGAGACAGGATAGGGTATTTGGCTCACAGACATAAAGCAGATCTCTCTTTAAGTTTGACCAAAGCAGTAATGGTAGCTTCAGATTACCGTTAAACCACAATGAAATCATCTCTGCAGCATCACAAACATCCCGCTTTTTACCGACTGCCTGTTGGCCTGAACATTGCTGCTATCAGCACGGCGTCTGCAGTAAGATGTTAGGATGCCAAGAGCAGCCACTTAACAAACAAGCATGGAAACTGTGACGAAGCTTCATGTCTCCCTCCGCCAGAGCTGAGGGAGACATGAAGCAGTGTGCTTCCTGCCCTGACCACCCACGTAGGAAGGGAGTCAACGTGTTCACACGGTTGTAGCCTCACTGACATCGTAGTTTATTCGTCACATAAAGGAAAGGGCTCACTGATCCGTTTGGCTTGCTGCCTACACGTGGATTCGATAAGGCAAGAGGAAGAAAGAAACAAAACAAAAAAAAAGTTAAGTTTCACGTTGAGATGGGAACCTTTTTTTTTTTATCTGGTAACTCATAACTGAAACATCTTTGTGGTTAACAAACAGACCAGAACGGAAATGAGCCGATACGTTTACGTGAGTCCAGGCATCACCAGAGTGTGACAGTTTTTTTTTAAATCTCTTCCTTTGCTAAGTTTTGTGGTTTTGTTTGGTTGAAAAAAGACAGATACTGTGTTCACATCCTCTTCAACTTCAAAACATGAAATCAAAGATTGAATGAAAATCAGCACAAACAGCACAAACAGCAACAGCAGCATCGTACTGTACAAACAGCAGGGCTTAAACCTCAAACACGTTCAGCACAGTGACCGGGAAAGGAGCCATTGTGGCTGCAGACCAATAAAACTCTACAATGTAAAAGCACTTCTGCAGTCGCTATGTGAACATGTCGCCCCTGGTGTTGCAAATGAAGCCTGTGCACTCTTCAGTGTTTCCTTAGAAACTGAGTGTTGTCTCCTCATAGCAACAACATCACAATTGTTTTCACCACAGGAAGTCCAAAAGAGGAAATTCGGTTAGTGAGATCACCTTCCAGGGGATGATAGCTCTGCAAACCCACAGGTCCACCACCGCTGAGAGGATAAATGTCTCCAACCGAGTCCCCGGTATTCCAGTGCTTTATGAGACTCTGTCTCCTTGATGATAACGTTGTGTCACAGTGCAAATCTGGCATGTGGTAAAGATTGCTAATCTATGAGGGAGCACGTCTCCTTATCAATCGGCTGCTTCTGCACATGAAACAAGTACTGCTGATGGGGATTGTTTTTCTTTTTTTATACACAGAAGAGAAGCAGCGCACACCAAGATGAGTTTCTCACTATGACAGTAAAGGATCAGGAACACAAACAGGTTCTTAAAGTCAAAGCAGAAGCAAACGCAAACCTAGCTTTGCCTCAGTGTGGCTTATTTTCACTCTGTTTTTCTTTCTACCAAAGAAAGTCTAACAAGTCTGATACTTCCACGCACACAAGTAGGTGTGTAAAGGTAGCTTACTGTTTTACATGCATGATTCATATCAGCACTTGCTAAAAACTTGGTGACGTTTTTAGACAAACCTCTGTTTCTAATTCACTTTGGTGCTGCTACGATGCTTTCTTCCTCACCTGCTTTCAAACTAACCTCTGCCCCCAGGTGCATACCAAAAAGGCAACTGCTTGTACATGTTTTGAAAGCACATATTTCCCATTTGTGCTGACAGGATTAAGATGAAGACAAAAAAAACATGATAGAAGACCCAAGAAAAGCACATTAAATCTCCATGAAGGACAGTACGTGACCGGAGCTCAGGGTAATCTTTGCAAAACTCTATTTCTCCAAACTGCCTCTAAATCCCTTTCCTCTTCCAGCCGCCCTGTTAGGAGATAAGTACAAAACAAACACATTTTTTCATGTTTTAGTTCTCTGAGCCTTTTAGTATCCTGTAAATTATACCCTCAGGGGAGCATGTCAGATGTAATCCAATAACAAAGCACAGCTCTTGTCTTTTTTGTCTACCTCTAATTTGTTTAGAGCTCAGTAGAGAAGGCAGGAAGAGCTTCTGTCCACGAGGCTTGTGCTTCCCAATTCTAATTAACCGCAGATGCATCCCGTATCCCACTTATACTCTGACTTAATACAAGAATCAAATTTGCACAAGCCCACGCTTTCTCTCTAAAGAGCACAGAAGGTTATTTAGTGGGTCTGTTTTGTGCAAACTCGAGATCAGAGTCAGTTTTTCACACGTAACACTTGTGGTTTTGCAAAAAAAAAAAGTTGTGCTCTTTATCTCCACATTCACACAGGCATGCGAATCTGACTACAAGAAACACAGAACCTATTATACTAAGCAAAGATTGATTAAAATCACCCCTACATTTATGTAGAAGTGGTTGATACTCAGTGATAGAGCCAAATTTTCAGTTCCTCTGCAGATACGCAGATACACCAAGCATCTTTAAACTTCTATTTGCAAAAGTGAGTTACTTTGACAACCACAAGATTGAGATTATAAACTCGCTCAGTGAGAGCTTTGGCGGCTCACGCTAATGGAAATGTCAGATATATTACTCTGGTAGAGTCCTTGGTTTACTCGCCGCTCTTTACTTTACAAAAGGAATTCCTTCTTCTCCATTAATCCTGTTCAAGTTGGTTGGCCAGTAATCCGCGTAGCCAAATGAGAGCAGAGTGGGATGTTTTTTGAAGCCAAACAACAGTTTGTGCCTCTTTCACGAGGGCTACATTGATAAATCCAGGAGTCATTGTCTCGGCTTTCTACCACAGAGGACCTGAACACGAGCTGGAGCCAAAAGGTCGAAAGAAAAAAAAGGGGGAAAAGAGTCTCATGGAAGACAAGCTGCATAAAGCAGACACGGATTTAAAGTTTATGTTCAGAGTGACTATAAAGTTTGAGGGCAGGACAATTTAAAGAGCTTTCACAGAAGAGATCAGGAGATAACATCCTGTAACATCCTGTGTGCAGAGGACTGATTTAGGACGTTTGGGGGGTGAAAGAGACACTAGAGAGGGCCACAGATATCTCACTAAGCACAGGTTTTTCCTTCGTGCCCACTGACATAAAGAACCATCACTTACAGTAACAGTAACACAAACAAAAAATACAAACAATACAAGAACACCTCAACCGTCACGCCCATATAACAACCAGCCGTCTGCTTCCTGGCGACACACTTCCTCTGCTCTCCTCAGCAGCGAGCACAATGACTCGCCGCTGTTTTGTGACATTTGCAACCATGTAAAGCACCAACACCAGCAGGTTTAAGAAGCTTTGTTTTTTATTATCTGGACCTTAGATTTGGATATTTGGTTACAAATCATTAATGAGCAGCAAAATAAGTCCTTCATGAATCCAGTTAATTAAAAATGTTTGAGGATGCACACGTATTTGTTAGCTGCTTATGGTAGCTTGACTGATGCTAGTTAGTGTTCAATAGTGTCGGCTGATGGTGTAAAGACCGAGGAGCCACTTCAGTGAAAGTAAACAGGTGAAGGACTGTTACCCAGGAAACTGCTGTTCCAGTGAAGTGAGTCAACTTTGACTCATTAATTTTGACCACATCTCTGTCCTCACCTTAGTGACGACTTGTTACGCCCTAACCAAACTGCGTCAGTTTCTTTCATGTGGTTTAACGTAGGCACAGCTAAGCTCTGGCGCCAAACCACTGGTCTTAACAAGTGGTTTGGTGCTGCTGATTATCAGTTTAGGAAGAAAAATACTCAAACAAAGTGACACAAAGGAGATGAGTGAGAAGGGGCCGCTGTAGCTTAGTGGAGGAGTCAGCCATCTGTCAATCACAAGATGGCCTGCTGTCTATATGCCCAAGCCTCCTTGGGTGAGACGCCTATCTGTCCCCATTTTGAGAATGCAGGGCTTGACACTAACTTTTTTCACAGGGAGCACATGTGCTCTCAAGTTGAAAAAGTAAGGAGCACACAAAGAACATAAGGACTATTATTTGAAATCAATTTTAGGTCTTTCACTCACATGACATAGAAGGTATTGAAGAAAATGTTCAAAATTTGCTTATAAATTTAACACAAAAACTTTTAAGAGGACAAATTAGGGAAATAAAGAGGTGTGTCTTATTGTCCGACCTTAATACTATTATTTGAAATCAATTTTAGAGCAATTGGTCACATGACATGGAAGCTATTGAAGGAAAACAGCCTTTTTTGAGAACATCAACCGGTAATTTATTGATGGTCCCTAATTCAACACTGGACAGGGAGCCAAGTAGATTCAACCTCGCTGCTGTTGCTGCTCCCAGTTATGGAGAGTGTAAAGACACTGGTAGATCCTCAGTGAATGTCCATTAAATATCCAACCTAAAACTAACTTCACCACGGTATTTACATGAAAAAAAATATATATATTTTCATGCGCACATGTGCCCCTCAATACATTTTTACAATTCGCACACGGAGTGAAACGGTCGCACTGTCGAGCCCTGGAATGGCATAGACTGTATATAGAATAAACACCGTCTGCCTCCTTGCTGGGTGAAGCCACCGCAAGAACAGCTCCCTCTGGTGACGGGCTGCAGTATAGGAGCTTTTTGGCTTTAAATCTATATACTGGCAGAAGGCGGAACCAAGTTGCCCATAGTATATACAGTCCATGGTTCAAGGGAGAGTCATATATGAGCACTTTGAGTGGTTAGAAGACTAGAGAAAGAGCTGTGTAAATACAGTCTATTATTCATCTACATAAAGAGGAAAGGAGATGACCTAGACCAGGGGTTCCCAACCTTTTGCAAGCTGTGGTTCAATGCAGTTTCCCCTAACCCCCCCCAGTTGAGAACCCACTGACCTAGACCATTGAGACATGACCCAATGTATCATATATCAAGTGTTTATGATAAAAATTAAAGTGGAAACCATGATGCACCTGTAACTTTGACATCCTCTACTTGAGTTACACAACTTTGTGGTCACTGGGTTTTTCTCCCCACAGGTGAATACTTTCCGTTGATCACTGCTAGGGGAGTTTTTCAAATGCCCACATGCAGGTGGTTAAAAAGACGCACGTCAGCAGGTGTTAGATCTGCATGATTCACAACCTGCTAGAGTCTTGCACAAACCCTTTAAAGGCATTTCATTAGATATCAGGTATTCAAACGTCACTGACAGGAGGCAAACCGAGCATGCTATTACATAATCTGTGGCTCTCAAATTACTGCCCACTACATCTGCTAATAACACCGCTAGACTCTGCTTAACACTTACTCACACAGAACCTGCACCATGTAATCACTCAGGGGAATGATCCAGACCTGTTATGTCAAATATGTTTCAGAACGATTAAAAAAACTTGAAAAATCTAAGTCTGACTTCCTCAGTCATTTTGTGACTTATTTTTATCAGCTCTTTCGTTTTTGCCGTCACATCTGATCTCAATCTTGAAGGCGTTTGTCTTCAGGCAGTGTGAGGGGAACTATCGTAATCCTTATCTTGTATTTCTCACAGAATACCACACTGAAGCGCCACTTCCTCTCCTAAATTTGGACGACACTAACGTAGTACTCTTTCCTAACTCTCTAACATTTCGTTGACGCCTGAGATGTGAACCTGAGAAAGAAAAACAAACAACAACAAAAAAAAAAAAATGAACTCGCTGCCAGGAAAGGAGTCAATTTAAAGGGCGCTAAATTCTCTTTTTAAGCGTGACCCAAAATCCAAAAGTCAGATGTGTTTGGAGTATGACTTTAGCTGTTATGTAAACTCAGTCCTGTCCGAGCGAGCGTGAGTAAAAGTTCATGCAAAAGCCGCCTCTGAGGTGAGGTGTGTTTTGAAGAAATACAGAGGATATTAAGGGCGGCCAAATCTTCAGTGACCCTCAAGTAAGAACTAACAGCATCAGATCAGACAGCAGCTTTTACCTCAGGGAGTGAAGCTTCAGCCCACCTGAGCAACGCTTAGTTTCAGCATCAGCATCACCTGTCAGAGAGCACATTATTCACTCTGACAGGACGAGGAAGTCTAACTCGGGGGTTATAAACTACTTTTAGTGTCCTGGGGAACCAATATTTTTAGCACTGCATATGAAATCTTGTAATTATTGATTATTAATAATGTCCCATGATCCTCTACAGAGTCAACTTATAAGATTAAAACAAGTTTCTCTGTCTTTCAATACAGTTTGTTTTCATAATCCAGCTGTCGGCTTTAGCTGGTTTAGAGTTAAAAGGCATGGCTGGACAGTGATGATTCCTGTTTTACTATCTGGAGCGAGAAAAATTTGTGAAATGCCTACCACAGTTTTAACGGGAAAATGCTATTTACGTCACACGATCGAGTCAAAGCATTCCCAAAGCTGCAGGTCAAAGCTTTGCCAATAAAAAAGCAACCATGTGACATTTCTGCATACTTTCACACAGTTTCTTTTTTCACCGACAATGAAATGATCATCATGTCACTGTTTTAACTCCACGAGTGAGGAAAAAGCAGCGAGATGGCCGGTTGGTTGGATTTACCCTTCAGTAACCCTGTTGGCTCTAACCAGCACTGACCTAAATAACAAGCCAAAGCTTAAAGTCGGCTCTCATCTCAGATTCAAATGCCATTACATCAGGATCATCCTACTTTGACTTCCGCTTACGTCAAAAGATCTAAAATTTAAAAGCAGGCCTCCACATACACCCTGCGGAGATTTGATATCAAAACAATGTCTTATCTCTGTGCTAACTTCCAAGTTACACTCATGCAGACTGGCGTTAAAGCGGTTTCACTGGTGCCATATGGTTGCTTTATAAAAAGTGCAGCTTAAGGGCACGTTTTAAAACTATTAGCACTCTGACCCTGAGGATGAGCAGCGCCGTTACTGCAGAGCCTTACCCGATGATGCGGCCCTGGAGAAACGCCGACTCCCGGCGGCTTTCTCCCCTTCCACACCCTGTCATGTTAAGCTGAGCTCAGGCTCAACCTAAGCCCCCTGGGAGGTCAAGGTCTGCACAGCAGGTCAACACTGGGTCTCCCTGAAGGCCTGACTACCTTATGTTTGAACACGTACCTGCTATGAGTCTAGACTGCTGATGAGATTATTTTGATGTCGCTCGATGAGTCGGTAACATTCACTGAACCTACTGAACATTTTTTTTATTTTATTACAGCATCAACTATCATTTTCACTTTCAAATGTTTGTCTTATCTTTTTTAATTAATGTATCAAAAAAACCACAGGTACCGCTCTGTAAAATGTGAGAAATGTGAGATTTAATTTACGATTTTATGATCACAATGCGATTTGATTCTCGATTCTTTTTCTTTTTCTTACAGCACAGAGGCCTATGCCATCTTTAGACTAGTCTAGTCTTCCTTCATTGGTTTTATTCATTACATTTTGTACAGTAAATCTTATTTCAAAAGATGGGCTACATACAAGTAATGCTATTTCTATTACTCGTGTAATGTATCACATTAGGCATTAATAGTCAATTTTAAATAATTTATTTAACAATCTTGTTTTCAGTGAAGTGAAAACAACAGAAACAAACATAATAACAAAAATGAGAACTCACAGAGGCTCATGTCGGCTACAATGTGCGGCATCGTCATTTGCTTCCGCTTCGCACACCTCCCGGATGTGGAAAGAGGGGATTGTCCATCCTCTCTTTGATTTCGATGATTGAGACCGTGACGTAATTTTGATCGATTTTGATTGAAAATCAAAATCATGACACCCCTAATAGTTATATTGAAGTGTTATCCCAAGACGTTCAACAAAAAGCTGGTCTAGACTATCTATAAAGACCCAACATCAAGATCTTTAAGATCAGACCCACTCTCATCTCGTTTTTATCCACAGGACTGTCCTACTTTAGTAGGTCACAGAGGAAAACTTCCCTCAACAGGTAGAAACCTTGAGCAGAACCAGACTCATGCAAGACAGCCATCTGCAGCGACTACACTGGGTTCAGAAAGAGAGAGATGGACTTAAAGACAACACTGCCGTTATGAAGTTGTAGCCTTTTGTCAGTATTTCCTATTGTTTCATTATATTAATACATACTGTGTTGTATCAGAGATTATATAAAATCAGTAAACGCTTAGAGACAATGTTTGTCCCCCAATAGATCTCTGTGCCATTTCATAATTCAGCTGAGCTGCCTCATCCCATGACTCTGTGGATGACAATACTGAGAAAAAAATCACTTAAGTAAAGCACACTGCAACAGGATGGGAGGGAAAAAAAGGTTTTATGTCAAGAGATACAAGGAAGACCTGCCATGACAATAAATGCTTTTTCAATCTAAAATAACAAAAGACATCCAGAGCTCTTACGTGAAATCAAATAAAGTGAGGACATTACATTAAACTCTAGTAAACTCTGTATGAATGAGCTCATATTCTGCTTCTCCTCGTGAATAAATATCAGAGAGTAACCTTTGAAGGCAAACAAACAGGTCTGAGGGAAATTAAAGAGCCTGAGAATGTTTTTTTTTTTAAAAACAATCTATTGCATAAATGCACACAAAACTCAAGAAGATAGAAGTGGTCCTGACTCCCCAGACTGACTCAAACTCATGGTGCAGAATTTATAACACAGTGCCCGTCAGCTTCAAATGGTGATTACAGTGAAGGAGCAGCATAAAAAAAAAGTCTGATCTCAAAGTAAAGCAAACTTTATCAACATTCCCCTTTTGTTTTAGTAGATTTACTGCACTACTTTCCACCTGTTCACCAGACTTTGTACTTAACCGTCCCCACACCTGAGTCCACAGCTCATCAGTCGTTCATGGCCTGACCCTGTCCACCCACCTGCTCACCTGTCTCTTTTTTTGTGTTCCTGTTAGAGTATTTGTTGTTTTAACTTTGTCAGACCAACCTGCCAGTTTTCCATCTGTTAGATCACTAAAATTAACTACATTGAGTTGCACCTGTCAGCCTTTTTCTATCTGCATTTATCTTGCCTGCTGTCAACCTACAAATAATTACTGCAAAAAAGGGGAACATGTGGGAATGCTTTTCTCAAAGTAGTTGAAGAGGGAAAACTCATAGAAAAGAGATTCAGATCTAATTGAATATGTTGAAAATTGCAAACATTTAACTCGTATAAATGATCAGCAAAGCCCTTCTCTTTGGAGTGCAATCATGGCACGTAATGATTTTTTGTCTATAGGCCAGAAAGACCTCTATAATATCTCAAAGATAATCAAAGTCCTGCAGCTTTCTCACTTGGACGGATCACAAATCCATTCACCCTGAAACAGTCAATGGAAATGCACCTGCTGCATTTCCAAAGTTCATTTAAAACTCCAGAACTGTGACCCTTTAAATATCTGCTTTAGTCTGCCAGAAAACAACAGCATCTATAAATCTACAGCTGGGCAGAGCCTTGCTCAAATTACATCATTTTACTACACTTTAAAGTACTGCTAAGGATGATAAATATGTTTTTTTCTTGACCTCAAATGGGGTCAAACTCTTCTGACAGCAGGTAGATTCAAATCAAGCATGGTATGTTTAAAGCATCAGCCGCCTGAGAAAAAGTAATTTTCACTGAGACGTACTCAAACATGACAGTGGAAAAATGATATTTTTGGATGATAAAATGAAAATTTATCTACTTTCATATCAGGGTCCTTGCTCATGGACACTGCTCCACTGCCTGCGTGCACAATAGACAAAAGACCAAATCCATCGTGCCTGACATTTCTAACTCGTGAATGAATTAGTTTTTTTTTTCAAATCAAAATTTTTGCTCACTGATTACTGACCTTGATCAATTTTAATAAAAGTAAATAATTATAAAACATTTTATTCATAGGGGCCTTTCAGGGCACTCAAGGACACCTTACAGAACAAATATAAAGACACATAAGTAAAATAGTAAAGTCAATAAAATACACATCAACACAGCAAAGTTTTAAATAAAAAAGCTGTGAGTCTGGACTCAAATGTCAGTCTGAGTAGGCCTGTCTAAAATAATGTGTTTTATGTAACATTAATACTGCAAATCAAAGCTGATTTTTAAGTCCTTAAAACAAAACAAGTTTTAATAATCTGTCAATTATTTGAAGTCTTTTTAACAAGAAAACCTGTCAAAACTCAAATATAGCTTATGTAATGTGATTAAGTTTTCATCTTTGTGGTTTCTTTGTGTGTAGAATATAATTCCATAAAATAAAAGCCTATTAAAAATGTCTTTACCTATTTTTGTTCACATGAATGTGGCTTAACCAAAGATGTTGGAGACACTTTCCTCTTCCTCTTGCATCAGGCTCTTCTTCGTCTTGTAGGTTAATGCCATTAGGCTTCTTTAACCTGACATGCAGTCGCTTAATCTTTGAGTCCAATTAACCTTGTGTGATCTCACTCTAACTATTCCAAGAAACAGTAAAAGCTCTCATTAACCTAAATGGCACCAGTATTAGTAAGCTCTAAATGAAGTCCATTTGTTTTTCTGTCATGTCATACCAAGTTAAATCCTCACTCATCATTCTGTGAAAGGTCATCGTAGTTTGTAACCTGACAGCAGAATACGCAAATAGACGATCTTTTAAATCAGTGCGATCAAGTCGCTTTTGCAAGGCTGGCATTTATTTTAAATTACATAAATACAATCTTCCACTTTGTTTGTTTACAGTGATAATAAGGGTCTTTCTATTCCATTAGATTACATAAACAGCCCAGGCGTGCTGTCAAACAAAGCACTGATCTGATGCTGGACACACAGAGGACGCGACCAGACACTGAGCACCGGGTCGGCACAGGACGGAGAGACGGGGGAGAAAAGGAGGAGAGAGACAGATTGACAGGGGGGTAGGAGTTACTGTGACAGAGTACAGCCTTGTCTTTCCGCTCTGCCACAGTGATCTGTTTGTAATCCTGTTTCAGATGTTTTACTGGAGCCCAGACAGAGCTGCCCACGGTCTCCATTGTTAGGCAGTTGGGTGGTAAGGGATGAAGACATGGAGGAAAAAGGGCAAGACACCAGAGCGTGTGTGTGTGTCTCTGCTAGAAAGCTGCAGCTGCTCTCTTGAGGATGAGGAGCAGAGAGGTCCAGGACTCTCTGACAGCAGCTGGTCCCAGCTTCTCTTGCAGGTGGCTCCGACTAATTATCAGGATGGAGACGCCAAAAGCCAGTTTCAAGCCTTCTCTCCAGGAATGTGTAACAAATAAAGGGGTGAACCGTGTCCTCGGTTATTGAGAAATGTGATGCATTCTGAGAAATAAGAGGCCAGATGTGGAGAGAGTTTAGAAGAAAACTGTTTAACCGAGGAGAAAATGCCATGAGAGTGAGATTCGGGAAACCAGGATGACGCTGGATATTTGTTTTCTCTATGTGGCAACAAATTACCAGGTCAATGAGCAAGTTTAAATCTGAGTCCAGAGTCAAGCCTTTAAAAAGAAAATAAGTCTTTTCAAGTCCCTGATAGACTTTGAGTAAAATTAAAATTGTATTATTGAGAAGTTTCCAACCTAAGGCTGCACGATATTGGAAAAAAATAATATTGGGATTTTTTCAACCCTGCGATATACATTGCGATATTAAAAATACAGTATTTTCACCAGATGACCTGAATAGCACTTAATGTTATGCTGCACTGCTGAAATCTTGAGGACAGTTAATCTGCTCTGATCTCACCTCTTTTTGTGAATGTTAGTAGAACGGCTTCTGTCTGTCTCAGAGATATTTTTAGCTTTTATTGTGCTGGGACGTTATTGTGGCAACAGATGAACACAGAAGACGTGTTTTGGTCGACATCATCCTTCTTTTAACCGAAATAATTCCAGATAATTGACTTTCCTTTTCTTTTTGGCAACAAATCTTCATTTTCGGTGGATTTCGCTTGTTCGTTGTTCATTTTGCGATCGTTGTTGTTGTTGTTAGCGGTGTTGTGCCGAGAAACGCATGTCCTCCGAGAATTGCATGCACCTCGCAAAACGCGCACTGCTTATAGTAGAGTGGTCCACGGAAATATACATTTTAAAACCCATACAGTTCTTATTTGTTGGGCTTAATAGTCATGAGTAAAGTTCCGAAAGTAATTCTCAGCGGACACGCGTCCTCCTCCATGTGCAGAACATGTGCAGGGGTGGGTTTTCTCCTCCCTGATTTTGATTGACAGCTGGCAGGGTAGTCTGATTGGCAACTGAGAAGTGAGTCTGATTGGCAACTGAGTTAAGGACGAAGCCGATTGGTGGATCGCTGCACAGCACATGCAGAGTCACATGGAGTGTATCTCAGTCGGTTACCCTTGAAATTAAATGAGTTCATTCACCTCCCACATCGCAGGCTCTGCGATGTGACTATCGCACACACGTACATCGCGATGACGATAGTCAAACGATATATCGTTCAGGCCTATTTCCAACCTATATAAGCACTGTGACCTTTATTGAGTGATATGCATCATCGTCTAATTGCCTTTTTTTGACAGGCTTTACTTTAATGCCGGAAAACAAAGTGAAGACTAAAAGAAGTAGAATTCAATCTGCCTAAATGCAATCCTAGCACCCACTGGTGAACCCACAGATTCAACTGGAAGTGCTGTCCACTCATAGATAATTGCATAGATGTTGATTCTCTATCTCCATTCTCATTTATGCAAGTCTTGGCTTGTGGATTTTTTTTTGCAAATTGCTGTCAACAATATCACCCCAAGCAACACATTCATTGCTCACAGGGGCTAAGACATTAAATGATAAACAATAAGTTCCCAACATGACCTCAGCCTGATGGGCCTTACTAAAAAATGGGCACATATGTGAGAACAGGCTACTGGACCCCAACCATCTCTGATAGGGAAAAACTGAGCAACATCCTGTCCTTCAACTCCAGCAACAGCATCAGAGCTGGCGAGCGCGTCTATAAGTTGCCAGCTACTGCAAAGTAACTTAAACAATAAGCTCTGATGATGGCAACAATGTTGAAATGTTGCGTTCCAGTTGTACTCAGAAGTCGGGATTTCCTAGTTCCGAGTCGGAAATTCATCTGGAACACCCCCTGAAGTCGGATTTCTGACTTGTAAAGTTGGACGATCCTTGCCAACCCCGACTTGACGACAACGTCAACATAAAGAGTAACAGTGGTAGCTCACGTTATGTATTAGTTATTAGCACTTCTGTTTTGTTTTTATGAAATTAAATAAGTGGTATATGTTTTGCTGCCCAACGTCTAACTGTGAACACGGTGCTATGGTGTTTGTAGAGTAAAACACTGTGCTGTGCGTTGTTTGCGACTGGTATAGCTAACAACAGCTAACAACAGCTGACTACGGCTAACAACAGCTGACAACCACTAATGAGGACTGACAATGGCTAACGACAGTTGACAGTTGACAGTTGTAAACAACAGCTAACTTTGGCTAGCTGTAGGCATCCATCTTGGTTTTCCAACTTGTTAACTGGAACGCTGTCAACTCGGGTGTAACGTCATTCCCAGTTCCGACATCCAACTTCCAAGGTAACTGAAACGCAGCAAAAGCTACGACAAGCGTCTAAAATTCAAAGTGAAAAAAACAACAACAAAAAAAACGGCCAAACATGGACAGGGACATTGACATAAATATCCCTGCAATGATTTCCTGCTCCACTACCTTTGATGGGAATTTTTTAGCTCATTTATGTTAAAAGGAGGCTGACGTTTATATCACTGTAAATTTAAAGATTTAGTTTGGCTGATAAGAATCTGATGCCATGAAAATTGCAGTCAATGGTATTGAAGGTCTTTTTTTAAGCTTTATATATAAATCTTCTTTACTTCACTTTTTTTACCCTTCAAGGTTGTTATTTATTACTTTTTTGGCCACCAATTTTACACACCTATGCATCACATACGGGGGCTTCACTGCAAATACTCAAGAAAGTAAACATCTGGCCCTGAAACGCTTTTATGATACAAATCTTCTGTGCCAGTGTGACCCACTGGCTTTGTAAAACTTGGTCCTGAAGTTTTATCAGCAGAGGCAGGGCATCACCAGACCAGAGGACAGTCAGTAATAGACTTCGGTTTGCACACCAAGCAAATAAAAGTTGACTGGATCAAACAGTTAATTATAGAGACTGCCAACCCATTGATCAGAGTCCATTTAATTAGGCTCTGTTATCCCTCACTCTCTGCCATCAGTGATATGAGGATTAAGTGCTGAACATGCTTCTGAGTAATCCTAGGAGCCCACAGAGCAACCACTTACACACCACTCAATCAATGAGGCTTGGGATTTGTGGCAAAGCCGTGTGCGCACCGTGAATCCGTATTCCCTGAGTCCAGACCTTGTCCAAGGTCAGGACTTGTCGGACACTTACCTGCTCCTATTTAAAAACCAAGAGAAGTGTTTGAAAATTCCAGTGCGAGGGCTGACCTGCAGCCTGCACTTCTGTCGCTTTGATTTTTAGTCGTAGTTAAAAGAAGGGGCAGAGCAGAGTGACAGCTGCGGGGTAAAGACTGAGCATCTCAATCCAATCACACAAGCGCCCAACAACCAGCCGTTTCTGTGGCAACGGCTTGCTGATGCTGCTGTGTTTATGATCCGTCTCCTCCCACCCCTTATCCCCTCGCTCCTCCCCCTGTGGATGACACAAAAATCCCCTTTTTAATCAGCAGCGACAGAGCCTGACCCAGATTGCCTAAAGGAGTGCTGCACGGTAACGTGGTGAGGTTTACTGAGGCCTCAGGGATTCAGGATGGAGGGGTGGGGGAAAGGTGCAACAGGCATGTTTAGACCAGAGAGAAAAAAAAACACACACAATGCAGCAGGATGCCAAATTGAGCGCCTTTCAGGCTGCTGCAGGTGGCAGTAAGAAGGAAAAGAAAGAAAGAGTGCTTATGGCAATGGCAAGAAGCAGCACCATACGGATCTGTGGGCTCCAGTGAGACGGCCTGAGGGGTCCCATGTCTGTTTTCCAGAACTGATCTATTTCCTCTGACCCATTTGAGGTCTACAAAGATGTTCTTTGAAAGTGTAATATCCTATTTCCCCAACAACACTTTCTAAATGTTGTAAACACACACACAGCGTTTTTATTATTCATCAATTCATACTGAAACTCAGAGAAAAGACAAGGATCACAGCTGTTTCTGTTAATAAAACTGCCATGTGACGAAGGATATCAACAACGTTATATTGCCGTAGATGTTATTTTTGATCTGGACTGCCCCACATCCCCAAAATAAACAGAGCCAGTGTTTCTCAATCCAAGGAGTTGCTGTGCTAGGATTAAATTTGTGGAGCAACTCACATGAGTTTTCTTCAAATATTTGTCTGCTTCAGTGTGTGATGTGTTTACGTTTAAAAAAAAATCAAGAAAAACACAGAGAAAACCTTTGCAAAATTTCTCTCCATGTGACAACCAGACATCCCAAAGCTAGGATTATACATTTTGGAAAAAAACACAGTGGTATAAATACACAGTGTCACTTTAATACTATCCCACCCAAAAAAAAAACAGCAGATTGACTGGGGGAGGTGATTCACTACACACCAGAAGCCAGATGACGCATCTGCTACAGTCTTACACACTACAGAAGTCTGAGTATGTGAAAAAAAAATTTGACCTCGTGGCAAGTCCACACCCATCTGAGGTTCATTTAACACCATCAGATAGCTCTGCAAACCAGCTCCATCTGATCTGAACCTCCCTCCTTGTGCAGACAGCTGCCACTGAAAAAAAAAGCAAAGTTTTCCATGTGCGTGAATCGCCTTACAACTGCATTTTTTAAAAACTAAATCTCAGGCAATCACAATGACTTCCAATTTATCAAAACCCGAGACCACGTGAAGCGCTCAGTCTCCATCTGCTCTACGTCATGCCCCCTCACTTCCTCTCTGACTCCTCTGCATGACACTCAGAGTACTGAGGATAATTACTGATTAGCTACGAGACAGCAGCTGCATGCTGTTGACCAGTTGGACACCAGATAATCTCATGTTTGCTGCCTCCTCTCCCCCGTCTAGGACCAGTCCGGGGCGAGGGGTTCTGCCTGCAGCCTACTGTACAGTGAATGTCTCTGGGTCATTCGGCTGATAGCACAGTCGACTGTTCTGTCATACAGTTCATTACAGTGATGCAGAGAGGCAGAGGCTGGCTGATGAACAGTCACCGCACTGCCGTTTTTCATCTTAAGATAAAACAAAATGGTGTTGCTAGGCAAACCCAGCATGCAGCTTATGGCAGGGACGGAAAAACCCATTTAGAATCTAATCCTTCAAGATGACATTAACATGCGCTGAGTTTAAGTAGCTTATATAAACGCCCTGCTGCAGCAAGTGTTTAGAGTCGGGGCATTTTAGTAGGAATGTTGACAAGTCTCTCGAGGATCCCTCAGAGACATTTTTCGCTGTGACTTCTGTCCAAACAAACCTGAACCGAAATGTGACCCTGCAGAGACGAAGCGAGCACAAGAAAATAGAAAAACTCCTGAAAAATGTAGGTCTGAGGAAATACGCAGTAACTGTGGGAAAAGGCAGGCCTGAGAAACAAATACAGACAAGTGTTAGCCGTTAGGTAGTAAAATACAGAGATATGAAAGGAAAATATATGTGCAAATTTTCTCCCCAGGTAGAAGCGGTTATCTTGTCTCATGCCTCAACAGGGAAAAAGAACTTTTGTGCCTCTCTGCAGTTAGCCAATCATTCCTGGCTTGGTAGTTCTGCAGCAAGAGTGAGACACAGCAAGTCTGGTACACAGCCTGACAGGCTCGTGTTTGCCATTAAAACTCACAGTCACTTTTGCACTGCTACAAAGAGATCAGTGTTTGTCTTTGGCTCATCATGTTTAGAAATCCAACCCAAAAGTTTTTGCAGTCTTGGAAAAATAAAAGTGGAATGTTTTTTTTTTATTTTGTTCATCAGTAAAATAGAGAAAACATACTTTTATGATCATATAATTACTGTTTTTACGGTCAGATTCTTAAAGTGGGTGGGTACCTGTACACATTTAATCGACAGCCACGCTGGCAAGTTGCAGAGACACAACAAACAAACTAATTTACGAGTTAAAAACAGGTTTAGCAGTGATGCTGAAGACAAATTATCTTAGCGTTAGTGTTAAACTCTTTTGACCATTAGCAGGTTTGCTTTTCAGTTGTTAAATGTGGCACAGTTAGGTAACTAGTTGGCAAGTCGCATTGGAACTAGCAACACCGTTTTCCCAGGTGAATATTTGTTTGGTAGCTACAACAGGAAGCAGAACTTCTACATTATTTGTGTCTTAATTTCTAAAAGCACATCAGCAAATAAGGCTAAAGAGGTTGAGGTTAAGTCAGTGGCTCATGTGTAGCAGTCAGAGACAGGACTGTGACATTACTGCTTTTTCAATAGGCTCATTTTATTTGGTGGCTGCTGACTCTGTAGGAAAAACAACTCACAGAATGTAAGATTTGATGGAGCAAATCGAACAACATATCAGTCATAGTCAGCTGTTTATTTGTGGTGAGACAAACAGACTCTGTTGCTAAGATGTTAAACATTGCGTGCATTGCTATCTGTAGCATGCTGACATTCGCGTTCAACTTAAAGCACCCCGGTGCCTATGTTTAGTCACAGGACTGCTAACATGGCCTAAGTGAGCACAGTACATGCAGCTTGCATATCAGATACAGTAACAACGATGGAGCAACAAAAAAGTCTGGTTTTGGACTTGGAAAAACTCTGCCTCAGGGGGTTTTCTCAATAAGCCTTTCACAATCTGATCATGCACGTCTTTTATTCGATATACGATAAGAAGCATCCACACGTCCAAATCTACAGTATGTGATTTTGATGAGTTCATAAATGCCATCATTCAGCTGTCTGACCTGTTCTACAAACACTGTACAATGTAGTTTAATGAAGAAATCCCCCGCTGGTTTTAAAGCTTTTGAACCCTGGAGCGGCAGCCGGGTAGAGTTTGCTGTACGACGGTGACAACAGCTCTAAAGCCTTCTGTAAGTGTCCCATACAGTATATTTATGCAGGCGGGGGTCCTGTGGGAAGAGCCAGAATTAGCAGTGGATAGTGAAAGGTCATAGAGCAGTGGGAACAGAGATCCTGTTGACGCAATCTGTCCAATCATTTTTATTTCCTTTGGCCAGAGCCCAGTGCCTACGTCTAGACTTGAGAAGCAAAACAACATGATCCTTTGAGATCTGTGTGTTTATATCTGACTCTGCGTTGAAGCTTTGTCAGAGGTGGAGACGGCGTTTAAGTATTTGCTTTTAAGGAGAACTTGTAGCACCACGCAGTGAAAGCTCCATCAAAATCTTGATGTTGACCGTGAACTTACCTCCTCCAGAGAGGGACAAAAAGCTCTCTAAAGAAACTTTTTCTACACCCTTTTTTTACAGTTGTTTAAACAGCAGTAAGCTGCGTCTGCTGCAGTGAACACAGTAAAAGCAGGCAGTCGAAGTCTCTGGAGGAGTTGTTTTTCACAGGCCTGTGTGGTATGCATGTACAGCCCGGCCCACTTAGACCCACCTCATGGCTGGCTGGTTGGCATTCCTGCCTCACTCTGTAATTATGGCTCCTCTCCAGACCTCTCGGCTCTGCTCTCCCTGCACTGCCGAGCTGTACGAGGGCGGGACTTTCCTCCATCAAAGGCACAGAGTTTTCACCTGGCCATTGAGCTCAGGCTCAACAATAACACATCACAGGGTGAAAATATGCACTGACACCAGCCGCAGGCCAAAAACACAGCTTCAGCTAACACTCGGTGTCATGAATCAGGATAATCATGACGCTTTTATTCTGTGTATTAGATAGATAAACCCCAATTTCATAGAGTTCATTTCAGAGAGGCCCAGTCTTTCAGAAGCACGAGGTTCGTGACCCTGTGAGAGACTGCATGAGCAAACCGCTCAACAATTTCAGAAGTATGTTCCTTAGTGAGGATCCACAGATTATTATTTCAAGTAAATATCATTGAAAGATTTGCAGAAAAATCTGAGCCAGACAAATCACACTGGATGGATAAATCACCATCACACACTGCTGTCTGTAAACCCAGCCGGTCACTACATTCACATCAAAACTGCAGCATGCAAAGAGGGAACCATGTATTAACATTATTCAGAAGTGCAGGAACCACCTGACTTATTATTATTTCTGCACAGTTAAAAAGCCAGCATCCATGATTAGGATGCATGTCGAAACATATGGAAGGCACTATTAATGCTCAACAGTATTAGCATGTTTTGGAGCAACATATGCTGCCATCCAGATGATGCCTTTGACAGGAAAGACCTGGAACATTTCAGCAAGACGATGCCAAACCACATTCTGGTTACATGACAAAAGCATGTTTCTTTAGTAGAAGTTTGTAGAAGAGTGTGGTTACTTAACTGGACTGCCTGCAGCCCAAACTTGTCACCTATTGAAAACATTTAAGGCATCAAAGAACAAAAATACGAGAAAGGAGCTTAAATTATAAAGCAGAAAAGAAAGGGACCACATTTGACTGTCAGAACGCCAGAGACCAGTCTCCTCAGTTTATAGTGTGATGGAAAACATGTACCTAAAATTTAAATTTAAAACCAGATTTTACATTTTCAGTCATTTCAAATGTGATTTAATGGAATTAATCAGTTTGATATATCGTCTTTACACTCATTTGATGTAAAGAGAGTCAAAATCTGTTTTTGTCAACGTGTAAAACTGCATCTTAACTTAATGTTGTTTGTGTTAGACTTTGTGGGGACCGCTCACTAAATGACCAGATGAGGATGTTTCAGTAGTCAAAGCCACAGTATGGTACAGTCGACATACCAAGCAACATGTACAAATACTCACAATCTGGGGGTGTGAAAACGGTCATGTAGTAATAATAGAGGAAGTTTTACTCTACTCAGTTTAAGCTGTGCAAAGGACAGACGTTTCGTGAGATACGTGTCAGGCTGAAGTTTCTGGTCTCAGTTTCAAAAGGTGTTTCCCCTTTCTGGCACCTTTCTCAGGACGCTCCTTAATCCAGTCTGAAAGTTTCTACAGTACCCATCTACAGCCACCAAATAATATAAAAAAGACAGATCTATTCAACTTATATTTGAATCATTGTTGTAAAAAAAACTTTGTGATATTTTAAGGCTTATTCTCCACATTATGAAACAAACATAGACTTTTAAAATTGAAGGCCATGACAAGCCTGCACAACGAAACTCCAGAGAGAAACTTTGCATTCAGCGCTTCTGCAACAAGTGCTCTGAAACAAAACTTTGCATCACAGCTGTAACAATGTTAACTTGCTGACGCAAACATGTGAATAATCAAAATACATTATCAGTATGTGAAAGGAAATCTTACAGAGTTTGAGACAATCTGCTCCATTCAGCAGCTGGGGGGCACATGACATGCCTGCAGCAGACGGATTAGAACGATCAGCTGAGTGCGACTCAATACGGCATTGTTCCTCGCTGCTCGACGCTTGTTTTCCTCCAACTCTCCTCACAGCTTATCAGAGGAGGACAGAACCAAATCTCCCTCCCTACCTACCACTGCCAAAATTCAATCACTCACAGTCCACTTTCCACCACTGACTGCTAGCAAACCACTACGTCAGTGTCAAAGGGTCAAAGTCTTTCATTGTTATAAACAAAGCTTGGAGGGGGGGATTTTTGTAAGGGGAAAAAAAAAATCATGTTCTGAACATCTAAACACAAATGAATGACCATTACGGAAATCAGCTTTGCACCTGAGATTACAAAGCACACTGCTGCCTTTGTTGGCAGGTCACATCTGTATTTGAGTGACAAAAGACAGCCGCACAGCATGCTGCTCAGAGAGAGGGGTGTGTGTCAGCCTGAACTCATCCTCTATTCACACTCTCATTGTCTCTGCTGCACGCTGATAACAAACAGCACACACCATGCAGACCCATCTCATCCACTCCATCAAAGGCTGATGTGGAAGACAGGAGAGCAAACAGGCAGGACCGCATCAAAACAAAGAAAACGGATCATCTCATCCATACCTGGCTGAAGTTAGCAGGTAGCCTCTATGCACTAGTTGCCAACTAAATCAAACATTCAATTGCTTTTTTTTGAGCAAAAGCATAAAAATGATAATGATAGCTTTTTCTGTCTGTTGGGAAATATGACACAGGAGCTTGCAGCCTGTTGGCCTAGCTATTCATAAACAGTTCTCCAGCCCAATTAACACGACGAGGAAACTGTTTACGTCTTAACACGAGATTAAAAGGGGTTATTAGTGAGCTTCAGGGGTGCAGAGTCCATGTTGTTTTCCTTTTGTTGGCTCAAGCTACATACTTTTCTCATATAACACTAAAGTGCTATTTATCTTATTTAAATCATAGCTAAAGAAGGAATAAAAGTACTTTTCCAAATGTCAAAACATCCCATTAATTTCTGTTGGTCGTCTTTAAGCTGGAGTTATTTTATTGGCATGGTAACAGCAGTGGTGGTTCAAAGGAAAAGCTCCATTCAAAGTGAAATCCTCCTAGGTTTAATGGGCACGGTATTACCAGAGCCTCAGAATATACATATCCCAGCACATATACAGTATATCCCTAAACAGTCACTGTGTATTCAGAAGTTTGCACAGAAAGCACTTTTAATGCACCTTTAAACCTCAAAAAGCCACATCAGCAGCATCTCGCCTTTGAGAGAGGATTGAGTGAAGCAGAGATGTTTAACCCATGGCTGGCCCGTTCGCCATGATGGAGATTAAAAAGCTGAAGATCTGCTCACCTGGCACTTATGTGAACAGGCCTGGGCTTGGAACAGAGAGCTGGTGCACAGAGGAAGAGCTCAGACAAGCACATACTGTACAAACTGTGTTGACTCAACCTATCTAAACATCATACCTGATGTGATGAACAAACAGTTGGCTTTCTGCTGCACCCATTTCAGCTGCCTTGGGAAATTAGTGTTCTCCGGTAAATATGTTTTTTTTTTAATTTTTAAGACTGATAATCATCTGTTTCGGTGAGCACTGCTTATCTTTAACTGTTATTTGACCTTGCTTAAGGATTAAGGGATATTCCGTCGTAAAATAAAGTTGAGGCAATCACACCATAACACCGAGTTATACACTCCTTTGGGAGATGAATGTTGACGACCGCTAGCTTCTCTAGTTATATCAACTTTAGTAACGACCGCACGATAGCAATACACAGCGGTCTGACGTCAAACCTCAACCAAATAGGGTCCCAGCCACAGCACTAGCCACCAAACATCTTTATAACTTTGTCTTATTTCTTTAGCAAAGAGACTAAACACAACTCACCATCTCTCTTCCAGTAGCCGCTTGTTTGTACGGAGACCTCAGGGCGAGTCCATGACCGCAGTGGGGTGACGCAGCTCAAGGAAGAACATTAATGATCATTACTTTATTATTTCCTTGAAGTAATATTTATCATATTATTCACTTTGCACTGCAGATGTGGTAGTTCTTCTGCCTAAGTGTCTCGGTCTGATTGCATTTCCATGAAGAAATGATCATAAATGTTCTTCCTTGAGCTGCGTCCCCCCTCTGCAGTCCATTATGGACTCGCCCTGAGGTCTCGCTACAAATGAGCGGCTGCTGGAAGAAAGTAGGTGAGTTGTGTTTGGTCTCTTTGCTAAAGAAATCAGGCAAAGCTAAAAAGATGTTTGGTGGTTTGTACTGTGGCTGGGACCCTATATGTACTGTTGATGAAGTTAGGTGCTGATCTGAGCATAATTTGTGGCTATAGAGTTGCATTTTGGTTGAGCGCGTGGCTCCAGGGACCAGTCGTTACTAAAGTTGGTAGAGACCTGGAGAAGCAAGCGGTCGGCAATGTTCATCTCTCGATGGTGTCTAACTTGGGGTTTTGATGTGTTTGACCCTAAATTTATTTTAATTAACTAATTTTACACTGGAATATCCCTTTAAGATCCCCACACACCCCCTCCTAAATGGTTGTCTTTAAAACAGACTGGACACAACCTTTGTTTATCTACATTTTGTTAAAAAAGTTGTAAACAGCTTACCTATATATAGAGAGGAGTCTTTCTTCTTCACGTGATCATCAATGTAGGACACACCCAGGGGCTGCACCGGCGTGGCCCCAATCCCCAGTAGGACTTGTGCCCCGATGAGCAGCAGGTACATCATGTTGGTGTTGGCCTTGTTGGCACACACAGCGTCCTCAGTCAGCTGAGCTTCCCTGCTGCTGGCGTTGGAGCAAACATCCCGACCCACATCAGTCCTCCACATCTCCCCTATCTCATACTGATTAGTCAGAAACTCAGGCAGGGCTGAGAGAAGAGCTCCCAGCGCCATGACGATGCCCCCACAGCCAATCAGACGGGGTCGATGAGCTTTGGCCCCGAAGTAGCTGACAAACAGGATCAGGGCCAGGTTGCCTATCTCGAAGCTGCTGGCGATCACTCCGACATCAGCACTCTGCAAGTTGAACCGCCGCTCCAGGGTGGTTAACACGCTCACCTGAAATAGAGAAGAGGAAGAATGCAAAATCGTCAAAATGAGAGAGAGATACAAAACAAGAACCAGAGGCTGTGAAATCATCAATGAAGGATAAAATCCATATACTTTTAAGTCTATCAGGATAATAAAAAATGTGTGTTTGAGCACATTCTGACTGGAAAATGATCAAACAGATACATATTTTAATGTTGTCTTGTTCTTATTTATTAGACTATTTTATTTACACATAAAATGCAAGTGAATAAAAACAGATTTATAGTATCAGGTCATACAAATATGGTGTGACATGAATCTTTTTATGCACAACATAAACCAGCCTTTACTGCTGATGGTACCTGGCCTTTATGTAAAGCTGACCTTTGCACCATTCTGATGAATAAAACTCATCATATTTTAGTACAAAGTGAGCGCCTTTATCCATTAAAAAAGGATTGTGCAGCCTTTTCTCCCGCCTAATCTGTGCAGACAATCAAAAAAAGACAATGTTTTAGAGGAAAAAGTGTCTGTACATGCCGGTATGGTTGGCATACATTAGAATTAGCCAGTATCCATTCATATGAAGTATCACATCTGTCATGAACTGACAGATTTTCCCTTTCATCATATATGTAGGTAGAAACAAGTGCTGTCAGGATGAGAGTGAAAAGCCAATAATTGAAAGGCCCTGCTGCAAGTTTAACACTGGTCTTTATTTAAGGGTCACAGTGTACAGTCCACATGACGATTGGTTAATGAATTTGTTTAGCAAAATGCTGTGAGAGAAATTAAGAAATTTAAATAAAGGGAAATGCCATAACTTGGATTGTCTGTGGAGGACGGGGCAAAGAAGACTACAGTTAGGCGAATAATCGGCTGATTGATTAATCACTCCATCTCTAACCGTCATGGAGAAGATGTAGATCACTAAACAAGTTTTATTTAATTGTTTTTAAAAGCTTTTTTTTAAAGCTTGTTTCAATCATCACTCATACAGTGGAATATCCTGAATAACATGCTGTTCAAATGTCCCGCACTAAGGCTCCTCCCTGGAAACAGGCTTCTGTTTCTGATTAGCCGGCACAGCAACATTTCACTTCCATGGTTTTCCAGAAGAATGGCGTCTTTCTCCTCCACAAGCTGTCATCCACACAACTATCAGATCCCTACAGTAACTTCCCCACATATAAAAGACTTTTTCACATTGTTGTTTTACTGTCAGTGATGACAGATTAATTAATGTAAGAGAAAAAAAAAAGTTCAACTAGTTCATTATAGCTTTTTTAAAGTATATGTCATCTATTGATTCTGTTGTGAAGCAGTATATGCTTGTGTTTGCTATGTGGGAACAGTCTCTGTGTGGCATGAGAGCCAGTGTCACATTTAAAATGTTATTGAAGCTATTTTCAGAGCTGTCCCAAACTGTTCTTGAAAGGGCATCACAATTTTCCATTTCCCAGCTGGCTCTGTTTAAGACTTTTGATTGAACTCCAAAAAAAGGTTCCTGCCAACACAAACATCCCTTTTCTGAGGAGAGTGAGTTCATCTCAACATGAATCAACTTGTGGAAAAATGTCCCATCCAATTTTATATTATTCCAATTTAATGTACACAGAGGCTTTGGATGGAGATATGTTTAAACAGACGAAGAGCTGTGCTTGGTGCTGCGGGGGAAAACGTGGAATGGATCACAAGTATCCTGTTACATCTTTACTTATGGAACTGAACAGGATTTTTTCTTACATTTTTAAATTAAAGACAGTTTGCCACACATCTGTTCTCATGTATATATGGAGACAATTTTCAATGCTTTGATACTTTTCAATACATATGACATTATTTTAATGTTTGATAGTATTAAGAAGCACCACAGCTTATGGAAATAACCTGCTTTCTATGTTTGTATTTTCAACCAGAAGCTGCTGCAAGCATGGAAGTGAGGGCAGAGGTTAATAAACACAGAGGTTCAGATAAGTGCCTGTTAAGTAAACATTGCAGCAAAAATAAAAAATGAAAAGTTAGATTCTAATGTTCGAGGCAGTTAGGCTTTTAAGAACTTATCAACGCATTAACACAGTACAGGGAGGTGCTGGATTGGGTTTTCTTGCTGCTGTAGTTGTGCCTCTTCTTGCCTGCTGCTCATCGCTCCAAGTCACAGCCACTATGCTGTTACGTTCCTTCATTCATAGTTTGGCAAACACTGAGATTTGTGAAGACAGAGAGCAGAGCAGAGAGAACAACGTCCCCCTGGGCCCCTTATAATTTCACTTAGCGTCAAACTTTTATCTGTGTTCATGACTTTTTGTGACAACCCAGACAGAATGGCAGCACTGAATCAACAGTATTCTTTAGAGACAGTCTTTTAGGTTCATTTCAGCTATTTTCAGCTACTATTATCAACTCTGGGGCTACATGGTATGATTGAAAACCAGTAAAGTAATAGTTAAGACTGCTATAGTCAATCATATTAAACTCTTGTGTTTTCTGAAGCCCTTGGCCCTCCAGCCTGTTGATAAAACTCTAAGTTCTGAAATTCATTCTCTGCTTTTTTTACCCTTCTCTCTCTCAGCACTGTAAAGGTCTGTCTGCTGTGTCATTACAGACAGAGTCTGTCCTGTGTGGCGTATAGGAAGCTTAAGTGACAGCAGGTTTTTCTTGCAGCTGCTCTGAACACACTGCAGTGACTCCTTCACTCCACATCAAAGCGTGGGGAAGATGATTGGTGGGAGCAGTTTGTGCCGGAGCGCTTTGCCAAAGTTGACTGGATAGAAAAACTCCAGAGTGAGTCATGACGTTTCTGCCCCTTGGCTGGCTTTTTCTCACAAATGTGAACACACTGGAAGTCTGGCTGGCTCCACCCGGCTGAGGTCGCAATGTGGTCTCCTCCAGTTCTTAGAAACAACACCAACCTGCCGACACCGGAGTTTCAGCTCGACATGGAAAGATAGGCTGTAACAAAGTGTAGCAGAGCCAGCTGAGCCTTCATCCAATTCAATCACATCCTGTCCTGTTCCAGGAGGTCTGAGCAACGCAGTGACTGACAGCTCCTGCTCTCGGCTCAGCAGTGAAAACAACTCTCTGCAGGAGTTAAACCCTCGTCTCCCAGTTCAACATGTTTGTCCACCTCCACTAACAGGCCGCCCTACAGGAGGATTACATCCAGAATAAATTATATAGGAAAAATCGAGTGCAGAGCAGGCTGCACAAGCACATTTATTCCATCTCTGGAAATGTTTAATCTGTTGCATGGCAACAAAACAAACCTCGTCATGTTGTGTGACATCCAATCAGCTAACAGGAGAGGCAGTGTTTTGGAGCACGAGGCATCTAAACTTTCACTGAGTTTCTTTCAGGGGGCACTGACAGTGACTGCATTATCATCAAGCAGGAGAAAGCAGCTCAATGCTAACACTCACTTCAGCACACCGAGGTTCAGCTCAGACCTGAAAGGGCTGAAACGGCACAGCAGCTGTTCATACTTGAAGCTCAGCCACTTAGAAACATTTTCAATCAGATTTGAGAAGAGAACAGCTGGAGGACGACTAAAGTAGCCTGAGGCTGACACATCTAAAATAAATACACTGATGAGTACACTAATTGATCTTATTTATGTATTATCCTGAATTAATCAAGAATCTTTTAACATCTTGACTTAAACTCTTATTAATGACTAAATGAACTCACAGACGTGCTTTATTACTGAGCTGATACTGGTGCTGATGTTAATGGTAAGAGAGCAGGTGAACCAATGACTGATATATAATGCTGATATCATGCTGCCATTAATTGGCCCGATCAATCGGCCACCCAATTAATCGATCTATTTCTATTCTGTACATCAATTTCTGCTCGTTGCTCCTCTTTTGATTCTCTTCCTCTCTGAATTAGTGCGGTTTCATTTTGACAGGTTTGTTCAGCTGAAACAAACACAGTCGGGTCGAGGTGTTTGTTGCGCTTCACAGCTCAAGCTCAGAGTGTCAAGTTTAATTTTTACGCAGGGTTGTTATCGAATCAACAAATTTCAGACCCTCAGGTGCTGCATTTAACAATGCCACAAATAGAAGCTCTGAGGGCTGAACATACAGAAGAGCTCATACCTTTACAATCTGATGGGTGTGACTCAGTAATGAGGAGTCAGTCAAAGGGAGGGAGTGACAGGACTCCCGACAGTACAACCTATCTGCGTATCTATTAAAAACATTCCTAAACACAATCTCTCTGCTTCTCTGTCATCATGTTTTGAGTTATCGACTTTTAATTAGACAGAAAAAGGTGTTAACTCCAGGTCTGAGAAGAAGCAAATGAGTTTTTTCATGCTTTTTTTAAGTTGAAAAATGATCTGTGAGTCAATTGAGGCTATCATTTGCTTAATCAATAACAAAAATGATCATTAGATGTCGCCTCGGTGTCCATTAGACCAAGTCACCACCTCCTGAAAAGATTCACTGGGAAAAAGATTCACTGGGAAAATTATTCACAGCAGATACACATATTTAAACTCATGAAGACATTTATTAACTCCTTGAGCAAACATAGAAGCTGAATAATTATCAAAGTGAAGTCATGAGAACAGACAAAACCTCTTTCTAAATTAGCTAAATATGAAATCTGTGGTATCTGAGCAGACTGACTGTCTGTCTGCATGCCTGCAGTCCAGCTGATAAATCTGAACAATGTGACTAAGTGTCTTGTGCTGTAAGCAGCTCACACAATGCAAGGGCACAATGTTGATTGGTGAGTTTTGTCCCTTCACTGCCAGCAAACGCTCTTAAGCCCCATCATCCTATCAGAGGTATCTCAGTGGCTCATGTAGGTGGAGCAGATTGCGGCTGAAGCAGGTACCTAATAAGCTGCCTGTGGAAATTAGCAGTGCTGTGTTGACGAACGGAAGCAGGTCAGAAAGCCCGATGTGTTTGTGTAAGTCAGCTATTTCCGGCCCTACCTGACATTTATTGTTCAAAGTGTTTAAACAGGTGTCCTGAAAAAAGGAGAACCATAATTATCAGAAAAAAAGAGGAAGACCACTTCTATCATCACTACTTGTATGTGCAGCAGTATGCTGGATGCTTGAAAGGTCCTCCAACAGAGAAGATAAGATGTTCCACTCCTAATATGGCTAAGGCATTCAGGGGGTTTAGTCTATTATTTGCGAGTGAGCTGTGCGATTACTGGAAAATAAACATTGCTTGTAGTGAAACTTAGTGTTGGGAGTGGATGCCTGAGGCTGTGGCGCTCCTCTGGGATGCTATGAGAAATATTTTAGAGCATTTCAGGGACTTTTGTCCCAAAAAGTCCATATTAGATACACTGTGGGGGGCTAGATTGCGCTGCTTTTGATAATGTCATTGCAAATGCACCATATCAGCTCACATTTGGGTTTTTTAAAGAGAAGAGACGACTTTTTTGAGAAATGTGTGGAATTGGCTCTGAGTTTGAGTAATAGTAAAAGTGAAAGGAAGAGAAAACTCCATCATAATCTGGATCCAATGTGTTTGACCTTGACTGGCAGTTTGGGTCTGAATGGATAAACACTGCAGTCTTTAACATAAGAACACTATATCTATTAATGCTGAGTGGAGCCTGGACGGAGCTCTTGAGTTACTGTTAGATGGTCGCTTGATAATGTGCTCAGTCTGATACACTACAGATAATGTACACATCATATGAAACTTCAGGATAGTTTGACAGAGTTAGAACAAACACAGAGACAGTAACACAGCCTGCAGCAGGTCCTGCAGGTGAAGTTTTTCTGTGTATGGAGGTTTCTATGACCTGTCATTGCTTTTATATGGTCTGCTTTGATCCAAAGCGTGCAAAGCTGCACAAAAGCCCATATAGAAAACCAAATATTGAGAAGACACGTCTAAAATCTGAACTACAGTATAGCAGCAGGGTCTAGGTCTCAGTATAGGCAGTGTGTGAGTAAGTCGTACGTGAGTTCGGCTTGGGTTGCACTCACCAGGTATGCTCCAACAGTCCCCTGTGCCAGCATGAGCGCACATTCCGATATCAAGAATATCTTGATATTTGAGAAGCACGAGGAGTTTTTCCGGGGACCGTCTCCCTCCAGCATGTCCCCGCCGCCCCGGTCCGAGTCCCGGTGCTTCTTCACCTGCATCCTCTCTGTACTTTAAACCCGAGAAAAAACACCGACACACACACACACTCACACACAGGAGGATGTCCACCACGGGAAGACACTGGCTGGTACAGTGTTTCGCTTTTTCTCTGAAGACTACATTCGCGGTGCTCCTTGTGTGTCGCTGTCTTCTCCCGCTTCTTGAAAACGTCTACTCACTTCGTGTTTACGGCTAGGAAACACACAACCAAACTCCGAGAGGCTCTGCCGATCGTCTGAGCCTAAACATGACCTCCTCGTCGACGCGCGTGAACATGTGAACTCCCTGAAGGTGTTTGCAAAGGCACAAGTGAAGCACGGGCGCGCAAATCTCTGTCACATCACATGTTCCCGTCGTGGAGGGTTAGTTGGTTTCACCAGCAGGTAGAGGAGTCTGCTTCACAGTCCTTCTCTTCTTCTCTTCCTCCTCTAACTCCTGCCGCCGCTCCGGACTGTCACGGTCCTTCACGCACAATGACTGCTCCCTGTCTCTGCTCCCACCTCACTCACTCACTCACTCACTCTCCCCGCCACTCTCCTCCTCTGTGAACACACACACACACACGGCCCAGGAGGCGCTGTGCAGCAGCTACACAAGTCTGCACAACTTGCATCTGACTTGAAAAATCACTACAGTAGTCCTAAGGGGCCCCTCGTTTGTGTGTTTGTGTATGTGTGGTGTGTGGGTTTAAAGCGACCCACTGCCAATTTTCTGAGGCATAATTTCTGCACAATAATAAATCTTCAGGGATTACAGACCCTGTGTGTTTACTAAAGGTCTCCAGGCTGCAATATGGATAATTTTACAGCTTAAACTAGCTGAGACCAGTGATAAATTCTCCTGTCAATCACTCCCATAAATCTCTGACAATTGCTGCGAATAATCAATAATTCAGTCCACTCATTTATCAAGGTCATTTCAGTGTGAGAATTTGGTGTTTTGCAGCATTTTTCAACTCTCATAGTCCTGATCAGAAAAACCTGCACTAAAATAAAGACTTGTCATGCAATAAACTTTATGGACTGAAACAGCGATAGTCACTTGTTAGTTCTCCATTTAAAGGTAGGGTGGGCAGGAATCTGTTAAAGAAGCATCTTTTTTGTGGTGCATATACAAAAAAGCTTTTAATATCAATCAATAGCTATTAGTTATTGATGAAATTTGGAAAATATAACGGTATCGCTGTGTTCTGTTGTGTCTGTGTGGTCAACATTTTAAATTTTCGAGGGCCCGCTGTTTCTGACTGTAAACAAAGCCATTCTCCGTCTCCCCCAACCTGATTGGTTGTGAGGTGAACGCTGCTTCCTCATGTTGTAAGGCACACTCCACGTACTCGAGCCCAAACAAAGTTAGCGTGCTACAACATCAGACAGTAGAAACCAACCAGAAAAGGAAAACACCATGAAAACACAAGCAATAAAACAAAGTAAATACCAGAGACTCTAGACTGGAAAAGAGCTAAGAAGCCAGGTCAACATCAGCATAAACGATTGGGGATGCTTCTAGGTCTCACAGACCCTGTAACCTTTCTGCTGGACAGGTAAACCTCTTTAACAAAGTAAGCCAAGTGTCTGTAACAGAAGTGTTTCTTATGAAACGGGACCTGCTGTGTGTTGAGGAAGTGGGAAAGAGATTGAGGGTCAGACTCAAACTCCTGCAGCCCACTTTGAGAAGAAAACCTTTGTACATAAAACCTAACAATCTAAACTGGAGCCCATGATTATTCTATTTTTGACAATAACTGTTTTCTCAATAAGCATTAGTGTCCCTAAAATGTCTGAGGTAAACTGTATCGCAGATTAAGTTAATTTTGATGAAGATTGGTGACTGAATACAGCTTGAAATAATGGATGAGTTATCACAACTGTCCCTGTTCAATCTTTGAGTCGTCAGCTCATTACTTTGTAGACCAATTATCTCAGTTTGAGTCTTGTCTTTGTCTCTCTTTTTGGTTCCAACTTTGAAACATCACCTCATCACCAAAAGATGTTATTCATGAAGTCTTGAGCCCAAGGTGATATTTCATTTTCTAGACGGATGAGCAGACAGGTTAAGACAAGACAGAACTATGAAGCAAACATCTCAGCTATAAACCACTCCAGCACATATGCACTGCAGTTCATCAGTGAAGTAATGGAAGGTTTTGGCATGTTTGCACAGTGTGTTTCCAGCATTTATTACTGGGTTTTCATGCTGTCAGCATGTCTGGGATGAGGTGTTGCGGTGGCAATGATGTAATGAAACCGCATAATTCGATAATGATGGTTTGGAAATAAACAGGATGACAAACAAATGTTGTGTAAAAGCTGCAAAGGTTTTCTGCACAGCAGCACCAACAGCACCACAGAGACATTTAAAGGTCATGGAGATGAGCTGGTCATTTATGAACTGTGAAATGTGTTTTTGAACCAAGTTAATATTTCAGTGTGAAGTGTTGATGAAATCACTACAGGGACATGCAGGGTGCTTCATCTAGTTTTATAAAACATTGGTGCAAACAGAGCTGAAACAAAGAGAGTGATGCACCGACTTTTAGACCGACTCGTGTGTGAATGAATTTCCTTTTAAACAAACTTAGTCAGAACTTCAATGTCTACATTCACTCACTCACAGAACAGTTACATGTGTTAAAGATTACAACAGGGTTCAAGCTCCTGTGAGGAATGTTTGGTTTGTGTCACTTTTGGCAGGTTGCTTCTATGGGTGACAAATCTATCTGCTCAATCTGTGTTGAGTTGATAATTTCACTCTGCTTTTTGCATCCAAACAGATCAGTTACTTACAATCTTTGCTTTGAATAATGTAAAAAAATAATTCTTTGGTTTGCTGCTAATGACTGCCATTGGGGCCTCTTCCCTGCAGCAAAGGCCTACAGGTATCAGAATTAAACATATAGTATGGAAACCACCAAACCTGTCACTTATGGTCTTGGTGACTCTTGTAGGTCATTTAGCATTATCAGAATTGATTGTAGTCTGCTTTACAACAAACTAAAAATCTACTAACTGGAGCTTTAAATATTACAAACCATCACTACTAAAAGATCATTTTTAGTTTTTTTGTTTAAAGGTGCAGTTTAAGTCTCTAATTCGCTAATTGAACCGAATAACCAAGAACAGTTTTGTTAAATGATAATTTATGCTGTCTATTTTCCAAATGTGTAAGTGAACAAATTCAAATCTAGGACTGGATTGAAAGTAAGCTAAAGAAGAGCATATTTGAACTCAGCCTGTGTTACCACAGTATTTGTTTCAGGTATAACATGTGGACCTGAAAGTGTTTGTTTTTCACTTCCTTAGAGCACAAATGAACCGAGCCACAATGAAAGGTATGAACGATCACTGTGTGATGTAACAGTGGTCTACGGTTCAGTCTTACACCCGGCTTTGGCAGGTGTCCAATGCAAAGTGATCATCAATCGTAGACACTACCTCACTCTGGACCAGCACATTCCCACACAGAGATACTTTATTTCACTTCTGAAGGTTGCTTCTTACATTCAGCCTTCTGGGGGGAAAAACAAAACACAACATAAAACATTCATCTGGCAGCGTCAGAGTCACAAGCTTGAGTCAGTGTGCTGTGTTAAAGTCCCAGCAAATGCTGATGTGTCAAAACTGAGAGCGGTATGTAAATACTTGAAGCTAAATGAACAGCTCTGTGAGAAATGTAAATGTAGTCATGGTTTTATGTTGGTTTAAGCAAAGCCAAGATTAATGGTTCACAGACCATGAAACCTTAACAGCTGCACAGCAATTTGTGGGTCTATGTTTGGGACCTTTACTGAAGTTGGTCATATCCTAAGTGAAAATTCAGTCTGAGTGGCTCAATCACTTCACTGTGTTCTTTCCTAGGTCATAAATCAACAACTGTACAATTTTAGATCGTGTCCCCTGGGGGAAATGCAGGTTATGCAATGACCGAAGTGCTTGTTGCAGGAATTACACACATGTCCTGAAGAAGAAGCTGAGAGACCTGTGTAAAATACTCTGGTGTGAGTACCCCTTATTCAGCTTTGGTCTTTTTTTTAAATGCTGTTTAGTAATATTTTGTCTGTTGTGATTGAGGTACATGGATGGATAAACCAGGGATCAGCTTATCATGTCCCACTCAGACACAGTTTCAGTGACATCTCTCTTTGGTTTCTACAGAGGGATTTTGGAGCCCAATGATGGCGGTCACCATGTTGGAAATGCTGACTCGGCACTAACTGTTTGTCAACATAGAAACAGACAAAGAGGTGGAGCTGCACTGGGCTTGGAGCCTCCTGGCAAACAGTTACAATGCACGCACCTGTCAGCCAATTTAGCTGTGCACATTAATGAAAATCTGTAAAAGTAGAGTTTTAAACACAAGACCTTATTGAGATTAATGTGGACGCCAAAGAAACTGCTGTTTTTTTTTTCTGCAACTGAAATAACTTTCATTTTTTCTATTGTCATTCTCTGTGCGAAGGTCTGACAATACATCAGTCTAATGCTGCACACATTTTCATTTTCACAGTGCTTGACAACTTTTCTCTGCAAGTGTGTTTGGCCCATATGCAACATAATACTTAGTTGTATAACATGCAATAGCTAACCTGGTAAAAGCAAACTCCAATATCCTTAACCCCATGTTAGCATGGTTCTCTGACTTGTAATATTTTTATTAAAGGGATTTTAAGAGGACAGGTTGTCAAGCTCACAATCTTACGCACAAATGCTTTCAAACACAAAAGGTTTTTTTTAAATACTGTACTCCATGTGATTGATAGAGGAAATAAACAATTACCTGAGAAAGAAATGTTTAATCATCCTGTTAGCCTAAAGATTTATCCTTGAACATGTTCAAAATTGATCTGGCTGACTTCCAGCAAACGATTTATTTCCTAAACCTGAAGACATCCATCACATCAAACACTGTGATTCATCGATGTCTCTCTCTCTCTTGCTTTTGATCTGTGGTTTCCATGGACAAGAAAGAAGAATGCGGTCAAATCTGGTGCCGTCTCACACTAATGACTCTGATTTCATTAACAAGTCTGAAAACTGTTGCCAAACCGCACAAAGAGAGCATTAAAAGCATCATGCTGTTATCATAGTTCTTGTACATTAATAAATGAGGATTTATTTAATCTGATCCCTGCTCCAGATTCAGAGTAGTTCATAAACACAACAAGAATGGTATTGGAGAAACAATGCACTAATGTGTGAGTGTGAGATTATAAAGTGCCTGTGTGTGTTTATACATGTGATCATGCCCTGTGTGTCTGAGTGAGTTATACCACTGTTTACATACAGTAGACGTGCAGGGACATGAGTCAGGTAGTAACAGGCAGTGGGTGGAGATGGCTCGGACCAGAGCCAGGAATGTATGAATGGAAAAGGCAGCGGTCTATTGTTCTGCCCTCTGAAACAACTGCTATTTATAGCTTGTGGAAAAGGGTGGACTTTTGAAAAGGAGCCCAGCCCGTCTGCTGGGAGATACTGGGAAAAGGAGAAGTCTGAGGAATTATTGCAACGACAAACAATGCTGCAGCTGCGTAATAACTTTTTCCTGTTTGGGTTTTTGAGGAAAGGTGCCTGAACTTCTTTCATGTATTAAAAAAAGCAAAGAAAAACTAAGTCTAAGTT